AGCGAAACGTCAGTAAAAACAACATCACGGAAAATACCCATTGGGTCATGAAGAAAATAAAAGACAGATTCAGCGAAGAAAATTTTCTTCATCGACGAAATCATCTTCAGAGGCTGTACAGTCGTATTTATACTTAGAAAAATGTATAGTGGTCTATTATTGAGTAATAGGGGTGGGGGTGACATAATTGATGTAATTAATCATAAGTGGCTTTAGAGGTGAAAATTAAAAGTTGTAAATTACATGGTACTCAACGGAACAAAGATAGAAGTTTGATAAGGTTAAAATTGCTCTTGAGTGAGAATAAAGTTATTAGAGTGTCAATTTAACAAGTGTGAAGAGGGTGTGAAAATATACAAAAGGAGCATATGAAATTGATAATAGTGAATTAATTATTAAAGCAAAAGCAAACTAAAAGTAAAATTAAAAATTAAAAAACAAAAGAAAAAATCAAAAATATTTTACAGGGAACGATAAGTGAAGAGGTTAAGACCAAGGTAGAATAAGAGACTGGACTAACGTTTTCTGTATTCAGAGTTCAGGGTTGTATTGATGTATTGCCAGCGCCTCCGCCACACACAAAAGCCGAAACCTGACGCCCTTTGTACAATTTGGTTTCACTTTGTAGATGATGTTGAAAGACAACTCTGGTGGAGCTACGTGGCCTGAGTTCACCAAATGCTCGAGAATTGAGCTAGTAATTGTCTTGCATTGTCCCTTTGCTAACCATTTCGGATAATGTTCAGAGATGCGTTTGGAAAGCGTGCGCTTTGTGCGGCCAATTGAACTTGCTCCACACGAGCAGGTGAATTTATAAACACACATTGAGGTGGTCCAAAGCGGCAGTTTATCCTTCACACATCCGTTGATCATTTGTCGGCTGTAGAAATTGATACGTAGCTCAGCCATAAAGAAGGCTTTCCTCAGTGATCTGCGTAAGCGATTCTTCAAAATCTCAGCTGCAGTATCACCTTTAAATTCAACACTCATAAAGAGAAGTTTCTTCGGCACAGTCTGGATTCTTTCAGGCTTTTCTCTTAACTTCATGTTTTTCTCGATAAATCTTGGAGGATATCCATTCTCTATGAGAACTTGTCTGAGTCGCTCCAATTCCCCATCGATTGTATCACTTGAACATATCCTCCTTATTCTTGAGGATAAGGAATGGATCAGATTTCTCTTTCTTCTTAAAGGGACCCAGCTATGGAAATTTGTGTACTGACCATTCCATGTTGGTTTCCTGTAGATCGATCTTTGAAGAGAACCATCAGATCTCCTCTTTAGAAAAACATCCAAAAAATGGAATTCCGAGTTAATCTTTGATTCCGACGTGAATTTGATGGCATGATGGCAGCTGTTGAACTCCTTAGTTATCAATTCGATGTCAACATTGTCGTCACATATGATGAAAGTATCATCCATGTATCTTTGGTACAGATGGAAACTGTCGATAGTAGGCCGTAGAATACTGTTCTCCAAACTGGCCAAGAAGCAGTCTGCAAGTAAAGGACCCAATGGTGACCCCATTGCTACTCCATCTCTTTGTCTATAAATCGTGTTGTTGAACTTGAATTGGACATTTAGAGTGCACCTCAAAAGTAGTTCCTTTAAGTAGTGGATCGGAACACATACGTCCACATTATTATCCTCAATGAATTTGCATATAAAGCAGATAGTTTCAGTGAGGGGAATGTTGGTGAAAAGCGAAGTAACATCCATAGATATCATTTTCTTCCCGGATACATTAGCATCATTTATTGAGTCGACGAATTCAAACGAATCAGAAACACTATGCTTGCAGAGGTTATTTCTGATAGGTAGGAGGATTTCTGTGAGCCATTTGGCAGTAGCATGATATGGGGAATTTTTTTCATGTCCAAGATTCGACGTAGTAGCACGCTCTCTAGCTTCTATCCATGTAATTTACAACTTTTAATTTTCACCTCTAAAGCCACTTATGATTAATTACATCAATTATGTCACCCCCACCCCTATTACTCAATAATAGACCACTATACATTTTTCTAAGTATAAATACGACTGTACAGCCTCTGAAGATGATTTCGTCGATGAAGAAAATTTTCTTCGCTGAATCTGTCTTTTATTTTCTTCAAAAACAACATCGTTTTGTTTTTCATTCATTGGGAAATACAAAAACCTTTTTTATAATGAATACTTCCTTCTTGATTCGCAAAAGGCTAAATAAAATCATAAGAAGTTCCATTTTGCTTCATTTGGTTGATAGTGGTCACCAAGGGGACAGAAATATTGCCTTCTAAGTTATCTATCGCATTCCATCGAGCCTTTCGAACGGAATTTGAACCCACCTTTTACTCATGGCTTAAGTTTTGAGAATTAATTCAAGGGAACAATCCTAGTCTCTGTATACAATAGGAGTTCGATCTACATTTCTCTCTCCTTCAGCCTAAATGAATACTAATCGAAACCCTCCCACCCTTTCTTATCTTCCTTTTAAGATATGATCTAATTTATTTATATATTGAATTGTCTGCATATACACACACATATTACTACCTTTGTAAAAAATTATATTTGTAAAATCTCAGCGATATTGAAGTGAGTAAATCCAACGTTTCGTTCGGCAATCTGGTCCGAACTTCTTCAGGGAAATTAATCGAAATTAACATAACGGGTTTATATATAAAAGGAAAATCTTTAGTTTTTAAAAACTTTGTCCAATCATGATTTATAAAATAAATATTAACAAGTATAGTGAACAGAATTGTACGAGTTGTGATCAAAATTTGACCTCAGACTTACAAATATTGATCTACCTTTGTTAAACACTTTAAACACAGTGTGTTTGTGTGTGTGTATGCGGATAAACAGTTGTAAAACAATGTCTTAACGTCTCCATAAGTAGATATAGACAGTCAGGAAACTTTGACCAAGTATTATTAGTTAGTGATACATATTATAGAACTATTCTGTCAAATCTTGCCTACAGTTCATTTGATTATTACTACCTTTATTATGCTTATCGCCACCTTCATAGACCTTATTATCATTATTATTTTTGTTATCATTATAATCATCGTTATTAATGATATTCAAGACATTTACCACATTATTACTATTATTATTTGATCCACAAAATCAGCGTCACTGGTTAAAATTTTTTCTATGAAAATCTGTGTAAATTAGAGTAAAACCTGAAGAAGAGGATCTAATTGAAAACAATGGTATTGTTCGCTTGTATGTCTTGTTCGAATATTAATAATGGCAATATTCAAAGTTTATCAATTTATGTAACCTCAACCACAACTAAGAGACGCAATCACCTGCCTTGATTAAATTGTTTGATACTCAATATACAACCGTAAATGACTCATCTATCTTGATGTGGTGTTCACCACCTACTAGATGACATAAAACGTCACTGTCTATTGACTTGATTACTCTTCTTCTTCCAAGCTAAACAGGAACTTGTTCGTGAGTACGTGAAGATAAATTTGTATGAGTACTCTTCCCGTCTATGAGCAGTTGAAACTGTATACAAATATTGGTGTAGTCATCTTTGGTGCACGGTGTCACAAGTGGTCTGGTTGAGAAATCGATGTGTAGTTCTGCAGCACTGAAAGATCTTCCAATTGATCTGATCAACCTAAGGCTTAAAATAGCACTGGTTATATTACCTTTGAACTGTACTCTTGAATAAATCGTTTTCTTACTCACCATGTCCCACTTAATCTTATCAGAGTTTTTTAGAAAGATGCTTCTTTACAAAATTGGTGAGGTAACGCTTTGATTTCATCTTCAATACAATCCTCAGTTCATATGCTACCTATTCTCTGACTAAGACAAAGAATTATATTTCTCTGATGTTTGCATGGGTATGAAACTATGAAAATCGATATACTACCTGATATAAGAATAGGACTTGTGCACCGTGGCAGAGTATAACTCCATTATGGGTGAAATTTGTTTCGATAAAGTCTCACAGTGGTGCTTTACAGTTATATTTACTGATGCCACCACGTTTCAAGCACAGTTGATTGCTACTCATAATCATATCAAGGCACTCACTCACACAACTTTCTGACTTCGTTTATATAATTCCATCATTTGAATTCATTTGCAATTAATAGTGTTTTCTGAGCTGGCTGGTTGCTGTCCAGAAAGGCGACGAAAGCTCCGCAACTAAACCAACCAGCTCAGAGAACACTATTCATTGCAAATCATCCACCTGAGTTACAAATCTTTTCTATCATTTGAATTCATTGCCTGACTTGGTTGGTAGTAGTATTTTCCATATTTCTGGTGTGAGGGAGGTAGGACAAGCTCAGTAGTTTAAAGGACCCTGTCGATTATTGACTCAATTAGACAAAATAATATTATTTACAAAATACTCTCCAATGGTTGTGAGTTAAGTCAATTACATACGTCAAACTAATAGATCAAGAGCACGTATGCATTAAAACACAATCACACAATAGGATGGGACAGAGTCGAAATTCTAAGAGGTAATATAGGTGGGTAAAGACAGAGAGAGAGATTGATTACTGAATCCTGCCTGGTTCATCGAATCTACACCCAACACACAACACATACAATAGAAATCACTGATCCCTAAAACCGGAAATATGGAAAATACTACTACCAATCAAGTCAAGTGATGAATTCAAATAATGGAATTATATAAACGAAGTAAAAAAGTTGTGTGAGTGGCTGCCTTGATATGATTATGATTGGCAATGAATTGTGCTCGAAACGTGGTGGATATGGATATATTACCTTTTCCACGTCGTCTGAGGTCGAAGTTATTCAAAACTAAACCATCTTTTTATATGAATAAAATTTTATTCTATCAAATATTAATAATGACAAGGAAATACCTAAAATAAGTATTTGTTTAAATTGTGTTCTAGAATTATCATAATTAGAAAATTTGACCTGTTTATCTGGGAGAATTATTCACCATTTCCTTTAATTTCTAAAATCACTGATAATATATTTGGTATACTTTATTGTTCTTGTAGTAACAAAAAACGAGGTAAACGAATCGATGAAAAGTCGACAAAACCAAATGCGCCAAATCAAATTTCATTGAAAGAGAATCGTGCATTATCAGGTCGAATGAGTTCAAAGTCTGCAAAAGACGTTGGAAATAATAATAATAGTTTTAATACAGCCAAAACAGAATTACTAGAGAAATCACCGTTGGGAACACTGGAGGAAACGTGAGTTAAACCATATATATATATATATATATATATATACATGTATTATTTGCGAGCTGACATTAATCGTTCAGGCTTTAGCGTGTCTTGGACGTGTCTTAGTTACTTCACTCCGTTTAACTTCACAACCCAATACTCTCTTTCTCTGCATTTATCATTGGTCTAATGTTGGTGGTGAACAAGTGGGACAATCTCTTCCGGGCAAAGTTAAACTTTCGACACAACTAACAACCAATCAGCAAACGACCTTGAACTGACCAATCACATTACAGAGGCATTTATGGTAAATAGAAACGTATATTTATAGAAAAAAACCATAAAAAAAGGATAAAACGGTTACAAGGGGTATCTTTCTCGAACATGTGAGAGAAACATCTCCCAGTTTAGCATGGGACTTTCAATGGAGAAGTTACACCACATCCTGTACATATATTCATCTAAATAACTATAAATGAGATCCTTTTGAGATCCATTTATAGCCCTTATCCTGTTTTTCAAGCGGCCCTAAAACCATTCACTGGAATTCCTATGAGTCCTCGTAATGGGATCCATCCAGCAAACAAGTGATTTTCTCTATTTTCCCTGAAGCAATATCTCTGCAATACTGGTACCACTGAACTGTTGAGACGAGGCTATTCTCCTTCTCGGCAGCTGCTGCCCTCACCGGCTGTTTCAATACCCATTAGTTGCAGATATACAAAATCTGGGTTAGGGAGAGATGCGACCTAGCGAAAAATAAGTCCTTACGAAATATTAAAATTATCAGCTTAACCTCTCTAATGCTAACACGCTTCAAACATATAGCACAACGACGAACAAATCCATCAGTTGATCTGCTATAGCTTTTCAAAGTCATGATACCACCACACGAACACGTTCGCTCCTTCCAGAGCAACCCTAAATCCAAATAATACCGGAAAACACTGTCCTCCTCGAATTGCAACCGTAACCTTGTAAGGGCATGGATTCGAAATGAATCAAGCGCTATACAACATTGAACTACATTCGTGAACCTAATTGGATAATTCGACGTCGTTCGTGAATCTCATTGGATAATTCGCTGATTGGTAGTTAGTGGTGTCGAAAATTTAACTTCGCCCTCTTCCGAAGTTTGTGTTAGCAAAGAACAAATAGTTATCAGAATAGTATTGTCGATTCTTTGGTATGAGACACAATATATATGCTTCAAATATACTTTAGAAATAGCTCAGTTTCCCTATCTGACCATTAAAACTGTCGGCTTAGACAATTATATTTAGGTATATCGCTTTTAACAGTGCATCTGACAACTTGTAAACAAATTTACCCACCTCTTAGTCAAAAATGCAGCAAAGATTATGAAAATGCATCGAAAGGTGTCATCAACCAGTTCAACTAAACAATGCACAAATGGCTAACCAATGAGATCAAATTGAACCGTGATGTTTTTGCTTTTCAGTTGAGGGCTGCCTCGTACACCAGAAAGTCAACAAGAATTAAACATTTAATCCCTTGACACCTATGAGTACATCACTTTTTTTCAGATGGGTTTAAGAAAACACCTACACTTTTATCTTTTATGTATGCTTCAGAATTATCAAGTACTTCGGTGAGTTTTATCATAAGGTCTGGACTCTGAAAATTTAAATATAAAGTTTGTATTAAGGTTTTTATTAAAGGAGGAAGGATATTTCGCTGAGTAAAATGTTTAGCTATAGTCACTGACTTAAGAGAAGGCGAAGCAACTGTCTGAAGAATAAACTTAGATCATGTAGTAACATGAGTTTTGCCACACCTTCAGATGCGCCTCATCATGGGTGCCATGTAGGGAACTAAGAATACGTGGGATTCCCTGTTCTTTAAATAGTCCCATAGATGACATCAAACAGCAGTCACTAGGGATGTCGATCCATTGGGTGTATCTTATAAATTTATTTCGAATAACACAATTAACATTACACAACTACGGAGATTATCTGAAAAATGTGATGTACTTACGCAAAACTTTTCGAACAATCTGATGACACATTTACTTGTTGAGTCAATTTACGTGAAAAATAAAGGTCAATTAAAATGCATAAAGTGACAGAAAAGGAATTAAGAGTACGAATAAGAAGAGTAATTAACGTTAAGTTAAGTTATCTAGTCAGATAGTGATTACCGATGTATGTTAAGAGTAATGACAAATTGTTTTATACATACGAGGTAGGAGGACGCCTACGTTTACGAATACTTATAGCCTTAGCATATTTCATTAAGTGCCCTTTACGGTATACAATTGGTGGATGGTGGCTATCAGTGGAATCCAGGATGCGCATTTCGTCCTATTTGGGACTCGTCAGCTGGATGTACCTGCATTTCTCAGTGAGTGATGATGTTCCCACCGAGGCTCGAAATGCGCATCCTGGATTCCACTGCTAGCCACCATCCACCAATTGTATACTGATTAAATCCCTTTACGGTCTTTAAAAATAACCTTAACATTTATTTTGATAACGATCCTATGGTTCATACCGATTAGATGTTCACCTACCTCCGACGAAGCTGGTAGTCTGTCACTGGCGTCTATCGATTTTTCAAAGTTCATTCGTTTTCCCAACCACCTTGGAATATGTTCTCCTAACTTCACAGGCAAAGCGCGATTACTCCTCCCCATATGTGCATTCTCACACACGTAAATCGGTGTGCGTCGGTGGCCCGGTGGTCCGAGGTTCGATCCCCTGCCGACCCACACCTGATATTTATGGTCAGCCTGCAAAATGTGGGCTACCGATACCATGTTAAAAATTCCATACTTGTACCAAAATACAGTGTGGAATCAAGCTGTAATCAAAAATAAAAAATAAAAATAGTATAGCATGAGATGTGACATAATCACTTATGAAGTTTTGAGGTTTATAGTGGAGCATATGTTTGGCTTTTTTCAACAATTACAAGCTGGGCTGCATAACAGGTCCTATGGATGACCGAGTTTAATCCCTGTCTTAAAATCCAAATATATACATAACCGTTGTGTGGTAATTTAATGAAAACATCTTTCTTAGGGACAGAATAAATTGAAGGTTTTAAAACCAATTGACTACTACACCGGCTTAAACATTTTAAAGAATATCCGTTTTTAACAAGAGTATCCATCAATATATATTATTTTCATTCTCCATAACAAAGACTTCACGAAGCCTTTCTAACACCACAGCGAACAGAAGTTGTGAAAATCCAAATATTATCCTGTTCAAGTAGACTTTCTGTAAATTGATCGCTTTATTGAATCACCATCTATCTCTCCGACCCAGAAATATGTCTAAAAATACAAGCTGATCGAGCCCTTCCTCCTCGCTCGTTAGACTGATGTGATTCTGTACCGAGCTGAGTCTATCTTGCAGACGGTTTGTATCCTCATGATCATCAAGTATCAAAATAATATCATTTACTTTATTCCCTATAGAAGAGCAATTTAGAAATTAGATCAACGGACAAGTTTTCAACCTAAGACGTATAAACATCCTCTAAAAAAAGGTCCTAATGGATTCCCAATAGCATCACTATTCACTTCTCCAAAGTGCTCATCTTCAGTACAGACTAGTAATGAGTCTTTGGAATAAGTTAAAGGAGAGGGGAACGAAAAACAACTAAGAGATATATAACCACAAAGAATATCAATAGTCTTAGTTAATGGTACTTTAGTAAACAAGGAATTAATATATGAGAGGAATACATTTCGATATCTTTGACATTCATACAACATTTGTATCTAGTAATTCTACTGCCCAAATTTTTAAAATGAATCAACTGTTTTAAATAAGACAGCTGCACTGATTACAACGAGTGCGTTGATGGGACAGAGGTATAATGCTCACCAATCATGCAGGTGGGGTTAGGTGTTCAATCCCTCACAGGTGCACTCCTTTGCTCTGCTACGCCAGTAATAAGAGTAGGAAAGAGGGAAGGTTGGGCATGAGTTTAGAAACCCTATCCTGTAAAAACTAAACACCACTGCTATCGAAACATCCAACCTGTAGCTTGAAGCCATATGTTCCACTGGGAATGTAAAAGAATAAAAAAAACTGATTACAAGATGGTGATCTATTTCAAGATTCAGAGAGTAAGCGTGACAATCTAATTGCTAATTTAGGAGTATGGCATTCCCGAGAAAACAGTAGCTTAGAGAACAATCTATTCCGTGATTTCTAAATAGTTTAGGAAATAAATCAGACCTCAATTCTTATTCTTCGATTTTTCTGTTAATAATTGACTGAATTGATAGTGAAAAAATTAACCTTTTAAGGAAATAAAATGTAAAAACTAATTTTGTCTTTTTGAAAGTCGTAGAACATCAAGATCTCATGATAAACACCGTAAATCTGCTACCAGTTTCAAAGATGAAGCAATAACTGAAGAAGAAACTGGAACGCGTATGACAGATGAAGAACAATTAGCCTACCAAGTGTAAGTTCGATTTTTAAGAATTAATATAGTAATAAGCTAATAACTATGCTTAACTTCAACTAATTTTTAGATGGTGACTGACAGTGTATTTAAGGGAAGGATGGTGCTCCCTTTAGGTTCAAATCACTATCTACTAGACCATTTTGGCCACGAGAGCCACCCCTTGTGCGACGGGTCTCAGTAATACTTAATTCACCATAGACCTTCCCGCCGACTTACTGTTCCTCTGCCTGTTCTGCCTCTGCTGAAATCTAATCAGTCAACGGGAAAGTTCATAAACAATTAAATAATAACTGATACCTGCCACACAAGAGGTGGCCCGCGCGGCTTAAGTAGTCTAATGGATATCTCTTTGGCGTTTAAAACTATGTGTCCTGGGTTTGAGCCCCAGGAGGAACACTATCACTCGTTCACTTACCGGGAATGAAGTTACGTGCAGATGAAGATTTCAAAATAGGACGAAATGCGCATTATGGATTCCACTGCTAGTCACCATGCATCAAAATTACTTAGACATCTTCGAAACATCTGCACAAGGAGCCGACATATTAATCTGAGGTCGAGCATTTCTTTCCAACCAGTCAACGAGAAAGTTCAAATCGAATTAAATAAGTTTAACTTTATTAGGCAAATATACATTCCAAAGAATGAAACTCCAAATTATTACAGTACCCATTTATATTGGTATTCCTAACAGGTGAATACAGATAACTATAAGATACTTCCTTACAGAAGTTAACTTCGGCACTCATTCAGAACCAGTGGAAATAGTACAATCCTTCGTTTCATTAGCAAGTTAAGTAAATATATCCGTTGTGCTTTTAGAAAACATTAAGTTTATATAGTCTTTCTTGTTGATTATAATTACTCACTGCTCTAGTAGGATGGCATGTGTTGGATTTTATCAAAATATTTCCTCCCTGCAACTCATTTTCTCTGTCACGCCTAATAAATGCAGGAGTTTGACCAGCTTATCTTGGAAACAGCTCTTCCTTCTTCATTCATAGAATAAGGACTTCTTCATTACAAAGAAGTCGAAGATTTCTAGCTATTCTGTATGACGTTCTCTAACTCGTTTTTGAACGACCCATAAACCTTGCTCCATAAATGAATATGAACTGTCACAAACACGCATACTAGAGTGGAGGTATGTAGGGGTTTGTCCTACGAAGCATTGAACACTTAGGGAATATTACTCTTATTCAGGATTATGTACAGTTGATGATACAAGAAGGAATCGATTCACTTCACTCTTTGATTACTAATAACACTAATTAGCATAAAGAAGACTATAGAAGGTAATGGATTTGTGTTTGTTAGTGTAAAGCGTTATCTAAATAACTTGTGACTACTTAATATAATAAAATTATAAGGTCAACAGGTAGGAAAGCTTATAGTTAATAAAACAGGGTCAGCACCTTGATTTGGAAGACTGTTACCAATTTAATAAATGACGATTGAAGGTTTAGGGACAATCTGAATCCTGAAATAGTTCTAATCTTCGACCTGTTGTTGTGCTCAACCACAATGAACAGAGGAGACCTGGATGGGTATCTATTCCGGAATTTAACGAACGGTTATATATCATTCACTCAAATGATAACTTGACTAACATTCGGGTCTTGCATCTAGTATACAACGGGATTTGTCATGCGCAGGTCGATGTTTTGGATAGTGTCATTCATTACACATTTAGAAGTCACCTATGACATCAATAATAGTCTTCCGAACGAAGACTGTGTGGAATTAGTTGCATTTTCTGAAGAGGTGATTATAGATATAATTGCGCAGCTTTCGTCGTTCATCACCCAGACGACATCTTCAGTGCAGGTTTTAGTATAAAGAGAACTCACTTAAATTCTCCATAAATGATGTAATTCTATCTCCTGTTCTTTTATATGGACAAGGGTGCTTCTCAGCGTGTCTGATGTTTTCAAGAAAACTCTGATGTAGAGCTTATTGAGTACTCTTCTAAAATCGTCTGACGTCTCTGCTCTATATGAAATGACAGCTGTCAATGTCCATGTCTTCGGAATATTTTTTGACCATACTTAATATCAGTGTTGATTTTGTTGAAGAAGTTCTTTGGGTAGCTGTTTTGCTTGAGATTCCCAGTAATGTTTGACATTTCTTCTTCTTCTATTGTCTTTCTCATCCGTCAACATCAAACAGTGTTCTCCTCTAAGAAAACTTGATGGGTTTGATAATCCGAAGTTTAAATATTTGTTGGAGTGTGTTTTCTTCTTGAATACAGATATATTAAAATATCCGTTTTCCCTCCTTTTAACCAAGCAGCCAGTCTAGAAAAGGTAGTTCACCGAGATCTGATTCTCCTTCCGAAGTAAACTGAATTCAGGGAGATTGTTTGTGTATTTCCTCCAAGAATGAAATGTGTAGATCTTGTTTTAGTGATACAAATATATCATCTACATATCTTAACCATATTTTAGGCGTGATTATGCTTGAAAAGATGTTATCTTTGAACCTATTCTTGAAAACGTTAGCGACTATTAGGGGAACTGGTGAACCCACAGTAACACCATTTGTCTATCTGTACAAATTCCCTAAAAGTGTAAAATAATTACTTTCTAGACAGAATTTTAAGCTCTTAATTATTTCACTGGTGTCTAGTGGACATCTTTGTGATAGCGTTGTATATGATTCTAGTAGACTGGAAATGATGTCAAGACTTTTGGTAATAGGGATACTAGTATAAAATGAGTTAATATCATCATGGCTTATACCATAATGTCTTCTTTATCAATTTCTCAGTGTTCTATTTGAAATTTGAAATCATATGAATCTTTTACAATATTCTGAGATTTTGTAAATTCTGGTTTAATATTACTACTTTGATAAAGCTATTAGCAGCATTAAAAACAACGAAATGTCAGTAAAAACAACAATATCGTTTTGTTTTTCATTCATTGGAAGATACAAAAACCTTTATTATAATAGAGGGCTTTTTTAATTCATATGTTACGTCATTTAATATTTAATGCGAATGTACCTAATTTCTGTATTTATTTGTTCAGTTTTAAGTCTTTCGATGGAGAATTTCGAAATATCTGTGAATTCCTTAGTACATGGAATCGTGTAACATTACAGCAGCAATCATCCTTATTAGAAGGTCGTGAAGATAGTCCAACATCAACTGTTGTCAATTTGCCTGCCGGTAAACGTGCTAGACAGAGTGGTTTAAATTTCCCGCCAAATGCTAGTAGTATTAATTTAAACAAATCAAAACATTCAATTAGTAAAGTGGATTCAAGCAATATACAAAGTATACAAGAAAATATGACTGTTCTATTGCCAATTTATTGTGAATTAAGTCAATTCAATGATTCAACAAATGAAATTAAAGTTGAAAAATACGCAGGCGATAGTGATTCCCAAGTAATTGGTATACCACATTTGATTGTTGAAATACCATTCAGAAAAGAAACTAATATAACTGAAGGTAATTAGGAATTATATATATACATATATATTTGTTTTCCAACTTTTGAATATCGTTAGGAAAACTTTTGAAGCAAATCGGTAGGAGTTAAAATTCATGAGCCATCAGATTCCTTCCCGAAGGTTTGGTAGCTGATGGGCTTATGAGTGAGCACTACTGAACAGTTTGAGACTAGAAAGAAGTAGCCTTTCAGTAATACCTGGGTTTGGTGGCATTCTAGCAAAAATTGAAGGGATATTCCAACAAATCAATAATTAAGAAGGCGTAATTTATCTGAAACGTGTACTGCATTTGTGCTAAGCATTTTGGACATTCTGATCACTCACTTACTTAGTATACACATTTAAATGGAAGGCAAGAGAGCACAAATGATTACAATATAGGTTGAAATTTGTACATGCCAAGGTCACAAGTAATACGGTGAAAATAGTATTAATTAAAATGGTCCAAGTCAATTAAATCATTAGAATTAAGGAATTTAGCTAAAGCAACAAAAATTGACACAATGAGGGGTAAATAATCTAGAATAGCGACCAGCACTCACTTACATGTGAACACAAAATGTGTTAGAACAAGTTGAATGTATTCGAAATTGATATAGTAAGTTGGAGAGAGAGGGAGGTTAATCACTGAATCTTTCTTTATCGAATCAACACCAAACACGTGTAGTCTAAAGGACAAAACACCTATACCAGATATATCGAAAACTGCAGTGAATATGTGAAGCAAATTATCAAGCTGTGTGAACAAATAGATATATTTATGAGCAGTATATTGTTCTAGAAGCGTCATCCAGTTAATAATACTCCTGTATTGACAGATGTCATGAGATTTAGTGCAGGAATGTTTAATTGCAATTATGTGCACCTTATCTTCAAATCACCATTTGCACAGATCTTCCAATTTGTGCTACTTCTCTTCTTCATATTGGGATGATTTGTGCTCCTTTCACGTGTCCCATATATCTCCTAAACGCTGAATTATTTGCCTTTTCTGACATCAAATCTCTCTCTCTCTGCTGTTTGGTGATTTTATGCCGACGAACGTCTCTTTACATACTAATGATAAATCTCATCAGTAGTACAAGCCTTATCAAATAGTTTAGAACGCAGCCGCTTCAACATTTCTGGTTCTACCCGTTCCTGTTGTACCTTTGTCCGGGCTTCCTTATCCCACTGTATGTTTTTCTGCAGTTGACTGATGTTAACCTGTCCCTGTTTATTTCCTCTTTTGATGGTGTAAAGAGGACCACGTCTATCAGTGACAATGTATGGCCCTTCCCACTTCGGAAGGCGTTTCTGTGAACCCCACCCGCATCTAACCGCCCCCTTTACTGCTCTACACTTGACTTCTTTCCGTTCCCTTCACAGCGTCGTCACACTTCACCCCTGATGGAGGGGCCAGATTGTTTTGTGTATCGGCAGTCGTGGCTTCCTACCATACACCAACTGAAATGGTGACTTCCTAGGTGCTGGTAGAATCAATGGGAGCTTCGTCTCCCAGTTCCCTCCATTCAAGGCTTGACACTCATTCAGTGTTATACTGTCTTGTAATGATCCTCTTGATACCTAAATGTTGCAAACTGGTTGTAAATTCTTCACTTTCAAAACAAGGGTCTTGATCTTTGGTACACCATAATCTGTGTCGGACTACTGCATCATTCTCAGTTTTCGCGCATTGATCTGGGATAGCGACAGCGTCTACCCATCGTGAAGCGTGTTCCATCATCATCAGGAGGTATTAATTACCACTAGATGTCTGCGACAACGGCGCGTCACAAGTCAACAAATACCATAACTGAAACCCACTGCACAGGGTGTCGTATGCACCGATCTCCTTTCATTAAATGGCACTGTTAACTCTCAAGGACATATTTTACCACATGTTCTCTTATACCTGCCAAGCACATGATTTTTCCCAATTGGTCGATTGTTCTGGCCACTCCTGTATGTGTCAGCTGGTGACATTCTTGTATTATCTCGTAGCGTAGAGACTGAGGTTTTACTGCCAACCAGCTTACATTGTTCTCTCGCCAAATCAGAGTTCCGTAGTGGTTTACTCTTAATCAATCTTTTCGTCTGAGTAGCGTAATCAAATCCTTACTTGCGGTAGGTTGATTCAATTCTGTTCCATTCTTTCAATAACAAGCGGTAATGGAGTCCACTCCTCTTATTTTGACCTATTTTGAACTCTCTTCAGGATCCCACTGGGTTCGTACTAGTAGTCACTATTTCAAAAGAGACTGAACCTATTCAAATTTATTCTTTACTGTAAAGCTTTATCAAATAAATTTACTCTCTGATGGAATTAATCTCTGCCACAGTGCCTAATGTTCTATTCTTATATCTATAAAATAAGTTGACTATAAATTCATAATAATTTTAATGAATAACCTTCATGAATTGTTTTCCCAACCTAAAACTGTGTTTTTTTTTAGAAATTCGCGGTGAAATCACTTCAATACTGAACAATTCAAATACAATTTATGTACAAAATTTAATTGGTAGAACAATTAAAGAAAGTCTGATGTCAGCCAATGATCATGTGACACATCGAATGTCAGAAGGAGTTGATGAAGAAGAACAAGAAGGAGCACACAAAAAGCATCAACAACAGAAAGACAAACTTTTCAATGAATTGTATCAGTTATTGTATCCACATTTACCAGAATTAAGCGAAATACTAGACCATCTTGGTATTGGACCGAATGGACCACCGATACCAAAACCAAATAACTTTTCAGTTATTCATTATCCATTGTATAGAGAAACAATAACTAGTACATCCGTTAGCGTTAATGAGAATCATTCAGTCTGTGGTGATAAAACAGTCAACAACAAATCATTGAAAAAGCCAATGAAAATCAGTGATCACAAGACTTGTATAATCAATTTAAAATATTTTGAATTTTTATATTCTGGACAAGGTGATCCTATGATGGCATCAGCACAGTTTGGTGGATTTTCACAAGTCACTGGTTCAATTGAAGAAGAAATGGAAACTGTGGAATCTTCAGTTAAACAAAAGGAAGTTATTTTTATTGATGATTGTAGTCGTTAAAATCAGTTAAAACGTTATTTAAAACCTGAAAAGCTCTACTGTTATTATTAGTATTCCTTTAGATTCGAAGTAGAATATAAGACATCAGCGGCACACTTCCATTTGACTCCATTCTTAGTAGTTTCTTTAGTCGGATTCGCGATTGTCTATAAACTCTCATCTCTCAACGTATATCCATTCTATCTCCGTTTCTTTTTGCATAATTATCGTTCGACAGGTTCTTGATTAATCCACCTCACTGATGCACTTCCTCTGTATAGCACAAAGGCAATCATTGATGAAAATCAGCAGTAGTATATTGGAAATGCCTGTGATGACGTGCCAAGTCTCCTAACCATATAGAAGCCCTAACTGACTTGACAGTAGTGTCGTAAATCCGAATCTTGGTGTTTAAACTGAGTACTACTAGACAGATCAACTGAGTAGCTGTGCGTGAAATTCCAACATTTTACATATTAGCACGGGTTAAATGTCATCCCGACAGACAACTGCTACCTTAAAGTAGTGGTTGTGTTTGCCAACTTCAATGACCGGATGAGCTGTAGTGGCTAGAACTAATGTTCCCCCTAGTACTGCTATACCGTTAAAGTGACCTGGATACCGATTAGACTAAAGAGAATTACCACCATCGTGTGAGTTATTTAGACTGTATAGGGAGTTTGAGGTTGAAGTCATACTTCTGCTAATTACGGTTCTACCAATAGCACAATTTTTCCCCAGATTACCAGCAAGCCAGTGGTGTTACCTCTGAACTCTGGATAAGAGAGCTTGTTAGAGGTACACTTGAATGAATGCACCCTATAGAGATATACATCCAGTGGTAATATTTCCACACAAATACAACTTTGAAGTTCACTTTAAAACAGTCTCTGTGTGACGAGTATAAAGCAGTATTCCACTTGATTCTCAGATTAATCAACACTAATACTTTTCTGCATTTCAGATGTTTCCATTAGTCCCTTAAATATCATGTAGTATGTTTTCAAGATACACTGAATCCTACTACTTGATTAGAAAAACCCTAACTGATCGAGCACAGCTGAATTATGCGATACTTTAGTTGGCGATTTGATGTCAATACCAATATTTTACAATTACTCAGATGATAAGAGTTTTAGTGTTTTAAATTTCATGGTTTGAAGAACTCCCATTTCATGTAATTAAGAACGCATGAGTCAACAAAGAAATCTCTTTTCGTAGCCTTACTTCAGAGCTGTACAGTTATTGAAGGTGTTTGTATATGCAATGTAATTCGAAGACAGAGATCAAAGGTTACTGACAGTTAGTAACAAAGTAAATTAAAGTGCATGAGTATTGAGATTTAATTATTATTATTATTATTATGTCCTTTAATTCCTAGAGGAACATAGGGCTTCAGCTGCGCATCTCCATTGCCTTCGGTTTTCTGACAATTTTTTCACCCTGCTTCAAGTCTGCCCACATGCTTTCATCTCCTCTTCACATGACCTCCTCCAAGTCACCCTTGAACTAACGACCAACTCGCCGCTTCCCTTTCGGCCTGGTTCCACTCGAGCAATGGCTTGTCTAGTGATGTCACTTGATGGTTTGTTTTCTCAGAGTATGGCCAATCCATCTCCATTTCTTCCTGCCTATCTGTTTCCCAGTCGGTTCTTACTGGGTTGGTTCGCTCATTGCCAGAGATTCCTTTTGCTGATCTTTTCTGGCCGGCCATCTGATCTTGAGTACTGAGCGAAGACAACTGTTGATGAAAGTCTGTAGTTTGTTTGAGATGCTCCTCATAACGCGCCAAGTCTCTGATCCGTATGGCGAGTAGCACTGACTTCACATTGGAGTTGAAAATCCGGATCTTATTTTCATTTTCATGCTGATTGCTGTTGACCTCCTCACAGGCTTATGAATAATGAAAGCTTTTCTTGCTTTTCCGATTCTGGCTTTGATATCCTCGTCAGTTCCGCCCGCCTGTAGTTGAAACGATGCTTCCGAAGTAGGTAGGTGGGTAGGTAAAGGAGGTTGTTTCTTTCAGGTTCCTCCCATTTATGCTGGCTGATTGTTGTCTGTTGTTGTTGTCGTTGCTGTTGGTGTTGGCCAGGAATCTTCATCCCCTATCTGTGTTTTCTCTATGTTCGCCTGAATTCCTTCCTATCTTTGATGCTTCTTCTGCCAACTTGTTGCTTTCCATTTGCATATCTTCAAGTTTGTGGGAAATCAGTGTTGAACATTCCCATATCATGATTTAAAAGTCAATCTGAACGAAGAATATTCTTTTCAATAATTTCTCCTCTTAAGGTTCTTACAATTATAAATAATAATATTTGTTGTGGTTACAATAATGACAGCCAGTTATGTGGTGGATACATCTTTTTTCCACCTGGAATAACATTAGTTATGGGGTGTCAAAATAAATAGTCATATTTGTGTGACACACGTGCTGCTACGCTGAAATATTTTAAAATGGAAAACAATGGTGGTAATTAGTCATAAAAGATTCGTACAGTGTTGCGTAGGGGAGAGTTGACAAGTCAATTCAAGGTTATAAAAGGTGTCATGTGAGTGGAGTGGCTAGTACAAAGTAGTATGTATTAAAGAGGAAGTAGTTAGACGACAATAAGAGGTTCATCATGAAATAACCAACGTTTGAAAGGCAGCCAGTAGAGGCATATATTAAGAAAAGAGATAATATCACTACTAATAAGTTCGGATAATATAAATGAAAAATTCGATAGTATTCAGGCAATGTTTGCATGAAGGGCATAAATTATGACGAATAATAATAATTATTGTAATAATAAGCAAAGAGAAAGTAAACCAAGAGGGTTAAGGGGAAGTAGCACTCTTGGTGGGAAGAAGAATCATCAATCCAATTTCGGCCTTGGTAGGAACAGCGTCTGGACGTGTTCTTTTTGGATACAAAGTTCCGGTTTAGTCGATCTTATTGCAATAGCTTCAGCTATGCGTAGGAGACGTAAGCGAACTGTACGGGATAACGATTTCGGAATTCGGCTTATAACCGGGAAGCTCTGTTGGTGTCGATGCAATGTCCAATATCGACCAAGCATGACAAGATCGAGCTTTTTATGCACTTAATTTCTCCCTTGCTGAACCAAGCTAGTAAATGAGTAAAAATTAAAATCAGTCTTACTTAATCAAGAGTGTTTATAACCGGTTAGTTTAGTAATGAATAGTCATTCAAGAGGTCAAAGAAGTAAGGAAAGGAGAAATAAAAGCTAGTACTACTGCCATGGTAGTAAAAGAGGCTAGATGAAACATTTCTAAACATAAAGTTCGCCTTTCACCTTAAAGATTGCTAAGGCTTTGGCTGCATGAAGAAGATGTTGGGAAATCCTTTTGAATCCTTTTGTACTCTATATATGACTCTGAAAGAAGTCTCTGCTAATGTTGCATGGCGAGAAGTAATGATATGCTGGAGAATTGATCAACTGACTGTTCTGTGTTCTCTTTTTGACAGCCATGCTGGTTTATGTTCATGAGAACGTCTAGGCAATATAGTGTTAGTACGGCCTAAGTAGATAGCTTCATAGGAGCTAGTAAATTAGGAAATACACAAAAAGTTTGACAATAACGAAATCTTGTGTTTGATGATATAACCTATAAATGCTATCAGTTAGTACAATATTTACTTCGAAAAGACCTTCGCCAGTCAGCGTTGACGGAGAAGTAATTTGAAACTATTTCAACACTATAGCATACGATCCCCAAATCGTTACCAACCTTATTCAAAAGTTGGTTATATGATAGTGCCACGTGTCAGGTGATTTATAACGGGAAACTCAGTGAGGCGTTTGGAGTAAAAACAGGAGTAGGATAAGACTGTCTGTTTATTATCACTGATGATATTCCTAATTGTATTGGTCTAGATTATGCGTCAGACTGTGGGGAGCTAGGAGGCAGGAATAGGCTGGACGGCCAATAAGAAGACACTAGAAGATCTGGATATCGCGTATGGATGAATTATATCTAATTTCACACAAACTTGAAGACTTACAGGCGAAAAGCAACAAACCGGCTGAAGAGGCAGCCAATGAAATCAGGACTTCACGTGAACACAGTGAAGACTGAGGTGAGAAACAAAACCAACCAACCGCAACAATAACAAAAACCAGCATCAGTTACCATCAACGGGAGATATTAGACAGAGGTCTCATCTTTCCTTCACTTATCTAGGAAGCATCGTTTCAACTAAAGGCAGTCGGAACGGATGAAGATTTCGACGTCAGAATCCGAATAGCAAGACACGCCTTCATCAACCTGAAACCAGTTTGGAAATCTTCTACACACAGCACAGGAAACAAGATTCGGATTTTTAGAACCAATATCAAGTCGGTCCTTCCACATGGGTCAGAAACTTGCACTGAGTGTCAGTCACGAAAAGGATTTCCAACAGGTTGCAGACTTTTATCAACAGCTGCCCGCTTCACTGGCTCCATACTGAAGATTAATTGGCAAGTCAGAAAGAATTATTAACACGAAACTATGGGAACAAACCAACAAGCAAGAGCCAATTGCTCAACAGATATGCGGGAGGAAATGGAAGTGGATTGAATGACATCTGCGCGCTGCAGGCCACTGTTTGAATGGAACCCAAATAGGAGGCACCTAGAGGATAGTTAGTACGAGGAAGACACGGAGGAGATCGTGTGGGTAAGAGATGAAAGATTAATGGTAATCATGGACCCAGCTTAATGGGGACCGTAGAAAAATAGAACAAAGTGGGCATGTGATATTGAAGCCGTATGTTCTATTCGGAACTCAAGGGAATAATAATTTAATAATAATTACAAAATGGGACTGACTTGTTTTGAAGAGTTTACCCACAATTATCCATCTGTTTAATAACTTTTATAAGACAACTATAAAGGGTTGCATAACCGACACAGTTTTATTAAGCGTTAACTTGACATACGTTTGATCCTTCCACTGAAGATTAATGGCCGTAAATTGTAATTGTATTCTATTACAAAATAGCAGGTTGGAGAATCCCTGCGTAAAACAGTAAGTCGATCTGGGAGGAAAGAACGAAAATCTCCACGTCAAAAACTTCAAATGGCAGATTCAGGTGAAATGACAAGTCGTAAACAGAAAATGTCAGTTACAAGTGGTTTACGTAACTCTATTACAAGTGTAATCTCAGAGCAACTGTCTGTAAACGATGAAATCTCGAGGTAAATATCTAAATAAAAAAACGCTTTCATTTTAAATCATCTTGTAATGATCAGTACAGTGTTGTTTAAATTTTTATGTATTAAATTTCTTGAAATATTGAACAAAATGCATTTAATCGACTTTGAACTTCACCATTGATTAATTGAACCGAAGTGTTTGACTTTTGATGATATGTCGGCTCCTTTCGAAGGTGATTCGACAATGTCTGAGGATTTTACTGCACGTAGTTTTGTGGATGATGACTAACGGTGGAATGCAGGATGCGCATTTCAACCTATTGGTGTTATCATTATCACTCACTGAGAAATAAGAGGTACATCCAGATGACCAGTCCAAGATAAGACGAAATGCGTATCATTGATTCTAGTACTGCTAATCACCATACACCAAATTGAACTAAATGGTATTTAGGACTTCAGTTAAAATATCTTTTTTGTTGGTTTTCAACTGTTGAATTAAGCGGAACACGATTATTGATATTATTTGTTCCCTGAGTCAAGAATGGAATAGAGAACTTCAGAACACACTGATGCATTATAATAAAATTACTCATAATCTTCGTAACCATATACACATATACATACATAAATCAAATGGATGACGTCTGTGGAGGTGATATATGGACTATGTCATCCCAAACTAGGCTTAAATATGATGATGCCACATGCCATGTGATTCACAAAGTCAGGGTCACTGAAGTTTTTGAAATGAAGAAAGAAGTAGGAAAAGGCTGCCCGCTGTTTTCTGTAGTACACCTGTTTGTGAGGGACGTGATGATACAGCGAATCGTGGGGAGCGATAAGACGGGCATATACTGAACTGATAAAAAGAGCCTAAAATACATGAACTTGACGAATGATTTATATCTCACGTCTGGCAAAGTTGAAGATTCACAAGTAAAAACCAACAATTTTGGGAAAGGAGGCAGGGAAGACAGGATTCTAGATGAACGCAAAGAAGGCAGAGGTAAAGACGATACGTAGGCAAAAACGACAAGCGTCATCAATAGGAAGCTAAAGGCAGTCACTACTTTTACTTATGTGCGTAGAATCGTCCCAACTACAGGTGACACAAAAGAGGTTTCAAAGCTTGGATGGTATCAGGGTACCAAGATAGGCAGTGACTACACTATAATCAGTGTGAAGTTCCCAGACACTTAGCAAAATATAAACGGGTTTTGAATTTCCAATAGTAATCTCAGTCAAATCAGTGCTTCAGATCGGCTCTGACACTAAAAGCAATAAAAACAAGCCTCCAATACCTTTCTGTCGATATAGAATACCAAATACTCAGGAAGAGGCATAAGCGACAAGGACGCTGGCAGTAAACCAGTTAACAATCCACTACTCAAAAAATATACAGGAGGCGATGGAGGTGGATTGGATATACTCTGAGAAGACCGGTAACTAACATCACACATGAAAACATAGAATGGAGCCCGAACTGGAATCAATGTGTTGAGTATCTGAGAGTGGTGTAGAGGAGACCATGTAAGGGAGGAATGAGAGAGTGAGGGTGATCATTCAGCCAGCAGAGATCACAGATCACAGTGCAGCTGTTTTGCTGATGCCCGATATACTACTCGGAATCCAAGAGACGAATGACGATAATTATAGTAATAATAGTAAATATAGTGATAATGATATTTATTTTTTTTTTTATTTTTGATTACAGCTTGATTCCATACTGTATTTTTGATGCAAGTATGGAATTTTCAGCATGGATATCGGCAGCCCAAATTTTGCAGGCTGACCATAGATACCAGGTGTGCATCGGCGGGTGATTGAACCTCGGACCATGTGCATGGTCGGCAAGCGTCCTAACCACTGCGCCACCGACGCACACGAGAATAGGAGCTACAGAAGTGTAAACTGGTCAAAGTCAACTCCATAATACTAGTAGTAATAATGTGATTAAGAGAGAGAGTAAGTGTCTAGCATAACCTTAGGCACGTCATCTAATCATTTATTCTATTACTCTTTTTTTCATTCAGCATTGAATCAAGTCAGTTATTAAGTGGACAACCGTAAGTATCTTATTGCACATACCTCATAATAAATAAATAATTAATGCTCATTCGTATTCAATCACATAATACTAAATCTCAGTTAGCGGTATTTTCTTTTCTTCAGTTTTTATCGCAATTTACAGTACTCCACACAAAATTATTCCTTTAAGTCACAGGAACTGTTAAAATGGTGAATGTGACGCCTATAATCATGTGCATCACACATTTATACGGGTGATCGGCAACAGTCCTTGAGACAAGGTTTCCTGCTTAATGACACTGATCTGTGAATTTCAAGGAATGGATGTCTTCTCACTCATTCAAACCTGTGCCATTTGATATTAAAATCAGAGACGTTTTCACTGGAGTATTTGGGCCACAGTTGGCCTCCTGTGATATTGCATCGGGGAAATAGATTAGCTAAGCGAGATTTAATAGGTAGTGTCTTGTTGTGTATACCTTACTGCTAACTGAATACTGATAGTAGAGATGTATATTGCAGATGTCATGATAGGAGACTTTTCATTCCTATGTACTTTCAAAAGATCTTAAATTTTCGAAGATACTGTGTTATTTAATAGTAATCCAGTAGCGAAATAACAGCAATAATAGTGCTAATAACAGTAAGAAAACTGAGGATGCACACTTAATACCAACTAATGAGTACGTTTGCCCACGGACTGATATCAGTTAGGGGAAGATTGAAAACCACCAGGGAGTACTGAACACCTACTTCGACCTAGATCGGGACTCACTGGCAGTAGGCGCCAACTGGGGCTCGAACCCAGTACCTTCCACTTAAAACTTGAAATACATCAAATCTCTACGATCCAACTCTTGAAAATCGATCGGATGCGCGCTAGTGACTAGCAGCAGGATGAAATTGCCTGGAATTCTATTGCTGGCAGTCGAGACTGGTGGGGTCCAGCAGATCGCTGGCGAGGACAAATATTCGCCAAGAGTGACACTGGCTGGTGGTCTCACTAAAATTACGAAAGTGGCATTCATGGGTTGTCTATTGGATCCGGTCCCTAAGGCTTAATCTTCTACAAGCTCGCCTCTTAACCGGAACGTCCTTGGTGCGAACCCTGGCGGTGGATGCATACTGAAGAAGGGTCCCAAACTAGGATGAGACGGATGTCAGTAGCTGATCAATCTTGTAATCACTGAATCCCTTGTAAACTGTTATATTTGCGCTGCTAATTGTTATAACGCTAACAAAATCAACTGGTACACTAATACGCCTATTTGTTTATTGCAACGTCCGATTCACTGAGCCACGCAAATATCCAAAACACAATGGCTGGGCTATGACTGTAAGATCACTGCATAATTTTGGAAACAACACATAATATTTATACATTTTCATCATCACAATAAAGCCGGCTCACAAACGTGAGAATGGTTTGCTCTTATTGGCTAGCAACTGCTATTCTGATTGGTTGGCATTTGACAAAGACCAAGGTGAAACAAAAGACAATGAACTGATCATACACTAAATCATAATATGCGTGAGAAATGATAGATTAACATATTAACGCCACTACAAGATAAATCATACGATTCGTAAGAAAGGATGATATACTACTTTATGCTGGACCCTATTACAAATTAACAGTAGATAAATAAAAGACAGTCTGAACGAACAATATACGTTTCAATAAATTCTATTCATAGTCTTACTGTTGTGTAAAGTACTAGTGTTCTTGGCAGTCACCAGACATTTTTTATGGTTATCAACTAGCTTGTCAGTGTGTCTTCCTCATATTGTATGAATCCATTGTGACTCATCATCCTGTTTAATGTAAGAACAGAATTTGAGTGCTGTAGTAGAATATATATAATTCCATAGGGAGGACTCGTCGACCTCTGCAAATAAGGGCTGGCTTCAGAAACCTATTAGTGGTGAGAAGAGACGACTTAGCTCTTTTATTGGGAAATATATATTATACAGAAAGGGCATAAAAATGACGTCTATACATCTTTTAAACCTATCTATAAAACTTGTTTGCGGGAGTGCGTATCCTAAAGTTTGTGGAAGCCCTAGTTAGCAATTAGAAAGTTTAAACCAATTTTATGCGTTCAAAGCAACAACTCGTCATCACATTAAACATTTCTTGGTAAACTTTGTTTTGATACCAGCCAGGGTAGATGTACTATTTATTACCTCTGTTAGTTGGTTTAGTGATTTTCATTGTTATTTTGACCTTCATTATGTCCTTCCAGCTTGATCTAAGTCTACGTTGTCACCTCTTCACACTTTATTAATTTCATTTATATATTCCTATGACAAGTCCGTGTGTGATCAGATTGTTCTAAATGTGTAAATGTGCGCAAATACATTACACGTTTCAGACAACTTATGTCTTCTTATTGCTTTGTCTGAATTCCATATTAGATACTTTTGGTTCATATAACGCAGTGTTATGGCACTAATAACTTGTTGATCTTTTGAGCATAAAACGGACCCACACAAGAAAACTTGGAGGATCTGGACATCGCCGATGATTTATGTCTGATTTCATACAAACTGGAAGATATGCAAGTGAAAAGTAACAAGTTGGCAGAAGAAGCATCCAGAGAAGAAAGGACTTCAAGGGAACATAGAGAAAACACAGATAGAGGATGAAGATTCCTGGCCAACAGCAACAGCAATGACAACAACAACAGACAACAATCAGCATAAATGGGAGGAACCTGAAAGAAACAACCTCCTTCACCTACCCACCTAGCTGGGAAGCATCCTTTCAACTAAAAGCAATGGAATTGATGAGGATATCAAAGTGAGGGTCGGGAAAGCAAGGCAAGCTTTCATTACTCTCAATTCTGTGTAGAGAACAACAGCACTCAGCAATCAAAAATAAGATCCGGATTTTCAAATCCAAAGTGAAGTCAGTGCTACTTACTATACGGATCAGAGACTTGGCGCGTCATGAAGACCACGTCAAGCAAACTACACACCTTCATCAACAGCTGTCTTCGTTCAATACCACTAAAGATCAGATGGCAGGTTTGAAAAGATCAGCAACAGGGAGGGATCTCTGGCAATGAACAAACCAACCCAGCAGGAACCAATTGTGCAACAAATATGCAGGAAGAGATGGAGGTGGATTAGTCATACCCCGAGAAAACCATCAAGTATCATCACATGCCAAGCCATCGCTCGAGTGGATTCCGAATGGGAAGCGGCGAGTTGGTCATCAGTGGGAGCGTGACGTTGAGGAGGTGATGCACGAGGGAGATGAACGCATGTGGGGAGACATGGAGCCAGGTGAAAACGTTGGCAGAGAAATGAACGCGATGGAAACGTGTGGCTGAAGCCCCATGTTCTTCTAGGAACTAAAGAAAACAATAAGAGTAATCATATTCCTGCATACAGCATATTTTGTAGTCATAACTTACTCAGCATGTGTATTATAGAAATACAATTTATTTTGTCACCTAACGACTTGAAATTGATCTGATTTTTAACTCATTATCATAATCCGTGTAAAAATGTATCCGTCGGGTACTTGTCTGTTATGATAATGATATTTCATTCACTGCATTCCGAGTGGAACACAGAACTTCAAGCTTTGAAGCGTCACTAGCAATGACGTTAAGTTTCTTCAGGCAATAAAGTTGCCAGACTTAAGCTCAAACTTCCCTCTTTACCAGGCGTAATATCAGCCTTTTAGCGGTGCATCTCCCAAGCGTCTAACCCTGGGCAATGGGCATAGTTTACAAGCATTCTACCTTTAAACCACCAACGTACCTATGACATTACTGTACGAACCCGAAGAGAGAATCTCTTGAATTGAATATTTATCTTTAAGACCAACATTTAAAGATTATTCATGAAGTCATTGTATTGCTTTTATCCTTCTCTTGAATAGGCTTAATCAGTTTCGTTGGATTGTACCTGCTAAAGGACAAGTTCGTTTAAGAATTCGTTTTCGATGTGAACAAGTTGGTCAATATGATCAAATATTTAATTTTGAATTATTAAATACACGAAGAATTTATCAATTATACTGTCGTGGTGAATGTACACTGCCAACGATTAGTCGTGAACCAAGGTAACCTCTTTTTTTAAAAAAAACCTTAAACCACATTATTTGATCATTTCTCACTGAATAAACAATTAGCCAACCCAGGACTAACTCATACAGGGTGATGACAAAATGACAGTAAGGTATCATTCAATAGCTGTGCACCATTGAGTATTATCACTGGTGTTTTCGGTGACTGAGCCCTATTGATGAGAAGGACTAATGATTCGGATGGCTTTGGTTCGAATCCTGACATCACCGAGATTTTCGTGTCACCTTCAGTCATCATATTACGACTAAACAAATAATTTTTAAAGCAACCTTATTAATAGTGTTATTGAAAATTGACAAGCACTGGGTAAATGTTTTGGCCCTCGCTGGGTTCACGGATTCTCGTTCCGAATTCAAGCCTGACTGAATTCCAACCAAGTAACTGGATGTTTAATGATTCGATCTCCAGGAGGGCCGTGGGCGTGCAGTGTTGAAGAGTTGTTCACTGGATCTTTGTTTTCAATAATGATCTCAATAATATTGGTCTGTGACGTGACTTACAATAAAATTACTCCATATCCTGATGAAACACCCTAGATCTGAAATAATTCACTGTTCTATATGAATTAATCCTACAGATTATCTACTAAATGTGTTCTCATAATGTATTCCACTTGTCTGCTTTCAATATCAAAAATTTACCACAGAACTTCAGTGTCCATATTCTCAGAATCTCTAATATCTTCTGGTTTTCCGTGATATACTATAGTTCTTGCCTTACAAAGAAATGTCTTCTTGTCACAGACAAATCGCTTTAGTTTCCTGAAGTGACCAAGGTTGGTGTATGCCAGCTTCAATATGACCATAGAGTTCTTTTGATGCTTCACCTGCGATGGTTCCTGCCGATTTTACAACAGTTCTTTGAAATTTGAGATACTTACAGATTCTATGCACTAACTATTTAATTTCGGCTTTGGTAGACACGAAGTCCCTGAGAAGATAGACAATGTCATCCATATACTCAAGTTCTAATAATCTTTCTCCAGCTAGAATATTTACCGCTACTGTCACTGACATACCTTGAAGCTATCTTTATAATATCGTCGATAGCCAAAGTTATATATATATATATATATGCGTCGGTGGCACAGTGGTTAGGCGATTCGCCGATCATGCACATGGTCTGAGGTTCGATCACCTGCCGACGCACACCTGATATCTATGGTCGGCCTGCATAATTTGGGCTACCGATTTCCATGCCGAAAATTCCATAATTGTACCAAAAATACAGTATGGAATCAAGCTGTAATCAAAAATAAATAAATAAACAAAAAATAGTGAAATAAGGTCACCCGTCCAAGTTTTCCAACGTATGTGAAGCTCTCGCCAGTACTTTCAGTGAAACCAGTAATAAACCAATATCTCATCACACCTTCCCTTGAAATACGGTAGCAGTTTCCGAAAATAGACACAATGACAGCCTCAGTTATCATTTATGGGTGACTCATGGTATCCTGAATCGTTCCAAACTTGGGAACCGTTTCTCTGATATGCGTATTGCTACTATTCGCTCTTCCAAGCCGGAAGTGGCTTATCTCGACAGTTTTATGGTGCATATAGTGCAGAAAAATCTGGTTTGTTTTAGCACCTCATCTCAAGAAGAGAACACCTAATTTTCTAGCCTCAGCTTGCTTAAATTGACGTTTATAATAACCCCTTGAACAAAACTCCTCCGACATGCTACAAGGCATTAACAGAGGATAGGAAACGTCTCATAAAAAAGGCTACTGTGTGTGTGTGTAGTTGGTGGTAGTTTGATCTCCTGGAGTCAACGCTTTGCCTGAAGAAAGAAGATACGACACCCTTTTTTGACTTCTAACGTATCAAAAACACTGACTCTTCAGCTGGATGACTGATGGCGTCATGTATATGAAAAATGACCTCAAAGTAGTGCTTCTCAAATTGCTGTTAATAACAGTTGTCCCCACACCTTATAGCTCTCAAATATGTGTTACTTATTGTTCTCTCTATACAAAAGTTAGAAATATTAGTTGCGTTAAATCGCTATGATATGTAATGTGGTGTATACTACGTTTAAACATTTACATCAGTAATATCTTATAAAACTAATTTATTTACTCAAATGTTAGTGAGTAGCTTAACTAGCTAGTATAAAAATCTAATCTCAAATCCGTGTGGAAATCAGTAGCATTCTGCACATGGAAGACTGGGATTTTCAGTACTAGTGTGGATTCAGTACTTCAACATATTCAGAACAAAATAGTTAGAGTGAGCAATTTTGGCTTCCCACTAGGGTCCCATGACCAGTAGGATGCAGCGGGTTGAAGGTGAGTCAGTAACGCATCGAAGAAGACATTGCGAATCGGTCACGCTATGTCATGAATTAGCAGAAGTTTGAATTAATGGACCATTGGATCTGGTCACAGTGACTTGATGGTCTACGAGCTAGCTCGTCTGGTAATTAGAAGGTCTTGGGTTCGAAACCTCTTGGTGGGTGCGTACTGCTGAAGAGTCCCAAACTAGGAAGAAACCACTGTCTGACAGTACTCCCAGCAGGTTTTCCAATGGTTCTGTAACGGATTTCAGCTCATGATGAAATCCTTCAACCAGCAATAGTAATAATGAATTCAGTGAAGTGAAATGAACAGGATTTTGTAAGTATGCCTATATTTATACATACACAAACCATTAAATTATTTCATCTCATTTTATCTTATGTTCTCTGTCATTGACCATGCATATTCAAAACTAACTGACTATTGTTCCATTCCATCTTACTTGTACTTGTACCACAATACACTTTCTAAAATGATTCTAATTTGCTTTTACTAGCTGGTTGGCTATGCATAAATTAATGAATTTATAATTGTAAAGCAGCCGGAAGACGAATTTATTGAAAGCACAATTGCTCACTCTGTTTTACTCCTATATACGCTTCAGGGACTTGGAGCATTATCGAAAGCGTTTCTAACAGACTATTGAAGAGTTTTGTCAACAGCTGTCTTCGCTGTTTCAACAGTGAAGGTTAGATAGCTGGAAAGAATTATTGACAGCAAGGAACTCTAGAAGTAAGTGCAACGAACTATCCGGGAATCTGCCAACCACAATAAATACGCAAAAGGCTATAGAAATTGTATATATATATATATATATATATATATATATTGCGAAGACCGCTGACTGACACCATGAGCCAAGTCATCAAGTTTGACGTGAATGAGAAAATAAGATTTGGGTTTTAGTTAGAGGGCAGCCGGCTAAAAAAGGATTGCATAGAAGCCCCAAGTTTCACTCAGACACCAAGAGAATACTAGTGATGATGATAATAGTAAAGAACTAAATTTTGAGCGTATACACTTATAAGACGAATAAAAATATTTAAGAAAAAACATACTGAATTGAATTATGTTGTAGTATGCTAACTTACGTTTTTTGCTTCAATTCCACATACAGACTGATTTATGCTAAACGGAAGCGTACACTTAATCAAGGTGAAATTATTCATGGTACTTATTTAATGTCAACATCATGTTTTGAATTTGGACCATTGCTAATTGAAAAGTCAAAAGAACGGTAATATATACATTCATTCATTGTTAATCAGTTTAATAATTATTCCAGTTGTTTACCGTTAAATGTGATGATGTATTCTTAAAAAAAGGAAAGTTATTTAACATATTTAAGTACCTATAAATATTTTAACGAATGCTGTGAGTTCGTGGATCAAATAATAATAATAATAATAATGTGGCAAATTGCAATTTAATAGGGACGTGAATAGTGAAGTCCTACATCTAAGATTGTCGAGGGCAGTAAGACGGACTTATACTGCCACCACCATCCTTTGTTTGTCATTTTCCAGCCGACCAATTATGATTGCTCAGCGAGGCGTTTGGAGTAAACACAGGAGTCAGACAAGGGTGCTTACTATCACCAAGGATATTCCTAATTGTGGTGGACTGGATTATGCGTCAGACTGTGGGAAACGAGAAGACAGGAATATCCTGGACTGACGTGAAGAACCTAGAAGACCTGGATTTCGCGGATGACTTATGTTTGATGTCACACACAATCGAAGACTTACAAGCGAAAACCGACAAACTGGTCGAAGAAGCAGTCGGAGAAGACAGGACTCCAGGTAAACATAGACAAGACGGAGGTTATGAAAATAACCAACCAACAACAGCAACAACATCCAACGCCAATCACCATCAACGGGAGGGATTTGAAAGAGGCTACTTCATTCACTTATCTAGGGAGCATTGTCTCAACTACAGACATTAGGAACGGACGAGGATGTCAAATCGAGAATCGGGAAGGCGAGCGAGAAACACATTCATCAGCCTGAAATCAATCTGGAAATCTTCGTCACTCAGCATCACCAACAAAATTCGGATTTTTAATACAAACGTAAAGTCAGTTCTTCTTTACGGATCAGAAACTTGGCGGGCGGGTCACAAAGAATATTTCCAACAGCCTGTTGCAGACCTTTATTAACAACTGTCTTCGCTCAATACTGAAGGTCAGATGGCCGGAAAGAATCACTAACAAGGAATTATGGGAACAAACAAAGCAAGAACCAATCGCCCAACAATTATGCAGGAGAAAGTGGAGATGGATCGGACACTCACTGAGGAGACCGCTGGGTGATATCGCGCGCCAAGCCCTCGAGTGGAACCCGAAAGGGAAGCGGCGTGTGGGACGTCCAAGGGTGACATGGAAGAGATCGTGTGAAGAGGAGTTGAAAGAATATGGATTAACATGGATGCAGGCGAAAAGTATGGCAGAAGACAGAAGCAAATGTAGACGTGCAGTTGAAGCCCTATGTTCCACTAGGAACCCAAGGGAGCAATAATAATAATAAAATAATAAAATTATGATTGCTCAGCCAAAGAAAAGTTACCTAGCTGTGCCACTTCTATGTGTATCTACAAATATAGTTCCCCTTGTGGCGAAAGCTGCCTATATAGGGTGAACAACTAGATAGCGGAACAAACGTAATCATGAGCATCTTCCTTCATGGCTCGGAAATGATCAAATGAAATCTATAAGAAGTTCTATTTTGTCTCATTTAATTGATGATAGAGGTCACCAAGTGGACAGAAGAAGTGCCTTCAAAGTTATTTATCGTATTCCCTTGGACCTTTCGAACGGAATCCGAACCCGCCTTTTACACATAGCCGAAGCTATGGGAATTAATTTGGAAGAACAATCTTAGTCTTTGAATATAAAAGAAGTTTGTTCGATCACCTGTCTCTCCCTTGACCTAGATAAATTCTAATCATAACCATCCCACCTTTCCTTATTTTCCATTTCCTTCGTACTTTTATGATATTTTTTAAAACTGTGATTATCTGTCCACTTCACCTTTAGTATTACGTAACTTTTAAGATTAGACCTAATTTATTTATTGAATTGTCTACATATACACATAATTCTGCCTTTGTTATTCTTATCACCACCTGCATAAACCTTATTATCAATATTTTGTTATCATTATAACCATCGTTACTACTGACTTTCAAAACATTTGCCACATAATTATTATTATCGTTATTATTATTTAATCCACAAACTCACCGTCATTGGTTAAATCTACGTAAATTAAAGTAAAGCCTGAAGAAGATCTAATATTTATGTATGTATTTAGAACCTTTAATGATTAGTTCTGAAGTACACTGAAATCTGAATATAAAGTCACCTGCTTGATAAACCAAGTATTTGAGCAAAGAAAGAATGGGCCCTAAATAGGACGAAATGTGCATCCTAGATTCCACTGCTAGTCACCATCCAACAATTAAAGATGACTTAGTTTATCAACTGTAAATGGAAATTATTTGATGTCGTGGAAGCTTTGCTGTTTAGTCGTTGGCACTTCACTTTCATGCTTTTTCCCTTTTTGATGAAATTAGTTCTGAATATAAAGCCAATCGTCAACATGGAATGTCAGAAGTCAAAAGTGATTAGACTGAATTAGAATATAAAATTATACAATAGATAAAATAATTTTATTTGACAAATTTGGAACCTTAATAGTGAGTTCAAATCAGCGAGTGAAAATGAAAATTAAGTGGAATTTGAATAAAGCAAGAACAACAGTTGAGGTTTGTGCAGAATAATATGGTACTATCAGTGCTTAGTTCGTTGGCTTCTCATCAGCTGCTTACATCCTAAATAAATTGTGAGGTTTATGTACAGAAAAGTTTTAACATACTTGCAAATTTTTCATGATGTCAGTTGACAGAAAGTTCAGCAATCAGTGAACAGTGTTCAGAAAATCGCACTTGTGTAGTTTTTACACAGCCAGTTCAAGTTTAAACCAAATAAATGTATGCATACAATGGTAGCGGTGTTACATAATAAGGACGGAAGATGCGTAAGATGCTGAGTGACTAATAAATTAGGTAACAATATACTAAGTTCAACTCAAATCATAGAAATAAGAGACAAGCAAAATCACAAATTATAAAAGGGGGGTGATTTTAAAGCCAAAGATTACGTAATCAAATGAAAGAAAGAATAAAGACATCCAATTACCAGGATGAGCAAGGAAAGACTAATAGCTGCTTCTTTTTGAACACATAAATCTGGTTTCAAGCGTTTGATAGAAATTGTTTCGGCAAACTTGAGGAGAATCCAACTCCTCTGTCTATTGGTAGTCTTAAAGGATTTCACGATTTCCACCTGATGACCCGTGTCGAGGAGATGTCTGGTAATAGCGCTGCTATAAGAGTTTGTTTCCTTGAGACGTAGGCTTTTCAGCACATGTTCAGAAAACCGGAGGTGTGCCCTTCTTTCTGTTCTTCCAGTGTAACTGCCGCCACTAATACACATACATTTTTATCTGTCGACTTTTGACTGCACCAAAGAGCATGTTGTTTGATGCACGGGAACCAACTTAGCCATAGGATAGGCTCTGGCTAGCTAGAGTAAGTATATTAAGACTTTTCTGTATATAAGCCTCATAATTTATTTAGGCTGTAAGCAGATGAGCTGATAAGAAGCCAACGAAATAAGCAATGATGGTACCACATTATTCTGCACAAACCTCCACTGTTGTTCTTGCTTTATTCAAATTCATTAAGAGGAATAAATGTGTGAAATTAAGGGGAATGTTATGCAGCAGAACTCGAACATAAGCACAAGCACGCTTACCAGGGTAGTAAAAGATTAACACACTATCTTTTTGCATACGTAGGTTGTTTGAAGTCTTTTGATAGCAGGGGTTTCTGGGGACCAAAGTAACCATGATTTCCTTTCTGTATTGATTGTTTCGAAGGCCTGATTAATTCCTTTGTGTCCCGTATCAATTAAGTGTCTGATATTCGCACTTGTGATCACTTTGTTGACCTCCAAACGGAGAATTTGAGAGATATGCTAGGAAAATCTGGTAGGCGTTCCCCTCTCAGTACTTCCTTTTTACTTGTTGCCTTAATTCCAGATAAATTGGTAAATACAATGATTTCAATTTCGCTTTTTCTGTGTTTTAGTATTCAAGAGAATTGTTATCCAGAGAACATAACCTATTTCAATCTAGTGAATACATCTCAAATGGATACAGATATTAAGCTAGGCTTTTTATATGATATTAATGAAGATTGTTATAGTGTTCAACCGAATCAATTAAGTCTGCAACCGAATCAATCATCTACTGTAAAAATTTGTGCTTTTCCAAAATTACATAAACGTTATATTGATGCACTGGTGTGTTCAATCAAAGATAATCCAGAACCAATTCAACTGAAGTTAGCTTGTGATGGTGTTCTACCAGAATTGGAGTTGGATAAGAAGGCGTTTAATTTTGAAAAAGTATTATTACAAAGGTAAATTTATATCTGCTGAGATTGATGTCAGCCATATTGACTATTCTATTTTGAATTTTGTGAATTTTTGATTATAGCTTGATTCCTCACCGTATTTTTGGTAGAAGTATTTTCTTAGATGATTTAACCAACTGCCTAGTTAAAGTTTTCACCGGTCATTCCTACTTGAGCATGATTCGACAGAGAGTAGCAGGTAGTTAACTGATGGTGCTATCCATTCAGACAGTCTTCTAAATAATGGAGACGATTTGTAGCTCAAATGAATGATGGTGAATTAGTCGTGTTCTCTGAGGAGCTGATTGTAGATTGAATTAAGAAGCTTTCGTCGTCCATCCCCCTCCCTGCTTCTAGACAACATCCCCCTTCAGTGAAGGTTTTAGTATCAAAATGAACTCATTTAAATTCTACATGAATGATGTAATTGTGTCTGTCTCTTGGTTACCATTATTGCCACAGAAAAGAAATAAATTGTATGAACTGCAATAAACATTACATTGGTCAAGGTGGGCGTCCCATTTTTGAGTTCGAATTCAAGAACACAAGTTGGCTACAAAAAGACATGGTATATACTCTTTCGTATCAATACATGTGGATAATTATGGACACCAATTTGATGATTAAGATAATGTAGAAATTTTAATTAACTGAAGCACCAAAAATTCAGTCTGGTAATCCTAGAATCCTGGTACTCAACTGAATTAGTAATTAATAAACACACATTAGTATAGACCAAATTTACCAGCTAATAATAGATAAATTAGATGATAAGAAAGTTCTAATTCCAAGTAAATAAAAATGATCCATGGAGATGTAAATTAACAACCAGTTGCGACAGTGGTTGTTAGGAAATACAATTACATCATTCATGTCAAATTTAAATGAGTTCGTTTTGATACTAAAACCTGCGATGAGCGAGATGTTGTCTAGAAGGCAAGGGAGGGGGACAAAGAAAACTTCACAATTAAAACTACAATCAGCTCCTCAGACAACACAATTAATTCAAGACAGTCTTCGTTCGGAAGACTATCATTAGTACCATGAGTGATTTCTAAAGGTGTAATGAAGACATAGACATCGATACTATTCAGGCCGTCGAGCTCTGCATGACGAATCCTGTTGTATACACGCTGCAAGACCAGAATCTTATTGTAACCGCCATGGGTGTCAGCATGTCGTCATATGAGTAAATGATACATAACCGTTCGTTAAATTCCGGAATAGATGCCTATCTAGGTCTCCTCTGTTTATTGTGCTTGAGCACAACAACAGGTCAAAGTTTCGAACTATATCAGGATTCAGATTGTCCCTTAACCTCCAATGGTCATTTATTACATGGACAACAGTCTTCCAAGTTTATTTATTTATTTTTTGATTATAGCTTGATTCCACACAGTATCTTTCGTACAACTATGGAATTTTCAGCATGTGATATCGGTAGCCCGAATTCTGCAGGCGGACCATTGATATCTAGTGTGTGTCGGCAGGGGATCGAACCTCAGACCATGTGCATGATCGGCGAATCGCCTAACCGTTGTGCCACCAACGCTTTAATGGATTACATCAACGTAGAAAATTTCTGTCTAGATGCTTAAAAGAAGTCTACAAACATTTGTAAACATTAAACAAACTCCGCAGCTTGAAAATTTATGTTTAAATGTCAATTTTGGAAAATAAAAGTAAGGCTGAATGCTCTTCGCCCAGCAAGCACTGAAAAAAAGCGAAGACGACTGCATGCATATCTACACGTAACTTGATTTGATATTTCGGTCTGCACAAAGCAACAGTGGTCGTGCACAGATTGTTATTCAGAGGCTATATATAATGTTACTAGAATTGGTTGGATATTGGCTTCATTAAACGCAGTTAATACCATGTTAGTCCTGTTTAGGGATACCTTGTGTCAAAATTTATTATTCATTATTCCTATGATTTCCATAGTTGCCCATAAGCTCACATCTCTTCCTCACATGACCTCTTCCATGCCACCCTTAGACACATGCCAAACTCGTCGTCTCTTATTCGTCTTCACATCGATGGTCTGGCTTGCGTGTGGTGTCATTTAATGATCTCCTCAGAGTGTGTCGAACCCATCTCTATTTCCTTCGGCAAAATTTTTTGGATGGTTCATTTCCAGTGTTCCTTGTTACTAATCCTTTCTGGCCACCTGATCTTCAGTATAGAGACAAAGTAACTGTTGGCAAAAGTCTACAACAACCAGTTGAAAATGCTTTCTGTGGCACTGGAGCCAAGTTTCCGCACCATAGAGAAGCATGAACTTGACATTTATATTGAGAATCCTTATGCTGAGTGCGGTAGATCTCCACACATGTCAGATTCATGAAGATCTACGTTGTCTTCCCGACCCTGATTTCGATATATTCATCTATGTCATGACTTCCTTTAAATTCCTCCCGTTGACAGTGATTGATGCTTGTTTTTTTTGATTGCTAAGTATCTCCATCACTTCTTTCTTCTCGGTATTCACCTGGAATTCCATCTTTGCTGCTTCTTCGGACAACTTGATGGATTCCGCTTGTAGATCTTTAAGTTTGCGTGATATCAGACATAAATCATCTAAGAAATTCAGATCTTCTACAGTCTTTATGCCGGTTCAACGTACGATTTGAGAGTTTTAGTGGTGTGGGTTTGGAACCGGCTAAAAAACTTGCGAGCTAGTTAATTAGGGGACGATGCATGTCTAACGTCACACTAACTGGAAGACTCGCAAGCGAAAACCAACAAACCGGCTGAAGAAGCTGGCTGGCAGTGAAGACAGGACTTTAGGTGAGCATTGAGTACACGGAGGTGATGAAGATGACCAATCAGCATCATAAACAACAACCAACACCAATCACCATCAGTGGGAGAGATTTAACAGAGGTTGCTTCCCTCAACTGTCTAGGATGCAGCGTTTCAACTAAAGGCACCTCGGACGGATGAAGATGTCGAAGTCAGTCAGAATCGGAAAAGTAAGATACGCCTTCATCAACCTGAAACTAGTTTGGAAATCTTCTACAATCAGCACAGGCAACAAGAATCGAATTTTCATCACCAATGTGAAGTTGGTCATTCTATACGGGTCAGAAACTTGCACTGCATGTCACGAAAGGGATTTCTAACAGGTTACCGACTTTCATCAACAGCTGCCTTCGTTAGCCGGCTCCCTACTGAAGATCGAATGGCCAGAAAGAAAAAATAACAAGAAACTATGGGAATGAACAAACAAGCAAGAGCCAATTATTCAATAAATATGTACTAGAAAATGGAGATGGATCAGGCATACATTGAGGAGTCCGCTAAATGACATCGCACGGCAAGCCCTCAAGTGGAATCCAAATGGGAAGTGACGAGTGGGTTGTCCTAGTGTGACACGAAAGAAGTAGTATGAAGAAAAGATGAGAGATTATGGGCGATTGCAGAACCAGCTGAAGAGGACGGCAGAAAACAGAACAAAGTGGAGGCGTGTTGTTTAAGCCTTATGTTCCACTCGGAACTCAAGGGAATATTAATAAAAATAATAGTAATAATAATCTACGTGGGAGGAACCTGAAAGTAACAACCTCCTTTACCTACCTGGGAAGTATCGTTTCAACTACAGGCGGACGGAAAGGATGAGGACATCAAAGCCAGAATCGGAAAAGCAAGACAACCCTCCATTACTCTTAAGTATGTGTGGAGAACAACAGCACTTACCATCAAAAATAAGATCCGGATTTTCAACTCCAATGTAAAGTCGGTGCTACTCACCATACGGATCAGAGACTTGGCCAGCGTGTCATAAAGAGCATATCAAACAAACTACAGACTTTCATCAACAGTTGTCTTCGCTCAATACTCAAGATCAGATGGCAGGCCAGAAAAGATCAGCAACAGGGATCTCTGTCAATGAGCGAACCAACCCAGCAGGAATCGATTGTGCAACAAATATGCAGGAAGAAATGGAGATGCATTGGCTGGCCATACTCTGAGAAAACAAACCATCAAGTGACATCACTAGACAAGCCATTGCTCGAGTGGAACCAGGCTGAAAGGGAAGCGGCGAGTTGGTCGTTAGTGCAAGGGTGACTTGGAGGAGGTCATGTGAAGAGAAGATGAAAACCTGTGGGCAGACTTGGAGCGGAGTGAAAATGCTGGCAGAAAACAGAAGGCAATGGAGGTGCTCAGCTGAAGCCCTATGTTCCTCTAGAAATTAAAGGTTATAATAATAATAATCTAAGCATGCTAATGAAAAACCTAGGTGTTATCAGCATTCACTACTGAAAAGTTCTCTACAAGAATGAAATAACAGAATGGTATTTTTATTCAACATTTTCACCAAAATTTATGTTCAGGATCCAGTAATAATAACTTTCACAGTGATGTATATACTGCCACGTTTTCCAGTGGTTCTTTAACTGATGTCAGATCATGTTGAAGTCCTCCATCCAATCAAACAAATCCCCACAAAACCAATACTTGAAAATTAATCGTTTGATCACTATCGACTGGCTCTATTCGAGCAGTTAATCTGGGGTTACAGTGAGCAGCCGTGACCAGTAGGGAACTGTAGGTTGAAGATGAGACAGTAACTCATCGAAGAAGACATTGAGAAGTGGTCCCAATATGTCGTGAATTGGCATAAGTTAGAATTCATGGGCTGACTAGCTATTGGATTGCGTGGGTCCCAGTGGCTTAATGGTCTATGAGCTCGCTAGCCTTGTAACCAGAAGGTTCCGGATTCTAACCCCTTTGGTGGGTGCGTACTGACGAAGAGTCCCAAATTAGGTTGACGAAACGGCTGCCCAGTACTCTTTGCAGGTTTTCCAATGGTTCTCCAACTGATATCACCTCATGATGTAATCCTCTATCCAATCAAACAAAATCATTACAAAATCAATACTTGAAAAGATATTTGTTTTTATCATTATTATTATTATTCTCCTTTGACAGAAAAGAAGTTCGTTCAATTGTATTAAAAAATAATACTTTATTACCAGCACAATGGAAGCTGTCTGGAATTGAAGCATTAGGTGATGAATTCTCAATTTCACAAGATGCTGGTATTGTTGAACCAAAATCTGAATGTATTGTCTATGCTTATTTTCGTGCTATGAAACCAGTGAAATCAAATCAGAAGAAAAATTTACGCTTAGAAGTTTATGATTTAGAAAATATTGCTGGTTTAATACAAGTGGAGACAATACAAGTGATTGCTGAAGCCTATGACGTGGCTTTAGATATCAACTTTCCTAAAGGTTAGTTTTATGCCTCTACGTATCAGTATGAATCTCCCTATTTATTATTTTTCCTCATTTTGAGTAAAACTGGAGGGTTTTGAACCGCTCAAAGTTTCAGTCGTGATAGAGTTGATAACTTGACGCCTAACGTTTCAAATTTACCTTGCTTACGAACACCTAGCAAGTGAGGATGGGCTTACACGTCTATTGGCGTGACTGGCGAGTGCTATACCACTGAACCTACTAACTTGATTGTTATTATCACTGTTTCTTTGAGTTCCCAGTGGAGCGTATGGCTTTAGCGTCACGTCTTCACTTTGTCCTATTCTCCGAGGTCCTCCTTGGCTGACCTCTTGATTGCCCATATTTTCTCATCTCCTCTTAATATGATCTTCTCCATATTGCCCAAGAAGTCACGCTCAACTCCTCGTTTCCCATTCGGGTTCTATTCGATCACTGGCCTGTATTGTGTGTGTGTGTGTTGTTATTCGGTGGTCTCCTCAGCGTGTGCACGATCCACCTTCATTTTCTCCGGGATATTTGTTGAGCAATCGCCTTTTTGTTGCTTGGATCCCAAAGTTTCGTGTTGATAATTCCTCTTGGCCATCTGATCCTCTATATGGAACTGAGACAGCTGTTGATGAAAGTTTGTAACCTGTTGGAAATACTTACCGTGACCAACTGTTTAGCAGAGTACATATAAACAAGGCTAGTATGTTTGGATACAGTTGATTTAAACTCTTTCACTACTTATTAACCAATTAATTATGCGGTATTTACTCAGCTCCTGTGTTAATCTCTTTTTCTAACTTTTTGTCTATATGATTTCTTTAAAAACGATACTTAAGCAAGCCATGAACCGGTAGTATTAGTCCTTCCAAAGGTGGAATAGCCGAATACCCTGTGAGAACCCGTCACATCATGTTAACTGCTGTATCCTTTGAAGTCACTGAAAAAGTGAACAAACATTTACAACAAATAGTTTTTTTTACAGGATTTCATCATGAGCTGACATTGATCAGAAGACCATTGGAAAACCAGCCGGAAGTACTGAACAGCTATTTCGTCAGCCTAGTTTGGGACTCTTCATCAGTACGCACCCGCCACAGGGGGTCGAACCCAGGACCCTCTGGTTACGAGGCGAGCTCATGATAAAATCCTGTAACCAATCAACCAAATCCCTACAAACCAACACTTGAATATCGATGAGATACTCACTAACGACTTGCCCTATTCAGGTAGGTAGTTACCTGGGGTTCTGGTGGGAAGTCGTGAACAGTAGGGTGCAGCAGGTCAGGTGTGAAGACAAATACTCGCCGAAGACATTGGCTAGCGGTCGCGCTATGCTGTGAATTGGCAGAAGTTAGAATTCATGGGCTGGCCATTGGATTCGGTCCCAAAGGCTTAATGGTAAACGAGCTCCACTTGTAATCAGAAGGTCCTGGATTCGAATCCCGGCGGGCGCGTACTGCTGAAGAGCACCAGAATAGGACGAAACAACTGTCCAGTACTCCCAGGTTTTCTAACGATTCCCTAACTAATGTCAGCTAATGATGAAATCCTGTAACTAATCAATCAAATCCCTACAAACCAACACTTGAAATAGTTTCTCTTTGACTATTTTGATTTGTAAAACCTTTCATCTTAAGCATGAAAAGTGGAATGTTTGTATATTTAATGAAACCTGTCCTTAATTACTTTTTTTGCTAATCGATAAATCAATGAAATTCAGTCAACATTATGTAGCTGGTCGATGGAAAGTGTTCATTTGAGTAATGTAGAACCTCTTAAATATTAATATTTGCAAATTTGAACAGTTTGATAATGTTACTTGGGCACTGTGGTAAAGTATAAATCCATTATGGATAAACTTTTACTTTGATAAGATCACACAGTGTGTTGTTATGCAGTAATTATTATTTACTGATAACCACATTTCGAGAACAATTTATCATTCCTGCTACTCATAATCATATCAAAGCGCTCATACAACTTTTTGCCTTCATCTATGTACACGAGTAAAAAAAAAGATGATTAGATACATTTGAATAAAATCAATATAAGGTGATAAAGTACATTTGGAAATAATAATAATAATATTAGTGTTATTGATGAAATACAATCAAATGTTTTATAGTCAAAATAAGTAACTTGTTAAAATGTTATAATGTGACTTGAATACATTTTAACATTACTTATTATCCTCCGATTTGACTGGTGGTCATAATATCTTCCATATCTCAGGTATCTGCGTTGAGTCACTTCTATTTCATGTGCTGTGTTGTGTTGGGTGTGCAGACTCGATAAACCACGATTCAGTAATCAATCTCTATCTCTCCTCACCTACCTATATTACTCTTTAGAATTTTGACTTTGTCCCACCCACCCTACTGTGTGGTTGTGTGTTAATGCATGCAGTACAATGCAATGCTGAGCTTTTTACTAAATTACTTATCTTCGCGGTTGGGATCATTCATTCCAACCTTAGCTAAATTCTTATGTTCTGATAACCTCACTACTCGTGATCTGCTAGTTCGACTTGTATAGTTGACTTAACTCACAGTCATCTCAAGGTATTTTTTAACTTGTATTATTTTGTTTAATTGTGTCCACTTGGTCCACCCCTATATGTTTTATTCTGAGGATATTTTAGAGTGAAATCACACACCAGATCCTCTTGTGGACGTAGAGTGAAAATCAATGACTTTAGCAGAGATTCCAATGGTAATATGTCGAAGATCATCTGAAGAGGAAGTGAAGGCTTGTCTCCAGTTGTACAGCAAGTTAGAAGGGATGGCAGAGAAAAAGGTGCAAGTGAAGTGTTCCACTGATTCCCCGCGCTGCGTTCGGAATTTGAAAAGTGTATAAAAATATAATAATAATAATAATATTGTTATTCTAAGACAGTACAAGTGACAAAATTACTAACTTCCTTCTTTAATATATTTCATTTCCCTTCTCTTTATAATCCCATATTTGCTGGATAGGTAGTGATGGTGGGATTGATTTTGGTTTAATCAAAGTTGGTGAAGAAGTGAAACATGCAATCACATTAAAAAATAAAGGGCCTTACGAAATTATAGTCAAGTAAGTAAGAGTCGGACTATGGTCAGTAGAACTGCTTTATAAAATCTGCCATATTTTTAACTTGTTATCGAATATACCTCAAAGTAAAAGAGCAATATCAAAGGCATAAGCTAAAGTTACGCCAGACAGGGTTTTTTCAACCAATTTGTTATTGCTGTAGCCTTAGAAAACAGAATGCTTTGAGAGCAATAAGGCTGCAAGTCGTCACCATTTGTGAAAGCTGCGATAAATATTACTTATGCTGAACCATTGTCCTCTTATTTTTGGTTGAGTTGTGTTCTCTGAGATGTATGGTTTAATTGTGAAGCTTTCATTGGCTTACTAGGCAACATCCTCAGTGCGTACTTGTGAGTGCCTAATTGGTTTCAACACAATACTTTGCACTGATGTGAAACAGTTCGAGTCGCTACACTCAATGTAGCAAACAAAGCAAGAGAAGAAAGTAAAAGGAAATCCAAATATATAGACAGTAAACAGAGATATGAAGCCAAAAGAATAGTAATATGGAAGAACAATATAGTTTCATTGGATACCATAAGTCACAAGGAGTGGATGCATCTGTACCAACCATCAGGAACGGTTTTGAACCATATCACTGATTGTCTCCAGCCATTGGTGTTTACCGTCCCGGGGACTCCAACCAGGAAGTCTACGTCTCCCTCCGTGTCTGGCTTAAACTAACTCCTGAGGATTTCATTGACTGACAAAGCCATATTTTGGTTTGACTACTACTAACTCTTTTCCAACCTGGCCCTGTGTCAGCTAACACTGCCCGTCGAGGAAAGCGATGACTAGAGATGCATGAGTAACACATGTCCTAACCATCTCAACTGATGTAACTTCACAGCCTCCTCTATTGATTTCCCGTCTATACCTAGCACTCGACTCCTAATGTCAATAATGATTGTAAATTACTTTGCAGATTAAATTTTATCTCATCAGGTCATTGAGGCGGTCCTTTAGTCTACAAAGTTTGACAATGAGTAAGATTTTAGGTTTGAACTCCACAGAAAACAAGCAGTTTCACTGCCATAGCACCAGTACTAGGGATATGAAAAATATTAATACTGAGGGATAGGAAATATTGGAAATCTATTAACGACATCTAAAAGTTAAATAACCAACCACCTTAGTTTGATTATGAGCAACAAATTCTGCTCACTAGACATCTAGTGCTTTTTAAGCATAACACGCATGTGAGATTCTACTCATACACCTCACGACAAGCTGACTTACTTCATTCACTCATTTATTCATTCACTTATGACTCTTGTTCAGTTCAATAACTAAATTCTTTATCCTCTGTAAACTTTGCAAACTGTCTGCATTTCATTCGTAAAAGGGAAGGTGAAATTGGGTTTGTAGAATTCTGTATCTGTATAATGCTTGATGATGACTGACGACGAAATAAGAATATGGGTAATAACGGAATTCCTAAGGATTGGTTTTAAGATTCTTAAACCTGTGTTACGTGCTACTGAAAAGATTTATCAGTAGTATATAAAGAGACGTCCACGAGCACACAAAAATATCAAATAGCGGAGAGACAGATCTACTGTCAGAGAGAGGAAATGAACCAGTATCGCTTTAAAACTATGGAGATATGAAAAGAAGACAAAGAAAGACATTACGAAGAGGGAGAAGTAGTAAAACACGAAAGACCTGAGCAAATGATAGTTTTACTGTAGTGTATACATAATCTCCGTATGTATGTATAACAAATTGAAGATAAACATTCCCCTACCTAGTCTCTTGTTACAACCCGAGTATCTACCAACTGAGATATGAAACCCACATGCTAACTGGGTCATTATTTTATCCACGTTATCACAAGTAATACCTCGTCCTATTTACGACTCTTCAGAAGTACCCATCTACCAGCCTTGTAACTGAAAAGTCCTGAGTTCAAACGCCGTTGAACCCTTTTGTACTGAGGAATCCAAGGCCAAGACGAAACATATGTCCAGTACTCCCTGATTTTGCAATGATTCTCAGACTGATGCCAAATAGTCGTCAAAAACCTATCACAAGTTTATCATGTGAATGCATAATATGTAATTATAAGTTCATTATTGAACTAGATGTCTCTCTGCTCTTTTTGTATCTTGAAGATACCTTCACAAGAAGTAGCAAAATCACATCTAGCATTGTTTCAAAATCCGCCGCTTATATCCGTCTAATATTTCCACATTTTTCTAAAATAGTTTCATATTTTCCAAAAATGCTGCAATGAAAATGAACTACACTGAAGTGTTTACTATGTCACCACAACGTATCAGTCTATCACCTACAGATAAATCTGCTCAAATCAATGTAAGTTTCTATAAAATAAACTAAAAAGTGATCGTGAGTTGAATGTATTAATTTATGCGCTTTTAATTTATTTTTTTTTTAAAGAGGAAATATCCTTCCTTTTCATCTCCAGTAAACATCAGACTCTACGGATCATCACTGAACAAAGCTTGGAATGGCAGTCACCTCTCTATCTCAACTTCATTGACTTTGAAAAGGCCTTCAGCAGACAGTGTCGATCGAGAGGTGATTTGCCAACTACTTCTCTAGTACGGAGTGCCATCTACAATTATACATTTCATCCAACAGTTATATGACAGTGCTGCATGCCAAGTAATATACAACGGGAAAATTATGGAAACCTTCGAAATAAGGACGGGAGTGAGACAAAGCTGGCTGCCTACTATCACCAATAATTTTCCTGATTGCAGTAGATTAGATAATGCGACAGAAAACTGGCAGTAGGGAAAAAGGCATAATATGAACTCACACAAAATACTTGGAGGATCTGGACTTCGCCGATGATATATGTCTGCGCCGTCGCACACCGGATATCAATGGTCGAGATGCAAAATTTGAGCTACCGATATCCATACTTAAAATTCTATACTTGTACCAAAAATACGGTGCGGAATCAAGCTGTAATAAAAAGTAAATAAAATAAAAATAAAATTTCCCACAAACTGGAAGATATGCAAGTGGAAAGCAACAGGTTGGCAGAAGAAGCATCCAGAGAAGAAATGACTTCAGGTGAACATAGATAAAACAGAGGTGATGAAGATTCCTGGCCAACAGCAGCAGCAACAACAACAACAGACAACAATCAGCCGGCATAAATGGGAGGAACCTGCAAGAAACAACCTCCTTCACCTACCTGGGAAGCATCGTTTCAACTACAGGCCGACGGAACTGACGAGGATATCAAAGCAAGGATCTGGAAAGCAAGCCAGGCTTTCATTACTCTTAAGTCTGTGTGGAGGTCAACAGCCAATACTCATCATCCAAAATAAGATCCGGATTTTCAACTCCAATGTAAAGTCGGTGCTACTCACCATACGGATCAGAGACCTGGCGCGTCATAAAGAGCATCTCAAACAACTTCACACCTTCATCAACAGTTGTCTTCGCTCAATACTCAAGATCAGATGGCCGGCCAGAAAATATCAGCAACAGGAATCTCTGTCAATGAGCAAACTAACCAGGAACCGATTGTGAAACAAATATGCAGGAAGAAATGGAGGTGCATTGGCTGGCCATACTCTGAGGAAACCATCGAGTGAGTGACATCACTAGACAAGCCATTGCTCGAGTGGAACCAGGCCGAAAGGGAAGCGTGTGGCGAGTTGGTCGTTAGTGCAAGGGTGACTTGGAGGAGGTCATGTGAAGAGGAGATGAAAGCATGTGGGCAGACTTGGAGCGGGGTGAAAAAGTTGGCAGAAAACCGAAGGCAATGGAGACCTGGGCGGCTGAAGCCCTATGTTCCTCTAGGAATTAAAGGATATGATAATAATGAACATCAGACTGAATTTTAATAGGTAATTTGTATCTCAACCATAAAGAAAGCACAGTTTTTCACATATGAGTGATAAGTGATGATCACTATTCATTGTGTATAGAAGTACTGCCTAGTAGACTGTTCCTCTTTTCAAATTACTGACTCAGAAATTTAACTATCCAATGAATAGCTAGTAAATAGTGAGGAATTATTCAAATAATACATTGAGGTTTCTCAGTCCCATTGCTAATGGCTTCATCTAAGGTGATAAGCGCAAGACATTGAAAACATTTTAGAAACCAGGAGTGTCTTCCAAACAGGTAACGTTATCATATTTTTGCTAAATGAACTGATTTGTACTGAAAATGTTACTAATAAAATCAGTTGCCTAAGTCTATTATTAAATGCATCAATTTCAAATTAATGATAAACAGAAATCAGTTGATATATCATTAAAAGAGTCACTCACAGTGGTTTTTTGTCAGTTTCAAAACTTTTAATGACAGTAAGACAGATATTTCGTTCAAGTGCTGGTTTGCAAGGATTTGATTTGGTTACAAGATTTCATCAAGAAGGGATATTGGTTAGAGGACCACCGAGAAACCATCAGGAAGTACTGGACAGCTTTTCCACCCTATTTTGAGATTCCTCACAAGTACGCACTCACTGAGATTCGAATCCAGGACCTTCCGGTTACAAGGTGAGCTAGTATGTCATCAAGCCACTGGGACCCGATGCAATGGCCAGTCCATGAATGACGACTTCTACCGAATGCATTATATGGCGCGACCACTAGCAAATGTTATCCGTGGAAATTATTCGTCCTCACACCCAACCTGATGAACCCTACTGGTCATGATTTCCCACTAGAACTCAGATAACTACCAACCTTTAGGCCGGGTCACAATGGCTTAATGGTCTACGAGCTTGGTTTGTGAGCAGAAGGTCCTAGGTGCGTGCTGCTTACGAGTCCCAAGCTGGTGAGACGAAACAGCTGTTCAGTACTCTCAGGTTGCCTAATAATCCTTTAACCGATGTCAGTGTATGATGATATCCTGTAATTAATCGAATAAAATCCCTACAAACCGACACTTGTTTATTAATATTTACTAAAAATGAATAGAAGTCTGTTACTGAGTAATAGAAGAATGAAATCGTTGTTACAGTTATTCAGTAATGGTTGGAGTAATTAAAAGGCATGAAAATTTGATAAGGTGGAAATTGTCCTTGGATGAGAAGCAGGTAACTTGAGTATTCGCTTAAAAAATGTGATGAAAGCGATAGAATAAGCTCACTAGTAAAATATGTAAAATGATCATGTAAGAGTGATCATTGTGAACTATAGAATAAAAACAGAGACAAACAAGTAGGTAGGAGTTTATGACTATGATAGAGTACACAAATCTTTTCTTTACACACATTTGGAGATTGCGTTGACACAAAATGCTAGCGCCTGCACCACACATGTGATGGAACCTAACATTCCTTTAAACGTTCAGCTTTACCTTGTAGATAATTTGAAAACAGGGCTGTAGCGTGTGTGTGTGTGTTTAATCTGACTGAACCTGTCATAAGTACGATAACTGAGCAAGTGATCAGCTCGCATTATCTATTTTACAACCATGCTAGATAGTGTTCTGAGATATATTTGCAAAGTCTTCAGGTAAATCAGTTTTACAGGAGCAAGTGAATTTGCAGACACACTGGAGTTCCCTAAAATGATACTTTATCCTTCATATTATATACTGGTCATTTACTGAATGTAGGAATTTTCACGTGTCTCAACCGAAAACAAATCAGATTGTTGGCCATACATACTATCACATTTAAATTTGACATTCATAAACAGCAATTTCTCCGTGGCTATGGAGATGCTCTCCGGCTACTGATTTTATTCTGATGTTTTTACTAACTAATCTTGTGGAGTATATAGCTTCAGTCAGGGCTTGTCTGAGTCGATTGTACCACTGATGCAAATGCTTCTAATTCCTTGATGATAAGGAGTTCATCATCGGTGGCACAGTGGTTAGGACTCCCGCCGACCATGCACATGTTCCGGGGTTCGAGTCCTCGCCGATGCACACCTGATATCTATGATCGGCCTGCAAATTCTGGGCTACCGATATCCACGCTGAAAATTCCATACATGTACCAAAAATACGGTGCGGAATCAAGCTGTAATCAAAAATAAAAATAAAATAAAATAAATCAGGTATCTTTTTCTTCTCAAAGGTATTCAAATATCAAATTTTGTTTATCGACCTCTCCATTTGGTCTTCCTGTTACCTTGGGTTCCAGTGGGAAGTCGTGACCAGTTGAGTGCAGTTGGTTAGGTATCAGGACAAAAAATACCCACCATGGATGACACTAACTGGTGGTCGCACTATATCATAGATTTTAGAAAGAAGAGAACACAAAGTTCAACAAAGATATCTTTTCGGCGTTTTCATTTCCAAAAGTTGTACAATCGCATTTAAATACATAATTTTACATAGATACAATATTTTTACTTGATTCCCCATAATTACGAAGACGAATAAAAGGTTACAATTATTTTCAACTAGATATGGTTTACGGGAGGCTTAGAAACAATATTACACAGGATTAGAACGAACTACAGGTGTGTAGAAAGTGATCTTGGAAACAAATTGAAATAATAACTTTCAACTCGAAGTGGAAGTTAGGAGGTGTGAATATAGATTACAAAGGCCTTAGAAGCAAAAACTATAGCGGATTAGGATATAATTATAAAAAATAGTTATTTTTAAACGAATTATAAATGTGATCAGGAAAAGTATGGAAACAAACTTAAAATAACTGTTCTTATAACTGGAAAAAATGGAGTCAATTGCATGAAGACAAAGATAGAAGAATCACATGCACAGCGAACGAAAATATTTTGAAAAAAAAGGAGGCTAAGATAACACACCAAATTAGGTCCATGGTAGTTGTAGAGGTTGGACTAATTTCTTTTGAACACATAGCTCCGGTACAGAGAAGACGGAAACATACTGCTTTTGGTAGGTTTCTGTTGACTATGTAAATTACTTTGAAAGAATCAGTTGAGATGTTGTGGGAGGTGTTGATCAGATGCTCAATAATGGCACTACTGATTCAACCAGGGCCTCCTTTTTGCATCCATGCTGGATTGGTAGAAGTTGTAATTCATGGACCATTAGATAGAGTTCCAGTGGCTAATGACCTACTAGCTATCTTTGTAACTGGAAGGTCCTTGGTTCTATCTCTGGTATGAATGTGGCGGCGTACTGGTGAAGAATCTCAAACTAGGACGCAACATCTGTTCAGTACTCCCTGTTAGTTTTCTAGTAGATCTCTGACCGATGTCAGCTAATGAAGAAGTTCTGTAACTTATCAAATCAAACCACTGAGAAGAAATGGTTAAAATATGAAACTAATAGAACAGTAGCCTATTTCCAATAACTCATGAGTCATACAATAATTATTAAATTATACCACAGAGTATTGTAATTCACATTTGTTTACTAAACATGAACTTTTATTTTAATTTTATTCTCTTCTATACAGCTAACCTGTTGTGCACAAACAGAATGTATTTTAAAAGAAGTTGAATTAATTAAATGTCAAATTGTTGAACCAAATGCTAAAGGAACTCCACAATTAATTGCATCCATCCCAATTAAAGTATCTGTGAGAGCTGTATTCAGCAAGTAGGTAGCATAATGTGCATACTATTAGAAATTCTATATTTGTAATTTTACTTGATATATTCAAAATGCAGTTTCACATAAAAGGAATCTAAATCCACTTTTCATTCCTTCTTACCTGGTTAATGCTGTTTCATTTATAGGCGGCACAGATGAGGATATCAGAGTTAGGATTCGGTCAGCAAAGTTGCGCAGAAATCTATAGCATTCAGTACAAGGAACAAGATTCATACTTGCAATACTAATCTCAAGTTATTACTTCTGCATGCTTCAGAGACACAGGCCTATGCAGAATGTTTCAACGGCTCCCGTTTTGTGGGTACTGAAGATAAGATAACCAGCCAGAGAGGACCAGCAACAAGGGCTTTGGTAATGCGGTGGGCCAACCAAGAATCTATCTTTCAACAATTATGAAGTAATAAATGGAAGTGGGCTGGATAGATGCTGAAGGTACCGTTGATTGACATGACATTCCTAGCTGGCCAATGAATGGAAATTGACGACTTGGACGTCAGTCTGACTGTGAAAATAATCTGAGAGCATGTAGGCAGTCGTGAAGCTAGCCAGAAAGGACCGTAGAAAACCTAGTAAAATAGCGGTGTGCCTCTGAATCCCTATGCTGTACATGGATTCGAAGAGGCGAATAGTAATAATAATAAACTCGCGAAAGGATATTTTGTGTCAATAAAATTACAGATCTACTAATCTGTGATTTAAATTCAGAGAACCTCATTTGACATGAGGAGTTACTTGTGTATCCCGAAATTTGATTTTGTTTTTATTTTAAATTAAAAATGTTCGAAACTTATTTTTTAGATCTCATTACGTTTAAAACACATGCAGTTCCCATCTAGAGATGCATGAGAAGAAAACTAGTGACTTAGTAGAGGGACTATTTCCAACGCTGCATCATTTCGATTACACTTGTTTGATGTAGACTCAATGAACAAAGATTCAGTAATTAACCTCTATCACCATCTCAGTGTATTTCCTTTTAATACTTTCATCCTATCCACTCTTAGTGTGCAATTATATGGAAGTAAATTCATTGCATTGGCTGGATTTCGTCAGTGGACAATTCAGTTTGGTTCGACCAGTCATCCCAGTTCTGGCTAAATTCTAATATTCTAATAATCTAATCTAATTTACTCCCATCTATTAGTTTCATCTATGAAACTGACGTCACAGTCATTGTGTGGTATTTTGTAAATAATATTATTTTTCAAGCATTGCTTTTGTAGGAATTTTATTTGATCGGTTGGAGGATTTCGATCATGAGCTGACGTGAGCTGATGAAATCCTCCGACCAATCAAACGAAATCTCAGCAAAACCAATACTTGAAAATTATTCTGATGCACACTAACGACTGGTACTATTCAGGCAGTTAATCTGGAGTTCTAGTGGAAGGCCGCGACCATTAGGGTGCAGCAAGTTGAAGATAAAGCAGTAACTCGTCGAAAAAGACACTGAGAAGTGGTCATGCTATGTCACGAGTTGGCAGAAGCTAGAGATCATGGTTTAGCCATTGGATCGGGTCCCAATGGTTGAATGAATGGTCTATGAGCTAGCTAGCCTTATGACCAGAAGGTCGTAGGTGGGTTTACACACTGTCGAAGAGTCCCAAACTAGGACGAAACAGCTGTCTAGTACTACTTGGCGGTTTTCCAATGGTTTTCTAACTGATGTCAGTTCATGATAAAGTTTTCCAACTAATATAATATTATTTTTCTTAATTATATTTATCGAACCCTTAAGCCGACGAATTTTGTCTCTTAGCTAGTTGAACTCATCCCCAGTAGGCTGAGGTATGACAAAAGTATTAAAATATGATATAGTTAGTTGGAGAGAGAGATTAATCGCTGAATCTTTGTTCATCGAATCAACACCAAACATGTACAATCGAAGTGACTCATTGCCTTTACCTGAGTATATGGGAAGCGAATAACATGGGATGGGTGGAAGAGGAAATATGTGAGGCAAATAAAGAATTCTTGTGAATACATTGACATGACTGCGGGCAATGAATTGATCTCGGAACATCATCCAATAATTAATAGTATATCACTGTTTAAGTTGTATCAAATAAATTTATCTAATATGAGTTTATACTCGACTAGAGTTCCCATGTTCTACACTTGCAATAAGACAAAGTTTTAATTTTCAAGTATGGGTTTTGTAGGGATTTGGTTTGATTGTATGGAGGATTTAATCATGAGCTGACATCAGTTAGAGAACCACTGGAAAACCTGGGAGTACTGGACAGCTGTGCGTCGGTGGCACAGTGGTTAGGACTCTCGCCGACCATGCACATGGTCCGGGGTTCGATCCCCTGCCGGCGCACACCTGATATCTATGGTCGGCCTGCAAAAATTTGGGCAACCGATATCCATGCTGAAAATTCCATACTTGTACCAAAAATACAGTGTGGAATCAAGCTGTAAATCAAAAATTAAAATTAGTTTGGGACTCCTCATCAGTACGCACCCACCACAGGGAAGTTCGAACCCAGGACCTTCTGGTTACAAGGCTAGCGAGCTGGTAGACCATTGAGCCACTGGGACCCGATCCAATAGTTCTTGAATTCTAACTTCTGCCAATTCACGACATAGCGTGACCACTTCGCAATGTCTTCTTCGATGAAGCCGTGACCAGTAGGGTACAGCAGGTCGAAGATGAGGCAGTAACTCATCGAAGAAGACATTGCGAAGTGGTCACGCTATGTCGTGAATTGGCAGAAGTTAGAATTCAAGAACTATTGGATCGGGTCCCAGTGGCTCAATGGTCTACCAGCTCGCTAGCCTTGTAACCAGAAGATCCTGGGTTCGAACTTCCCTGTGGTGGGTGCGTACTGATGAGGAGTCCCAAACTAGGACGAAACAGCTGTCCAGTACTCCCAGGTTTTCCAGTGGTTCTCTAACTGATGTCAGATCATGATTAAATCCTCCATACAGTTTTAAATAGAAAAAATAGAATAGCGTAAATTCTTATAATGGGACAAGTGAAAATCATACCAGAAACCGTTCAAAGTAAAAATAATAATTATACTGAGTAAGAATAAAGGAAAGGGAAACAGAACAACTGAAAAATGCATAAGTCGTATCACTACTTGGTCAAAATCGAAAAGCGAATCTAATCCTTAAAAACAAACTCTTGAAAATCTTTAAATATCTTCTTCCTTTACTAAGACCGATGTAGGATAAGGCAAACTTATTCTGTACGTGTACAGGATTCTATCTCTAGCCATTTTTTTTATGAAACTAATTGTCAATGTAGTTGAAGATTGAACGATCAATTCACATGGTTGTTTACTCAAACCCAACTCCTGCATATTTTTCGCGGGTGTCATCAATCCACCAGTCATCGTCGTCATCATTTGCCGTTCAGAGGAAGATAAAAATATATCGTGATTTTTATTGTTATAACATTTATGCTTAGACAGTTACTGAGAGTTGGCTGACACTAAAATTGACTATTTTAAAATATCCTTTTCTTTTTCCAGATTTACAATTTCTCCAGCTAAAGATATAAATTTTGGATCATTAATATTGAATAATTATAAGTCTCGTCAGTTGATTATTGAAAATAATGGAGATTATGAATTTCGTTTTTCAATAATACGTATGAGTAGAATGTTTGAGTTAATGACAGCACGTGAAGCGCATATGAATAAAGAAATTGTAGGAGCAGGAAAGCATAAAATGTAAGTCAGTCCATTTGTAATAATATAACAGTAGTTTTTGGTATAAATATGGAATTTTTAGAGTGTAGTACGGCACAGTATTGCATCTTACTTTCTAAATACAAGGGTAATAATTAAAATAGCACGTTTACATTGAGAAATGTTGTTCAGTAATAAATTAAGTGAAAATATTTACAACAATACAATAATGAAAAATAAAAGTAGAGCGGTTTACTTATAATTCCGCAGTAAGTAGGTAATTTCCTGTCATGTACTTTTCTCGTGACATAAAATATGTGCTGAATAAGATATCGTAGGGCAAGAACTACAAGAACTGGTGTGGAATAATGCTCTTGTCCATGCCAAGTAAAATACTTAATCGTATCATTCTGAAGAGAATAAAAGAAGCACTGGATACAGAACTCCACCAGTACGGAACAAGCTGGATTCAGGAAAGTCAAATCATGTGCTGATCGGATTGCAAATCTACGCACTGTCATTGAACAAAGCATAGAATTACAGTCATATATGTACCCCAACTTCATCGACTTTGAGAAGGTCTTCGATAGACAGAGTTGACCGGTAGGTAATTTGAAAATTACTTCAACACAATAAGGTGCAGTGCCCCAAATCTTTATCAACCTCATTCAGCAGATAGCCATATAACAGTGACACGTATCAAGTGATTCACAACATAAAACTCAGTGAGGCGTCCGAAGTGCATACAGCAGTAAGACAAGGCTGCTTGCCTATTATCACCCACGATGATATTCTTAATCGTGGTGGACTGGATTATGTGTCAGACTATGCGTGGTGTGTGAGGAGAGAGGAATACTCTGAACCACTGATAACAATACTCTAGAAGACCTGGATTTTGCAGATGATGTATGTCTAATGTCACACTAACTCGAAAAGACTGGCAGTGAAAACAGGATTGCAAGTGAACACAGAGAAGACAAAAGTGGTGAAGATAACAAACGAACCGCAACAACAACGAAAACTAGAGCCAGTCACCATCAGCGGGAGAGACTTAACAGAGGTTACTTCCTTCATTTATCTAGGAAGCAAGGTTCTAACCACAACCAGCGGAACGGATGAAGGTGTCAAAGGCAGTCAGAATCGGAATGGCAAGATACGCCTTCATCAACCTGAAAGTAGTTTGGAAATCTTCTACACTCAGCCAGCATAAAGAATAAGATTCGCATTTTCAACACCAATGTGAAGTCGGTTCTTCCATACGGGTCAGAAACTTGTACTGCGTGTCAGTCACGAAAAGGATTTCGACCAAGTTGCAGACTTTCATCAACAGCTGCTCCACTCACGGCAATGATGGCTTTTAATGCCCATCACAGTATAACAAAGTCTTTCTTAAGTAGCTCGAGAAAGATTAATGAAAAGAAGTAAAGAAGGCTGAATACAAGAATTCATAAACGGTAACAGCAGAGACGGAATGATACCAGATCGTCTTAAACTCCCTACATAGAAGGTCAAACGAAATATCTTGCTGTAAACTGATGTAGGAAGACCAGGCAGGGTGATCAGAGGAAATACAGAGTCTAAGGCATTTAACATTAAATTTATTTTCAACTTCCGTGCCATCTATGATAGTGGAACCATACAAACTAGCTACTTCTTGCGAGTTGCGCTTGCATTTGAAGGCGAAATTAACAGCCTGACATTTGACTTAAAGCCATTTGAAAAGGACCACTGACTAATTAGTCATTTTGGAACAAGCTGACTGAAAATGTCTTCTAATTGCTTTGTCAAAATTATTGTTATAACTTGCAAATTTTGAGATCATTGTGAGGTTTATGATTTCAATGTAAGTTGTATTTTGGTCACAATAAGCATTGCTCTTCGCCTTATGAGTCTTGTTTGCCTTAGTAACATTGAACGGATATTTCAACTTACACCGTGACTCTTCAGCGTTCCATATACAAAATTCTATATAGCATGCATAAAAATACCGACATGGTCCCCCTTTTTGGGGGCAATTGGATCGAACAGCTGAGTCTCCAGTCAACAGTCTGGTGTTTTATGTCCTTGAAATTGCCGTCTTTTACATGAAATTGGCTTATAACCTTAAAATAAATATATTATAAAACTTTCGTTTACTCAAGGCTTCTGTTGTATGTCTCAATCTTAGTGAAATCTTCGCTCTAACTGGTCACTAAATCTTTAAAATCATAATTAAATTTAGTGTTCACTAGTGTTCATTTCCAGTGATATTGGAGACAACAAAAGCTCTCCTTTTAGTGATCCATCTTGTTTTCTTTGTTTTGTGTTAGTGTGATTGATGTTGTTATGAATAACTTTGTGATTAGCAATTAAATTTGTTAGGTTCATATCGTTAACAGTCTGTTGGGTCATTCTACAGGTCATATCATTATGTCAGATCACTTTTATATTGTTTTTTTTTATTCCTGTACGTTCCCAGTGGAACATAGGGCTTCAAGCTACCAGTTACCTCTCTCTTTACCTCTTTACCAGTTTTATTACTGGCTTAGCGAGGTTCAGGAGTGAGTCAGTGGCCGGGGTTCGAGGCTCGGACCACATTAGGCGTTTTTGATGAGCATTCTACTTTCGTAGGCTCTTTATTCACACAATGGTACACCCGATGAGAAATCATTGGTTTTCAGGAGAACCGAACACAACTATCCTACCACTTGCCGTACGAGACCGGTATGAACTATCATCCTATGGCAGAACCACTCAAGAGCCCTCTCTCTCAACCTAGTTTGTGACTAATCGGTAGTACCCATCCAATGGGTTTCGAGCCCAGGACCTCCAGGTTAAGAGGCAGGCTAGTAGACCATTCACCTCCTCTGAGATCCTTTTGTACTGCTTGGTTAACGAAATTTAGTAAGTGATTTTCATATTAAATGTAGTAATCTCAGATATACATTGTTCTTTAATCAATAACAGTAATAATAATAGTACTCAGATGTTATAGCTCAGCCGATAGGCCTTTGTCCTAGTAATTTGAAGGCCACTAGTTTTAACCCCGCTGCAAAATAGAATTTCATCCCGCCTTCGATTATCGCTACACTAGTAGAACCATAAAAGTTCATCTCTGTTGACATACTCGCCGAAGACATTGGCTGGGGTCGCGCTATGTCGCGAATTGGCAGAAGTTAGAATTCGTGGGCCATTGGATCGAGTCCCAGTGGCTTAATGGTCTACCAGCTTGCTAGCCTTGTAACCAGAAGGTCCTGGGTTCGAGTCCCGGTGGGTGCCTACTAATGAAGAGTCCCAAACTAGGACGAAACAGCTGTCCAGTACTCCCGGATTTTCCAATGGTTCTCTAACTAATGTCAGCTCATGATGAAAATCCTGTAACCAATCAAATCCCTACAAACCAACACTTGAATATCTGTTGACATTAATTGGCCTACCTTATGACCGCACTTATGCGTCGGTGGCACAGTGGTTAGGACTCTCGTCAACCATACACATTGTCCAGGTTTCGATCCCCCGCCGACGCACACCTGATATCTATGGTTGGCCTGCAAAATTTGGGCTACCGATATCACATGCTGAGAATTCCACGCCTGTACCGAAAATACAGCGTGGAATCAAGCTGTAATCAAAAATAAAAAGTCGGGTAAATGAATTAAATATTCTCAGTATAATAACGTTGATATAATATATACATATATATATATATAAGTTTTCATATTAGATGACTCTTAGTGATTTTATATGTGTATATGTATATATCTTCATTATTCATAGACCATATCGTAAAAGTAAAAGGTATGCGTTAAGTATTTTTTTTAATAATTTTATCTACACTACTCATTATTACTCATAAATAAGCAAACATTCCACTTCTAAATTGAGCACTTTATTTTCTCATTTTGCATCCGCTTTACATAACTGAGATAACTTTTAAAGCCACATAACTCGCTATTTTATATATCTATCATGTATTTAGTCATAAAAATTAGGTGCATGCATCAATAAATATTAAACAAGCTTTCAATGTGCTTTTTCAATGTTCTTATGGCTAACTAACCTGCTCAAAGATTGCATTTCTTAGGTGTCATTCTCAGTGGATTCTTTCAGGTCACAGACACACACACTTTTCCTTTAAATTACACCAAAGATTCTACATTGCATGAGTTGGGTTACTTCAGTTTACCAGATTCTTATCTTTAAAATTATATTATCATGTTATCGTTTCCTTTAATTCCTATAGGAACATAGGCCTTCAGCCGCACGTCTCCATCATGTTGAGTCCTCTAACAACGTTTTCATCTAGCTCAACGTCTGCCCACATGCTTTAATCTCCTCTTCAAATCACCTCCTACACTGCCCATCACCCTTAGATTGACTAACATCTCACCGCTTCCCATTCGGGTTCAACTCGAACCATGGCCTGGCGTGTGATGTCACTTGATGGTTTCCTTTCTCAGAGTATGGCTAATCCACCTGAAGTTCTTCCTGCTTATTTGTTGCACAATTGGTTCCTGCTGAGTTGGTTCGCTCCCAGAGATTTTACTACGTTAATGATCTTTTCTGGCCATCTGATCTTGAATGGTACTGAGGGAAGACGGCTGTTGTGAGGTGCTCTCCGCGAGGCGCCAAACAAACTGACGGAGTTGCCATGGGATTAGCGATATTCCTGACTATGGCAGATATTTTTATAGATGGGTAGGAAAATTTAGCGATTGAAACGTCTAGAGCAATCCCAAAAGTATTGTGGTGTTATGTGGATAACACATTCACTGTACTTAGATTGCAGAACATAAATAGATTCTTCGAAAACATCAGCTCAAAGATGGAGGCAATTCAATTCACTTTGGAATTTAAAAGTCAGGAAGAGGAGCTCCCAGTGTTAGATTGTAGCGTAGAAAGGAAAGAAGATGGGAAGTTACACACTAGTATTTACAGAAAACCCATACATTCAAACATATTTGGATTTCCGATCATCCCAACAGATATCAGTAGAAACAGGATTGCTGAAATGTTTAAGTTATAGGTCAGAAAAACTAAATAGCACCAAATAAAAATCTAAGGCAGCAGGTGAGTCATATAAAGAAACTTTGAAACTTAATAATTACTCTGATAATTAACCAGAAAGTATGTAGGAAAATGTAGAAATAAAATAAATTATAATGGTAGTAGTGATAGTTGTAAAAATAATAATGTTAATGACGACATGTATGTCAAACATGCGCAAGACAACACCAACAATAAGGAATCTAAATCATCAGTAGTACTTCCATACAGAGAAGGAGTCTCGGAAACCTTGCGTAGAATTTTTCATGAGGCAGGGATAAAAGTGGCATTCAGTTACCCACGAACTCAATTAGAAATAAGCTTTGTCGGTTAAAGGAACAATCCTGTGGAGCCAATAAAACAAAACAATTTAGTTTATCTAATACCCGTGCTGAAATGACTGTCAGGCCAAATACATGGGCCAAAGTAGTAGAACAGGGCAGTCAGACTATCGGAGCATGAAAACCTAGCAAATTCTAGATTGGTTGACCCTTATAAGATAGCCATGGTACTACATGCAGTCACATACGTACAGTCACACAATATAGTGGGATAAGGTGACAGTTTTAAAATCTAATGTAACTGGGTAGACGGAGAGATTGTTAACAGAAGCTCTGTTTATTGAATGGACTGGAAATATGTGTCTGTCCACCCAGACATCTGAAACATTCTACTACCACGCCTACGACGACAAATAGGAGAAAATAAAGAAGACTATAAAACTCAAGTTCTAAAGTCGTGTATTTATAGCTTATATGATTCTGAACCGTAATAAATTATGTTCGAAATCTTGTCACTCAACAGAAAGTAAATACTGTTTCACTCTTCATGTGATCTGTCTAATAAGTGAATCAACATGGAATTGCTTACTACCACAGTGCCAAAGTCTTACATATATATATGTGAATCTCTTCCCAATTTATAAACTTTCTTAGAAAGGAGTGCCGTAATTCCGTAAGCCTATATATAGACAGACTGTGACAACCTCAAATGACGCAAAGTTCCACGCTGTGTTGACTGTTTGTGTGTTAGCCTTGGCATCATTTCCAGTGATGCATTCTTGTAAGGAGATATAATGCTAAGGCAAATAAAAGTAGCTTTTGCAACGTATAGTAGCGAAAAAAATAGTTACTTTCCCGTGCTTATACTTTCATTTAAGTTATCTTGCGCACTAACATTATGCTCTAATCACATTAATTGCAATGCTTGCAGCTTATTGCTTCCTTATTTCTATGTTTCTCTGGTCTTATTACTTGTCTTCAAAAGCACATAAATTACCACTTGGATATTCACTTAACTGTTTTGTTTTTGTAATCCATAAATGCTATTTAGGTCAGATCCAACAATGCTGAGCAGTCCACAAGCACGATTACAACAAGGTTTCTTTACATTAGCTCCTGCAAGTGGTCTTATCCCACCGGGGAATGCACAAATCATCACAGTTGATTGTATGGCTAATTCACAGGATCTTTGTGAAGAAGTAAGCTGTTTCTTTTGAACAGTTTTAATATTATAAATAAATACTTTTTTTAAATGTAATGAATGGTTGATGAGATTGTAGAATTAGGCGCGTTTCTCATCGGATTTCCGAATATCACCTTGCATAGTGGTTAAGTAAAGATCAAACAAAATCTATTCGTAGCGCCATTCTATCTCATCTTGTGAATACAGAACACAAGATTGATGATAACAAGGCGGCTTTCAAAGTCATTTATCGCATACCAACTAATCTTAACTTCACCCTAAGAGTTCGTCTACTATATATTGCTGATACTGTTGGGATCCATATTAAGAAGATTAATTTGTGCGTCCAAAAGTAGCTATTTCAGACAGTGTTGTTACTTTGGCCATCTAGGTTTGAATGATTTCCAGTTTTTGTGAAATTTTCCTAATTTTAGTTGATATTCCATTTGCTATTATATCTTTATTATTATCATAATTTAATCATCTTGATTTCAGTAGATTAGATAATACGCTAGACAGCGGCAGGCAGTGAGGAAACAGGCATAAAATGGACCCACACAAAATACTTTGAGATTCATGACTTCGCCCGATGATATATGTCTGATTTCCCACAAACTGGAAGATATGCAAGTGAAAAGCAACAAGTTGGTGGAAGAAGCATTAAAGGTAGGACTTCAGGTAAACATAGAGAAAACAGAGGTGATGAAGATTCCTGGCCAGCAGCAACAACAACAACAACAGACAACAACTATCAAAAATGGGAGGAATCTGAAAGAAGCAACCTCCTTCACCTACCTGCCTACCTGGGGAAGTATCGTTTCAACCACAGGTGGACGGAGCTGATGAGGATACCAAAGCAAGAATCGGAAAGGCAAGACAAGCTTTCATTACTCTCAATTCTGCGTGGAGATCAATAACACTCAGCATGAAAAACGACATCCGGATTTTCAACTCCAATGTGGAGTCAGTGTTATTTACTATACAAATCAGAGACTTGGCACAACACCACGTCACGAAGAGCACTTTAAACACACTACTGACCTTCATCAATAGCTATCTTCGCTCAATACTACTCATGGTCAGATAGCAGGCCAGAAAAGATCAGCAACAGGAATCTCTGGCAATGAGCGAACCAACCCAGCAGGAACCTCTTGTGCAACAAATATGCAGGAAGAAATAGAGATGATGAATTAGCCATACGCTGAGAAAACAAATCATTAAGTGAAATCACATGCCAGGTCATCACTCGAATGGAACCCGAATCGGAAGCGGCGAGTTCGTCGTCAGTGTGAGGTTGACATGGAGGAGGTGATGTGGAGAGGAGATGAAAGCATGTGGGCAGACTTGTAGCCAGGTGAAGACTTCAGCAGAGAATGGAACGCAGTGAAGACGGACGGCCAAAGCCGTATGTTCCTCTAGGAATTAAAGGAATTAATAATAATAGGATAAATAATGAACTGTAATTCCATTGTGATCTCACTTTACAAATGGATATTATTTTTAAAAAAAACACTAATATTGTTATTGACTAAAATTCTAGAATATTCTTTGTCTTTAAACATATATATATAATTGTAGAGCCAGAAGAGGAAACTATAGAAAAGGATATTCTTTGCTGAATTATTTTATGTCTTGGAGATTGTATGAAATAGTATTGAATTGGGGAACTGATATTAGTGTATTAATGGTAATTGAAATGAAATGAAAACATTTTAATACTTTCAGTACTCTGTTAACCTGTTTAGCAGATGTTTCCTGAAGTTCAGATGGTTTAATGTCAGATAAGTAGTCTGACTACGCTTCCGGAAGTCAGACTTCCTCCTCACCGTCATTGAATAGAAAGGGACTTACGGAGAGTTTTCAAAAACTAATTTCTCATTTGAGCTAATTAGTAAGGCTGGGGCAGAATTTTTTGTAGGTAATTACCTTAATGTGTACTGCATGTATAATATAGCATGTAATATAATATAGCAACATCTATTTGGAAGATGGGAACTGCTTGACTGTTAATAAGACGATCAATTTATTGAAAGAATTTTTTCACTGGACACTAATTAATTGTTCTCATGTGTCTAGCCCCTTGTTCGGTGTAGACTGCAGGCGCATCAGGCAGATATACCTTGCTGACTAGTGTAAACTAACATGAAACGTAGGTCCATGGCTTCCTGCTGATTGCCTTCAACTATTTGATATCAACAGTTCATTGTCCACCGTGTTGACTAGCAGCTACCTAGCATGGTGGTCACATTGCAAACTTGACGGAGAGAATTCAGTCTGTATCAAAACAAATGACTTAACACATTAAACTAGCTACTAACTAGTGCCCAATACAGTCCTACAGGAGGCCAGACGCTAGCAAGGATAGCTTAGTCGTAAAGTCTGTGACTACAGCGGTGGGTGAAATGGGTTCGAATCCCAAATGGGGACATAGGTTTTCTGTTATGTACTGCTGCCGAGTGAGTTATTAGAGTTTTCCCCGTCGCCAATTATGTTATGTACTCGTCGAGTAGTTAAACGTCCTGATGCGGAAAGAGGGAGATCAGAAGATCACCAGGTTTACGATGATACTTGCATTTTCCAGACAAGGAAAATAAATGTCACACAAGTGTGGTGGAAGGGTACTTAGATGTACGAAAATGTGTGTGAACAAGAAAGTACAAGGGTCTAATACAAAAGTATACATAAAAATGGCTAATACACATGAACCAATAAGATAACATCTTACCATGATTGGTTGTAATGTCATGTGATAACAAGGTCATACATTGTTTATTTAGTTAGTGGACAGACAAAGGCATATTGTCAGTTATAATGGGATATCTATCCATATACACATAGCAAAATATAATAGACTGTCAACAACAAAACACACATTATGTGGGTACATATCATTTTCTCAAGTTTGCAGATATGCCTTGCTGACTAGTGAGTGCCAACCAGCACGAAACTTATGTCGGAAGCTTCTTGCCGATTGCCTCCAACCTTCTAATATCAGTGAAATGGAATAATATCAACCAGTCAAGAGATGAGAATGAAATCGCATTGAGATTCAAAGGCTTTAGAAGCGTTTCTGCTTTAGGTGAAAGAGAAATATTAATTTAAACTGGTGGCTTGTGCTTGTTCATTTCCAAACAAGCTTAAATACCATAAGGCTTTGCAAACTATTCCTTCATCTTAAAAAGATAGAAACTGTCGTACAACTCTCAGGATCCTAGAATTCACTGCTTCACGAGAAATACCTTCATAATTATAATCGACAATACTCACTTTTCATCAGGATTTGAAACTACGAACATTAGAAAGTGCGAAAAATCTAATGGGTAATATATGCCTTCAGGTTGTGAGTTATTTCATAAAAGTCGGGTAAATTAATTTTGTATCCAGACTTACCGGGAACTGACCTCAACTAGAGAACCATTGAGTACCAAGGAGTACTTCACAGGTGTTTCGGTAATACTCATCCGTCACCCTATCACGGATCAAACTTAGGACTTATAGTTCACAAGGCAAACTCGTCGACCATACAGCCACTGAAAGGGAACCGTGGATTGGCAGAAGTTAGGATTCAAGGACCGATGGTGACCCAGTGGTATACGAGCTCGCCTTGTAACCAGAAGGTCATGATTTCGGACCCCGGTGGGTGTGTGCTGCTGAGGAGTCCCAGACTAGGCTGTCCAGTACTCCCAGGTTTTCCAGTGGTTCTCTAGCAGATGTCAGCTCATGGTGAAACCCCCCATGCAACTGTATATGTCTCGAATTCCGCCAATTCGCAATATAGCACGATCGCCAACAAATGTCATTGGCTAGTATTTGTCGTTACACTTAACTTCGTGGACGACAGCTTCTCATAAGAACTTCCTGCAATCAGTCCCTATTAAATACCTGATCATTTTTCACGTATTCGGTCTAAGAAGAAATCTACTGCTTGCAAACCAACACTTCAAAATCAGTTTTGTGTCTTGATCGATCCATACTCAACACGTTCAACAATAACAGTGATAATAATTTTTTTAAATTAATTTTTGATTACATTTTTTGTTTAGGAATTAACAATTGAAATAACTGATCGTGATATGAATGCTTATCCTCATGGGATACCTTATCGTCTGATAGCTGAAGGTCATCTACCATCGATTGAAACCGATAATTATTCACTTATCTTTGAAGAACATCATGTCTGTAAAAATTTGACAATTTTAGACTTACCTGATTTCTCAGATAAGGTAATGAATATTTATTAACATATATAAATATCAATTATATGAATTAATCAGTATATAAGTAGTTCACTGAGTAGTATATATATATGTCAGGTCGAAATCATAGGTTTCCGTTGGCAGTTTTGTCTTCTATTGCCAGAGCTTCGATGATACCTTGGGGACAACATGACTTTATTTAGTTGAAAATAACTAACAGTCAAATCTAGGATGTTCTTTTCGTCGAATTTGGGACTCCTTAGCTGAATGTGCCTGTATTCGTATTGAATGACGACGTTCCAGCTTGAACTTAAACTCAACACTCATTGTTCCAATCTCCTGGCTTAGAAATAGGAGGTGAAGTGGTCAGCGGAGCGTGTTGACCACTTCACTTATTTGGGAAGTTGAATCAGCCAGTGCCAACGGGTTGATCGCTGATGAAATCTCAGCACAGAGACAGAAGTCTCGTTTCGGATATGTCAATTTATGCCATCTCAAGTGGAAACGTGATCTCCAGCTAGTTGTCGACCAAACGGCCTGTGTACTGCTCGGCTGTCCGCTCCGTCCTCCCTTATGGCTAGCTGTGAGACCTGGCTATTGAGAGTGGAAGACATGAATGGCCTGGCTAGCTAGCTGTCTTTGATTATAGGTGTCTGCGTTCTATCTCCCGTGTGAAATGGTGTAATAGAGTGAGCAGTACTGAGGTTAGGCGTCGGCTGAGTGCGAGGTAAGGAAGGAGAAATCAACTGAGGTGAGGACATGTGTCACGCACGTCTGCATAGTCATCGCCTTCCTGAATGGGCAATGCTATCTGACATAGGGTCAGGTTGGAAAAGAAGCAGTGGTGGTCAAACGAAAACATGGCTTCATCAGTAAATGAAATCCACAACAGTTAGTTTAAGCTACGTAGGAAGATGTAGACTTCCTGCTTAGTGTCCCTGGGACGGTAAACACCAATGGCTGGAGACAATTGGTGATATGGCACACATTTAGTGTAGGCAAATGTTTTATTTTCATCTGGTTTTTGCGACACTAGGTCTTATCTGGTTGCCTCATCCTCTACTGCTCTAACCAGTGTTATTTCACACTATTAAACTCTACTGAACATATACACGAATATTATGTAATATAACTATGTAAACCAAATTTATTTAGTTTTCTGATTATCGCTTTTTGAAGTTCAGACAGCATTAAACTTTGTATTTTAAGTGAAAATAATGTTGGGTATATGGTTAGTGACCATTACCTCATATAAAGCACTCAACTGCTACAGAAAATCCGTTAGCAGAAGAACGATAAACGTATTCTGCACCAGAGTTGGATGGACTTCTGAATTCCAGGACAGATGATCTTAGTGGATAAAAGTCTTCAAAAGTCAGTGGACCGATCTATGGTGACATTGTATATTCTCACCATGTTCGAGGGGGGCAAAGCTGCTTAGATTCCAAGAGATATCAGTAGATATCCTGCCGAAGTGTTAGAAGTCTATGAGAGAAGATGGAGGCGAATGAAACTCCCTGAAGTTCTAACTGGAGGATCAATAATCCACTCCAATCAGCCATAATGAGGTTATGGCCATCGCCTGCCCAATTTATAATTTGATATAAATGACTGTGTAACAACAGAAGACAAGGGCAGGCAACATATCGTTTTTATTACGGAAATCAGCACGTATTTATATATATTTCATGTACATTATTATAGCTTATTCAAGTAGAAAACACAGTCTTCTGATTGGCTGTTTTCGGATTTCTCGGAAAGTGAGGCCATCTATCTGCGAATTATATTTGCCCTCGTTAAGTCTGCTGTGATTGGTTGTTGAATCAGCCTTGTTCATATTTTCTCACGGCCAATATTAGTGACCTAGACATTGACGTAGATTAATGTCTACCAATCGGCAAGCAGCCTGCTCTCATCACAACTGCACATAAGAAGTGTTTAGCATGAATGTTCAACTTAAATTACGAATTTATTAAGTGTTGTTATTGTTTCATAAGAATACCAACCTCATCCTGCAAAATAAACACTGCAACAGAATCTTTAAGCCACTAGCTTGAAGTCGTATGTTCAACTGGAAACGTAAAGAAAAAAAAGGGCAAGTAAGACAGCTTCATGTTATGAATCAATGCCACTTTTTAACCTCTATTTTAAGTACACTTGTAAACATTGAAACTGCTTTTAACATAACTAATCATAATGTATTGACGGAGATAACTGTTTTCGCTACTTTAATTTAGATTTCATCCAGTGGTATTTATGGAATTGAAGAAAATCGTTTTGTTTATAGAAATGTGCTAGTTGGTTCACGAGTTGGTGCACGTTTTCGAATTTTCAACCAAAGTAATGTACCAGCTGATGTAACCTTTGAAATCTCCTATACTGGTGTAATGAATTCTAACCAGCCAAGTGGACGTTCAAGTAGCCGTGGTAGTCAAACAACAAGTTATGAAGCATTTGAAGTAATACCAGATAAAGTACGAATTGAGCCACATTCATCTATTTATGCAAATGTTATATTTGCTCCTACAGCTATGCAGGTAAGTGTTATGAGTATCTTATTAGCTATTCTTATTATTATTATTGTTTCCTTTAGTTCCTAGAGGAACATAGGGCTTCAGCCGCACGTCTCCATTGAGCGTTTGGTTCTCCAACAACCTTTTCACCTGGCTCCACGTCTGCCCATATGCTTTCATCTCCTCTTCGTATGACCTCCTCTATGTCATTCTCGTACTGACGACCAACTGCCGCTTCCCTTTCGGGTTCTACTCAAGGGATTGTCTAGTGATGTCACCTGATGGTTTGTTTTCTCAGAGTATGGCCAATCCACTTTCATTTCTTCCGGTGTATTTGTTGCTGACTGTTGTCCGTTGTTGTTGCTATTGCTGCTGGCCAGGAATCTTCATCACCTCTCTTCGCTCAATGTTCACCTGAAGTCCTGTCTTTTCTGGAATCTTCTTCTGCCAACTTGTTACTTTTCACTTGCACATCTTCCAGTCTGTGGAAAATGAGACATAAATCACCGACGAAATCCAGATCCTGCGAGTTTTCTGTGCGGGTCCATTTTATGCCTGTTTCCCCACTGCCCACCGCTGTCTGTCACATTATTCAGTCTACCGTAATCAGGAAAATCATTGGAAATAGTAGGCAGCTAGCTTGTCTTACTCCCGTATTCATTTCGAAGGATTCTCAGAGTCTCCTATTGTAGATTACTTGGCATGTAGCATTGTCGTACAACTGTTGGATGAGTTGTGTAATCGTTGGTGGCACCCCGTATTAGCGAAGTAATGCCCAAATCACCTCTCGATCAACGTCGTCTGTTGAAGACCTTTTCAAATTCGATGGAGTTGAGGTAGAGAGCTGACTGCCATTTCAAGCTTTGTTCAATGATGATTCGCAGTGCTGCGATTTGATCGATGCATGGCTTGTGCGTCGGTGGCACAATGGTTAGGACTCTCGCCCACCATGCACATGGTCTGAGGTTCGATCCCCTGCCGACGCATACCTGATATCTATGGTAGGCCTACAAAATTTGGGCTACCGATATCCATGCTGAAAATTCCATACTTGTACCAAAAATACAGTGTGGAATCAAGCTGCAATAAAAAATAAAAAAAAAAATAAATAAATTTTTCCTCCTGAATCCAATCTGTTCCAGTCGAAGTCTTTCATCCAGGGTGAGTTTGAATCTCCCCAGGATGATGCAGCTACAAAATCAAACTGAGGTTATGGAGCTGGATAGACTGAAAATCGCTACAACATGTGATACGTACGCCTAGCCACTCCTTTATCTTCAATAAACAATCTTATCTAGCACAGAATTGAGCAAGAAAAATGTTAAGCGCCTTCAAACCAAAATATAGGGGGCAGTCAATGAAATCCCTGTCTCACTGTTTGAACCATATCTTTTTTTGATTACAGCTTGATTCCACACTGTATTTTTGGTACAAGTATGGAATTTTCAGCGTCGGCGTGGGCTCGAACCCCGGACCATGTGCATGGTTGGCGAGAGTCCAAACCAATGAAAAATGAAGACTGGTGCTCTCGAGACTCTATGGCCCGATGTGGTTATATTAGGCTATTCTTTATCCAATTATATCTACAAATCTTATTTTGTTGGGAAAATTACCCTTCACTGACTGGAAACGGCTTAATAGGACCTAAATTTCAGATAGCTATTAGAAGACAATTTTGAGAGAAAGTAGAGTTGAATGTATATATATATATATATATATATATATATATAACAAGAATAGTCTAGTTAAAATTTATTTCAAAGCAAGTTAAGAGGTTCATGATATTCTGTAGTTGATAAGGTTTAGAGAACCTAGACTTTATAAGTTTCCAGACCGTAGATGTTACGGATTTCTTGGAATAATTTTTCTAAACTATTCAACTCTACTTCGTTTCTAGGTGGACGTTTCATGCACAGTCTATGTTCACTCACTCTGACCGTCACCTGTCTACTGCTCTTGCCTCTATAGCAACCTTCATATTCTGAACACTTCATCCTATAGGCACACAGTTGTTTTGCGTCATTTTAGGGACCATATCCTTGATATTTACCAAAGCTTTCTCTAAAGTATTATAGGGCTTGAAATAGATTGTAGTATTTTGATTGCACATTAGTAACCAGTGTGATGTGTCTAGTCCTTTCTTTCTTTGGTGCAGACTGAATTCTATCAGTCAGGTTTGCAATGTGGCCACCATTCTAAGTAAATTTTAAAAAAAGACGGTTGCAGCAGAGAAAATGTCCTTCTCAACTAAGTCATCAGCAGGCTTTAGTGTAGTTTGTATAGAATTATATATATATATATATATGAATTTTAATCAATGACGGTAAGTTCGTGGATCAAATAATAATATGGCAAATGCTTTGAACGTAGTTAACAACGATGAATATAATGATAACAAAATATTGATAAGGTAGAACAAACTTCTTTTGTATTCAGAGACTAGGATTGTTCTCTCGAATTCTCATAGCTTCGGTTATGTGTAAAAGGTGAGTTCAAATTCCGTTAGAAAGGTTAGATGAGATGCTACAGATAACTTTGAAGGTACCACTTGGTGCACGCTATCAATCAAATGAGTCAAAATAGACTTTAACTGGCCTTTTCCGAACCGTGAACCATAAAAGTTATCAGCATTATTTTGTTGGTGGTCGCGCTAGAATCACGAATTCGTAGAAGTTAGAATTCATCGGCAGGCCATTGAATCGTGTCTTAGTATCTGAATGGTATACGAGCTTGCCTAACAATCGGAACGTCCTGGGTTGGAAGCCTGGTGGTGGGTGCGTACTGCCGATGATTCCAAAAACTAGGATGAAACAGCTCTCCAGTACTGCCTGGTTTTCAATGGTTCTCTAAGTGATATTTACCAATTTTTATATTTTATTATAGCTTGACTCCACACAGTATTTTCAACACAAGTATGAGATTTTCAGCATGTGATATCGGTAGCCCAAATTTTGCAGGCCGACCAATTGATATCAGGTGTGCGTTGGCAGAGGATCGAACCCTGGACCATTTGCATGGTCGGCGAGCATCCTAACCGGTGTGCCACCGACGCACTAAATCACCGTTACTGGTTAAGACAATTTTTTGAAATTTTTATTCATAAATCTGTGTAAATTAAAGTCTGAAGAAGATCTAACTGAAAACAATTTTGTTCGCTTATATATCAAAAATAAGATCCGGATTTTCAACTCCAATGTGAAGTCAGTGCTACTCACTATACGGATGGATCAGAGACTTGGCGCGTCATAAAGAGCATCTCAAACAAACTTCAGACCTTCATTAACAGTTGTCTTCGCTCAATACTCAAGAATAGATGGCCGGCCAGAAAAGATCAGCAACAGGGATCTCTGGGAGCGAACCAATCAGGAACCGATTGTGAAACAAATATGCAGGAAGAAATGGAGATGCATTGGCTGGCCATACTCTGAGGAAACCATCGAATGAGTGACATCACTAGACAAGCCATTGCTCGAGTGGAACCAGGCCGAAAGGGAAGCGGCGAGTTGGTCGTCAGTGCAAGATTGACTTGGAGGAGGTCATGTGAAGAGGAGATGAAAGCATATGGCAGATTTGGGGCGGGGTGGAAAAGTTGATAGAAAACAGAAGACAATGGCGATGCGCAGCTGAAGTCCTATGTTCCTCTAGGAACTAAAGGATATAATAATAATATGTCTTGTTCTAATATGAATAACGTCTTGAGTTAAGAACTGGTTGAAATTGAGAAGTTGATTTGTCAACAGATGGTTGGCTACATTGAAAATTAATATATAAAACTTTTTGAGAATAATGATATCACCTATATAAGCCAACCATCGGAATCAAGATATTATACCTGTTGTACTCATTGTGAGAATTATATTATTATAACAATGTACCTCTATTTCATTTTAGACGTATACAGCAAATTTTCACGCCTACCTTGAGAATAAATCACCTACAAATCCAACTGTGAATTCAGGTCGTGGTAGTGCTACTTCGAGTAGTAAACGTTCAACAAACACTCCAGTGCTTACATTTGAATTATATGGTCAAGGAAATTTACCACAGATAAGTATATTACAACCAAAGTTAAGAAATCGTGCAGGACAAGCAATGTGTATATTTAAACGTATGCAAGTTGGTAGAACATCTACACAAACACTAACACTACATAATAATGGAATATTAAACAGTCGAGTAAGTCATATATTTTGATATCATTCACATTCATACATCTATCAGTAATATATTTAATTTGTTGAAAATATTATTTTGAATTTTTTCATCCCATTTGGGAATAAATGATTTCCACACTGGAACTCGAACTTAAGTTTGAATCTGGAACTAGTAACATCATCGCTCAATAAAACACAGTTGATGAGTCTCAGGAAAGACGAAATATGCTTGCCGGATCCCATAATTAGACAATATAAAGTGTACATTCAACTGTGATGCGATGTTATACGCGAATATATTTTGGATGATGAACCTTATCAACTAAGTAGTAGAACTTGGAATTGTACACAAAGTAGGAGGGAGGGATGTATAAGTTTCTTCTTTGTACATACAGCTTGGTCTCCTATCTGGATCTCTCTGGCCTCGGCAATGGAAAGTACACGGAAGCTTATCGTTTTAAGGAGACTTTTACAAAGTCCAAAGAAGCCATATTATATGTACACAGAAGAAACATCCTCACTCCCGTTTTTCTACCTTAGGTATAATTCCAAGTCATACCACTTTTGAATAAAGCAAGAACTACAGTTTTGCAGAATAAAATGGTAACATTGTTTATATCATAGGCTTCTCATCAGCTCAGCTGCCTACACGCGAAAGTCACTATTAAGTATATCTACAGAAACAATTTTAATATACTTGTACAGAGTTCATTTTAAACAAAAATCAATCAATCAATATATGCAGACAGTAATAATATATGTATATATAATAATAATGTCAAACACTATTCCAGACAATAATGATCATACGCAATGGTCAACAAAAGACTGAGTACGTCACTAGCCAGAGCCTAGCCTGCATGCAGCTAAGCTCGTCCCTGTCTATCGAACAACTTGCTCTTTGGTGGTGCAATCAAAAATCCACAGATATCCTTCTCATGTCAACTCCAACTGTATATACAAACTTACGTGTATCTGTGAGGGCAGTAACATTGAAAGAACAGAAAGAAGGGCATATCTACGGTTTTCTAAACATACACCGAAAAGCCTATGTCTAGGGGGAATAAATGCTTTAAACAGTGCCATTACCAGGCCTCTCCTTGACACGAGTCATGAGGTGGACGTCGCGAAATCGTTCAAAATTATCAATAGACAAAAGAGCTAAATTCTCCTTGAGTTTGCTGAAGCCATCTCCATCAAGCGCCTAAAACCTGATTTGTGTGTTCAGAAAGAAGTGGTTATCAGTCTTTCTTTGCCAACCTGGTAACTGGATATTTTCACCTCTCTTTCTTCCGAATGCGAAATGTTAAAAGTTTCCATTGTGTATGATTATTATTGCTCGGAAAAGTGCTTGATATTGCATATATATATATATATATATATATATATATATATGTATATATTTTTAGTGTATGCGCATATTGATCGATTGATTTTTGTTTAAACTGAACTCTGTGCAAGTATGTCAAAATTGTTGTTGTAGATATATTTAATAATGTCTTTGCCATGTAAGCAGCTGACGAGAAGGCAACGAAATAAACAATGATGTTACCATTTTATTCTGCAAAACTGTAGTTCTTGCTTTATTGAAATTCATTAAAGGGAATAAATGTATGAAATCTCATACTAGTTTGTTAATAAGGCTTATTTTGAATATTTGTATAACTTTTTAGCAATATCTTTTTCTTAACCAACCCTTTATTTACTCTTTCTATTACATAATTTATTTTTGACACTTGTCTCCATGTTCTTTCATCAACATACTATTTTCCTGGATATGACAGAGAAGATTTGTAGCTCAGGTGGATGATTTTGATGTGTTTTTGTTCTCTGAGCTGGATGGTTAGTTTGCGAAGCTTTCATCACCCTACTGGGTGACATCTTCAGCGCATACTTCAATTCGTTGAAGTGAGCTTTTAGATTTCTCCACGAGTTTATTAATCATCTCTCCTGGTGACCTTGGACGTGATTGGTTGTTTGTGTGTGTTTTCACACCTTCTAGGTTACTTGTATTGGAACTGATTGTTTCACTGACTTGAACTTTGACCCTTTGTGTGTGAAGTTTCTTTCTTATTGGTTGAGAAATTTTGTCTATCTCGATGTGTCTATTGATTGATGATCCACTGGAATGCCAAGCTTCTAAGAATTCTCTAGCATTCTTGTTATTTCCTTTGTCTAATATTTGAACGTTGTCCCAGTTGTCTACACACAGACAACTACGGACATCAATTCGACTGGAATGCTAGAGAATTTTTAGAAGCTTGGCATCCCAGTGAATCATCAATCAATAGACACATCGAGATAGACAAAATTTATCAACCAATAAGAAAGAAACTTCACACACAAAGGGTCAAAGTTCAAGTCAAGGAAACAATCAGTTCCAATACAAGTAACCTAGAAGGTGTGAAAACACACATAAACAACCAATCACGTCCAAGGTGGTCACTAGGATAGATGATTAATAAACTCATGGAGAAATCTAAAAGCTCACTTCAACGAATTGAAGTATGCGCTGAAGATGTCACCCAGTAGGGTGATGAAAGCTTCGCAAACTAACCATCCAGCTCAGAGAACAAAACCACATCAGTATTTTTCTGGATGCCTTACATATTAAACGAATATGTTTTCAAAGTCTATTTTCCTACTGTTGATAAGAGCTGAGGATTGTATTCAAAAAATTCTTGTCCAGGCTCTACAATAAACCAATGAATGCTTGTTTACGTATAAGTCAATAAAAGTAAATTAAAATTGTATCAGAAACTGTATAGTGGTACGCCTACAAGATGGGAAAATAGATGTTTAGTTTCTATCTTCACCCTTAACATTAATAACAGTCCGCCTAACCAGGACTGTTTTAGATAGTATTGTAACGACAGAATATAAAGACCAGACAACAGATCGTTTATTGGAAAACCAACTGGGAGTACTGAACAGCTGTTTCGTCCTAGTTTGGGGCTCTTTAACAGTACACAATACCCACCAGGGGTCGAACCCAGGACCTTCTGGTTATAAGGTGACTGAGCTCATATACCATTCAGCCACTGGGACCCGATCCAGTGACTAGCCCATCAATCCTAACTTCTGCCAATTCATGATTTAGCGCGACCACCAACCAGTGTCATCAATGGACTCGCTGGGCTGATATCTATCGGTGGTCAAGCTCGTAAAAACCAATCTAATCCTTAAAAACCAACCTTTGAAAATTAATCTTATGCTTGTTGTTGACCAGCTACAGGACTGAGAATCCTGGAGTTCTAGTGAAAGTCATGAACATTGAGATCCATCCTGTCGGGTGTGAGGGTGGATTTCATACCTATGACATTGGTTGGCGGTCGCAGTAAATATCACGAATTGGTAGAAGTTAGGATTCATGGACTAGCCATTGAATCGGGTTCCAGTGACTGAATGGTATGCGAGCTTGCATTGTAACCGGAAGGTCCTCGGTTTGAACTGTGGCAGTGGGTGCGTACTGCAAGGCATGTTCTGATAACCTGCAGTTTTCTCCCCTTCCCCATTTCTTTTGGAAAAAACTATAGATATAAGTTGATGGTGCCTTTTATAGTGTTCAATCATTAAATTAAACAAACATTGATGAAATGTTTTCTTTTAGGATTAACACAATACCTTTCGAATTTATGCTGGGTTTTTTTTTCTATCAGGTGAACATTGATCTTGTTGATCCAGATGGTGTGTTTTCCTTGAAACCTCAGTTGCATAATGATGCTCTGTTGTTTTACAATCCAATAATTAAGGCAAATGAATATAATGGAGGCTGTGAAGAATCTAATCTGAGTAAGTATTAAAGTTGTTGGTAATTGTTTCCATTCCTCTATACTTCTATGAGACAGTTGTTTTTGTCCAAATATAGTAACTGAAACTCGCAGGTGTAGACGAATAACGTAGAACGGTCTCCAATGCACAAATGGTGGCTCTCAAGGCCTAGTTACGCATTTAATAAGTCAATGGCATTTGAAATAACAGTTTCTGAGTCAGACAGTCAGCAGAAACACCATTAGTGGTATGCAAGTATATCTTGTTGATGGATCCGGAGTAGGACGAAACACGTTATCTGAATTCCACTGCTAACCGTCACAATTAACTTATTGAAATTTAATTTAACAGCCAAAAAGCATAAATCAACATAACTTTAGGCTTTCAAAGGATACTGACAGGCATTAGAACCCACATTTCCCCTTTCTTTCCGTAGAGTTCAGCGCGGATCCCGCTGTGACTATACAATTTTTGGGAAAAAATTAACGTTTTCATTAAGGTTGAGCAGTAGTTGGCGCTTCACCGAAACTTAGAAAACCGGTGTACCAGTAGAACATAAGATTGGTTGGTAACGAAGTGTTGATTTACAATTTGATATATAGAAATTATGTATACCATAGGCTCACATCGTCATTTGCACAGATCTAAAGTGTCGTTCTACTTCTGCCCTTCGCATTGTGTTTCTTTTTCTTATTTTCATGTCTACCATGTTTCGCCGCAGCATTTGGTTCATTCGCCCTCTTTGAGGTAGAATCTATTTCTCCGAAACTTGGTATTTTTGTGGGGATGAACGTCTGTTAATATACTCCTGCGATATCTTGTCAGTAACAGATGCCACACTAGGACTCAGTAGTACATTAACTATTTCAGGTGGTTTTAGAATGTCACCTTTACGGTCACTTGCTATAAGGAGACGAGAAGCTACATTGGTGGGAAGTTTTTCATCCCCTGAGCTGCGAATTTCCGCAAATATGTTCAACAGCGACGTTATAAATCATCGTTTCTCTTTGTCTGATATCTACCTCGACGTAAACATACAAACGGATATATGCATCTGGCAATAAGCATGTAAATCTTGGATCCTTTGAATGAAGGACTGGTTCCGTAAAGCGCTAGACAAGTTCAACATTTATTCTTTAGATAAATCCTCCAGAGATTTTGCTTACACAGTTGGTAAATCATAGCATTCTGTAATTGTAAATTGACTGTACTTGACTTGGTGATGTACTAAGTTGTGTATGTACCAATGCGGACTCAAAACATCAGTCGCCATCACTACCCGACGGATTTCGATGGGATAGAGCATCGATTGTTATCAGTCAAATAGGCATTGTACACTTTAGCAACAAGTTTATACCAGGAGCTTGTGTTGTACACAAAATGAAAGTTTTTCAATACATGAATATTTATCATTGAATAAATTCTGCAGCTCCATCTTAGAACATCTGATAGAATCCGGACACCAAGCTGCACCCCAAACAAACTTCATAGTAGTCTACAGAGTAAGAAGTAGTCTTCCTAAAGCTGTACGAATCTGACTTCTTCAAACTGCAGAAGCAATGGCGATTCACTTGCTAATCCCTGAACTCTGCATACAGAAGAAGTTCGTTCAATCACTACACTTGCAATCTATCTTATTACCCGACAAGTAAATTCTACCTAATCTCTTTTTTCTGTCTCTTCATTGGTATTATTTCGTCTTCTCAATTGTAATATTTTACATTTTCAACCTTTTTGTTCTCTACTTTCACCCGATTTGATTTCTACACCTCACTATCAGTGTTAATGACTTGACCAACGCTCAATTTCTAGTCATTTATGTTACGTCATCCAACTTAATTGCTCAATTTCAGTTCTAATTTAAATAGCATTATTCTCTACCCCACTTCTATTTAGTCTCTACCTGTAATTTCCTCTGTTGCTACCCTGACCTAAGTTGAAACATTTTAGTCAATTACACTGCGTCATCTAACTTACTAACTCAATCTTAATTTAGTTGGTGCCTAACTGATCTTGTTTCTATATTAGATCATTCTTGTATTACCTGATTAATTATCTAAACTTGACAAACCTCATGTACACACACACACAAATAATTATATATAAATGCGATTGTACAGCTGGCTATGTGAATGGATTCGCTGTCGAAAATAGTCTGTCTTCATTGAACCTCTTCTCTTTTTCATATGAATAAATTCAAGTTGTATACCTACTCGAATAATCTTTTTTTTTAATTTTTATTTAACTCACAGCTGGAAATGATGAATTGTCAGTATCAAAACAATCCCATCTAATTGGTTTATTACTCAGACCAGATAATCAATTCAGTATTACCATCCACTATATGCCAAATAAACGTAATATAAAAAATTTTGGACAAGTTCATTTATCCCTTGTAAATAACGAATATGAAGATACATTGGTTGAATTAATCGGTGAAGCATTGAATGATGAAGTATGCCTTGAAGATGTACCACAATTAGATTATGAAAAGCATGTTTGTATACAAAATGCATTGAGACGGGTAATTTCTGCATCGAAACCTGCGCCATCATCACAATCAAACCTTGATGATTTAGATAGTGGTAAGTTTTTATGAGTATTTTTTTTTTGATTTTTCAGTTATCGAAATATCATTTGGTAAAGGGGATGAATTAATTTCGAATTTCTATTCCCCGTTAGGATGCATCAAATCGGTGCGACAATCGATGCCTACAAGTAACAATATTCAAAGAGTTACAAGCGAAAAGATATTAGAAACCATAGTGACATCTTCCTGGTATCAATGTTGTTTCTAGGAAGCTCACCAATTTTTTCTATCATAGCATCACATAAGATATGAAGAACATCATTAGTTGTAGTCACTTTAGGCGATAACTTTATGTAGACTATTCAGGACTGCTTGGGTGTTTGAAATAGTTATGTTCCTCAAACTTGACGGTTTAGTTTTGAAATTTTTTATGGCCTTACCAGGCAACATCCTTAGCGCATACTTCAATTTGAATTGTGAGCGTTTAAATTCCCCCACGAGTTTATCAGTCATTCCCCTTTTGGTGGCCCTAAATGCGATTGGTTGTTTCTGTGTGTGTTTTTTTTACACCCTCTAGTCAACTTGTACTGGTAGTGATTGTCTCCTTGACCTGAAGTTTGACCTTCTCTATATGAGATTTTCTTCTTATGACTTTTTAAATTTTATAAATGTCAATGTGCCTGTTAATTGTCAACTCACTGGAATATCAGTCTTCTAAAAATTCTCTAGCATTTTTGATGTTTCCTCTGTCTAATATTTGAACGTTGCTCCAGCCTAATTGATTTCTGTGGTTGTCTGTATGCAGCAATATTAAGGAGTGGAGACCACCTCTCTTGATGACTGGTGCGACATCAATTCCTAGAAGTTTGAAGAGTCTTGCAGTAATTTCCAAGATTTTCTTTCTATGTGAAAGGATGATTTTCATATTGTTTTCATTGGGGGCCTTTGATTCGGTTGGTTAACTTCGGGTTATTATTCAGTCTATTAAGTTTGGCTAGCAGAAACATACATTGGTGGTACTCCTTTCATTGGTATATGAATAGGCTTAGACGAAGGTGCAATATGTGATCAATGATTCAATGTACTTTGTTAAATGTTTTGACTTAAGTAGGGTACATTCAATTCATCAAGTATGGTAAGCAGGATAAAGTGAATCAAAACGTTTTGATTTTTTCTACTTTGGATGAATCAACCTTCACACTTTATTTAATAATAATAATTTACTTTATTCCAGAACAGTACTTGTGATACAGAATGGAATTCTCAGCATTTCACCACATACAGTATTGCATCCACTTAGTACATTATCAATAAATAAAATTCTACATAGATTAAGGAAATCTCAGTTCATTATGACAACAACATATTGGTATGTCGGTAGCAAAGCCAAAATTGAACAGAGGGTTTGAAGATGTTAGAAAATTAGACGCTGGCATATTTACTGGCGTAAGCAGAAGAAAGGAACAAAGGAGCACATAACAGAGAAAAATAAAGAAAGAGAGGAAAGGAAAAGAAAACGTTGTAACTATAAGTGATATGAGTTGGAAAGACGAGATCCAGTTGATCTACTGACTGTTTAATAAGTTATAGGTATCACGCCTAATGCTTTCCTCATCGCACAGAACACGAGATAAGTAGGGTATGGTTGAGTTTTTGCATTTTGTATTCGAAGTATCGGACTTCAGTATGGATAACAGTCAAAAGAGATCTATCATTTTTATGCTAAATATATCTAAGCTTAGGATACTGCTGCATCACTAGTCATAACACTCACTTAGCTCTCTTTCAACATACATGTTAGGCTTCTTAATGTGGATTATGACGGATTTAGAAATATGTAACAGGCAAACTTGCGAATCAGCAGGCTGTAGGCATTTCGATGCAAAATGTTATGATGGAGTATTTTGGTAGCCCAAGTTTTAAACAAGCCGCTTGATAATCTCAGCTCCAAGTGATGTAAATAGCTGTGTATGTGTTCAGAAGGACTCCTTCTAGTGTCTAAGCACTAATGGCTAATGTCAACAGCATTCAGTCGCTCATATCGGCCCATAAGAGATGCCAAAACAGGATCTAGTATAGATCTGCAGTGACCGAAGTCGCCAAGTTTCCTAATAACTTCTTTGAAATTAAAATAACTCAGAACAGGAAGATATTGAAATAAATATGAATAATATGGCAGATTCAGACAATAAACCATTCAAACACAATCTCTACAAAACCAATACTTGAAAATTAATCTGATGCTAACTAGCAACTGGCCCTATTCAGGAAGTTATTTGGGGTTCTAGAGAGAAGCTGTGACCAGTAGGGTACAACAGGTTGAAATTGGGGCAGTAACTCATCGGAGAAAACATTGAGAAGTGGTGGCGCTATGTCATTAATTGGCAGAAGTTAGAATTCATGGGATGGTCATTGGATCGGGTCCCGGTGGCTGAATGGTCTACGAGCTCGCTCTCCTTGTAACCAGAAAGTCCTGGGTTCGAACGCTGGCGGTGGTTACGTACTGTGAAGAGTCCCAATCTAGGCTAACGAAACAGATGTCCGGTACTCTCAGGCTTTCCAATGTTTCTCTAACTGTAACCAATCAAACAAAATCCCTACTAAACCAGTACTTGAAAACATAATATAAAAGGTAAAATATTGACTATTTTAAGATGGCTTCAATGAAATAGGCTTTTCGATTATTTACCCCATTCTTCATTTCTTCATTTTAAACAAATATAGATCCTGGACAAGATGAAACTCAGACTGCATTGGGTAGGTGACTCTTTGAGTTATGGAATAAAGAAGTTCTTTATTATATTGTATCAATAAAATTTAATATTTTAATGACACTCGGTTTGTTTTACACCTCAAATGTCTACATACCTGTAATTAGATATTTGTTGGATGAGTCAGGATATATTTAAAAATTGAACTGTGTGTTACGTCGGCGGCACAGTGGTTATGACGCTTGCCGACCATGCACATGGTCCGGGGTTCTATCCCCGGCCACAGACGCACTCCTTTACCTCGCTAAGTTAGTAATAAAACTGGTAAAGAGGAAATGTTGGGCATGAGGCTATCAACGCCATCCTGTAAAAAAATTAACACTGCTGCAGAAAATTCAAGCATCTAGCGTGAACTTCTATGTCCCACTGGGAACGTGAAGGAATCAAAAACAAAACTTTTGCAAACGACTAGTCATCAAAATCTTAGAAGTAAGATATTTCTTGTTATGGTTTGAAAAATTGAAGTCAAACAGGGATCTAATAAGAAATAGTGACCAGTGAGGTTTATCATATCGGAGATGTCGAGTAATACCGAGCAGAGACAGAATATGAATTTGGAGCAAAGTGTCAAAAATTGACAAATACAAGAATTCCACCCCAGTGACTGAATATAATGTGCCTGTATCAGAACATGAAAGTTTTTGGTTCCATTCCCAGTAGGGTAATGAGTAAATATTGCTGAACAGTCACAGAATAGAATAAAACAGCTGTCCACTACTTCCGGTAAGATTATAATGGGAGATAATTAGGAGTTGTCTGCTCAAAACATCTCAGTATTCTACGTACTTTCTGTTTGTCTTTTTCCGCTATGTATCTGAGTATATTTCAGCTAGTTGCTGTTCCGGAGTTGGTAGTTAAAAGCTGTTAGTAGCTGTTGGTGAAATGACTCAAAGTCATTCATAGTCAAGTTACTGAAGTTATATTCAAATCTCTATATATTTTCGGTAGTAAATTTGGTTTACTGAAATGCTAAAATAAGTAGTACAATTCAGTTTACAAAAGTTACTTCCCTTTTTGTCAACTTTTATTTTTCTATAGCTTTACGGCACAATCATTTAGATTTTGGAGATTGTGGTCCAAATGAAGCTATAACACGAACAATAACACTTACACATTGCGGTAAAGTGAAAGATACAGAACCGACAAGTTTTCGTTTTACCTGGCCAACTAATAATCCAGTTCTACAATTTAAACCATCTGAAGGTCATCTGCACGTGAATCAATCACGTAGAATTGAGGTGACTTTTAAACCATCGGGTACACCAATTACATTAAAATCTCAATCGGTCAAATGTTCTCTACATCGTATTATCGTGTCTGTGCCAGAGGGTTGTTCAAAAGTAAGCTATTTTGTGTATAAATTTTCATTTCCTCTTATTATGCACTATTCTGATTCAACTAATTCTGAATATAGTCAAATGGCACTGTTAAATTATAAGACATGTATGATATCTAGTTTGAATATGGACATCTCAGCAATACTGTCAAGGGGTTAAGGCATAAAATAACTGTAGTGTAGGTGACAGCTGATCAGTAGGTGACACAGGATAAATTAAACACTTGGACTTTAGGGGTAAAACTTGAGCGCTTTGGTAGAGTTTAATTCCATTCAAGTGTTGGTTTGTAGCGACTCGATTGCTTACAGGATTCATCATGAGCTGACATTAGTTAGAGAACCACGGGAAAACCAGCTGGGAGTACTCGGCAGCCGCTCCACCCTAGTTTGGGACTGTTCACCAGTACGCAGTCACCGGGATTCGAACCTAGGACTTTCTGGTTACAAGGCGAGCTCGTAGACTATTAAGTCACTGGGACCCGATGCAGTGGCCAGTCCATGAATTCTAACTTCTGCCAATTCACGACATAGCGCGACCCCTAGGTAATGTCTTAGGCGAGTGTTTATCCTCACACCCGACATTCTGCACCCTACTGGTCACGACTTCTCACCAGAACCCCAGGTAACTACCTACCTGAATAGGATAAGTAGCTAGTGTAGGGAAAATTTTATTTTGACAAAATCACACAGGGTTATGCAGTAATATTTTCTGATGACTACGTTTCAAGCACAATTTATTGCTGCATATAATCATATCAAGGTACTCACATAACATTTCCGCTTCATCCATATACATAAGTAAATATTGATTAGACATGTGAAAGAAAATGCATGAAACATAATTCAAGATAAAGTACATTCGGGAATAATAATATTAGTGTTAGCCATAAAATACAATCGGATGGGAAATAAGATGAGTGTTTTTATAGTCAAAATAAGTAACTTGTTAGAATGTTAGGATGTGAACTGAATTGAATACATTTTAACATTATTTATTATCCTCTGATTTGACTTGTGGTAATAATATCTTCCATATCTCTGGTATTTGCATTGAGTCACTTCTATTGCATGTGTTGTGTTGGGCGTGCAGACTCGATGAACCAGTCAGGAGTCAGTAATCAATCTCTCTTACTATCTACCCATATCACTTTTTATAATTTTAACCCTCTCCCACCCACTTTATTGTGTGATTGTGTGTTAATGTATGCAGTGCGATAGCTGAGTTTTTTTTTTCTAAATTACTTATCTTCGTCGGATCAATCATTTTAACCCTAGCTAGCAGAGATATGGGAGATATTATTACCAGTCAAGTTAGAGTATAATAAATAATGTTAAAATGTATTAAGTTACCTAACACAGAGAGCATTATTTGGATAGAAACTAAACTAAACAAATGAGTAAATTCCTTGACTTAATATAATTCATATAACTGAGTAAAGCTCAGCTCCAACTGAATGCGAGTCAAGCTAAGATAAGTGTCATAAAGTGTAGAAATGTAATGACGTGGTCGGAGAGTAATTTTATGCTCATACAAGAAAATAAAACTAAAAAATTAAGACTAGCATAAGTTGCGTAAGATATATTGTGGCAAAAATTAGTCCCATTGTAGGTTCAGTGATTAAACAAACTTCCATTCAATATATGCACTATTATCGCTTCTGTGGTTTGAAGAATTCGGATTCATACTCCTTTGGAAAGATTTTGGCGTAATGTATAGATGACTCTGAAGTTGATTTGCGGTCTCTTTCAGTGTTCATGATTGGGCTACGGGGGATTTTTCTTTACTTTTGTAAACTCATAAGAGTAAATATTCCCTGATAATTTTGGATAGCAAGCGCTAAGCATGGCTAACATTCCTATCTCCTTAACAGCAGGTGGCCTGATAGATACGCATTGATAAAGTTATCAGTCTTAGCTTATCATTCACCTTCATATGAATCGTTGGTATTGTAGTGAAACTAAATGGAAGTTCAGCTGAGAATGTTTTTATTTTCAATAAATGGGATAAACGCTATGTTTGTATTTCTGCTGATAAGTCTCCATTGAACTGCAGATTTAGACGGATAATTCCTTAGAGCAGGATGTGTTTGTAGTTCTAGTAGTGTTGGCTTCATGAATTTTGAGATGAAACGTACAGGATAAGCATTTCTAATGAGATCCCTTTATAAATCAATCAGTTCCTCTTCTGTGTTTTCAAGGCTACAAATATATATATTGATATAACAGTATATAACGATGGAATATATGTTTGGATTTGAAAATCTGATATGTAAACTCAATCTACTACTTTTCATAAACATTCGATCATCTCTCACCTTCAGTGACATCTGATGTGACGTCACCTCTTAAAGCAATATAACTGAAATCTCTTAATTGAATTTGGCTTTCTCGTTGATTGATTGGACCAAAACGTTCGGCTTCAGTTGAAAATGTGGGCTTCTTGTTGAGTCGCTTCGATGATGTCTTATTATTTAACTCCAAGTAAATCTGCGGATTGTGACTAACATTAGGATCCATGACCAATCCTCTTATTCAGAACTCGTCACTGGATGTATCATTGCACAAGACACGGCCGTCGTTGTCCAAGTGGTCCAGGGGATAACGCTTTGATGTTTGAAAAGGTGGGTACTGGGTGCGAGCCCCACTGGGAACATCATCACTTACTACGGAGTGTAGGTACATCCAGCCAACGAATCCCAAGTAGGACAAGATGTTCACCCTGAATTTCACTGCTAGTCACAATCACCAAATATGTTAAATCAGTTTGATGTTCTACTTCATTAGAATTTATCCTTCTTGGTAATAATTTCTACAAAGGAATTTCATTTTCTCCCAGCGAAAATTTATCAATGAAATCCATTATGACTAAATAGATTTAAAAATAGGTCATTTTGTTTGTAAATGTTCTTGACATTCTATTTTACTAGTGAGACGACTGAATATTTCCCCGGTTGGCAGACTACTGTAAATGCAATAGGTGAGGATTGATGGTGAAATGAAAATCTCGATTGCAACAAAATCCTAACTGTGACCACGAGACCAAACCTCGAAACAGGTCACAGTTTTAGTGCACTCACCATGGACAGAACCCATTTGGATTTCTTATAAATGTTTGGTCAGACGTTGAAATCTGTCGAAGAACCACTTGAACTCCAGGCAGTGTTGGACAGCTGTTTCGCCCTAATTTGGGACTTTCCGATAGCCTAAATGCACCGGGGTTGGAACCTATGATCCTACTATTACAAGGCGAGCTTGTAGACAACTTAACGACTGGGGCCAATTTCAACGGCCCCTGAAATACAACTTTTACGAATTCGCGATATATGTAGCGCAATCGCCAGCTAGTGACTTGGCGAGTAACTGTTCCTCTCCTGATTTCTTGGACCCCTTTGGATTCACTAGTTCTCTTTAGAGCACCAAGTAACTTCCTGTTTTACAGGGATTTGACTGGGTTACATGTTTGATCACACGCTGTCATCAAGCTAGGTTCATTTTTGGTAATCCTAATCATGATATGAAAAAATTTCTTTCAGTAGTGCAATGCATTAACTTACTCACAACACTTGAATCCTTACACTTTTTCGATTGATACTAGTGTTTGGCAGTAGCGATAATTTTCTGATATATACTAAGAAGTCAGTTATTGTATTGTAGACAATTCACCTAAAAAGAGTCATTCACAGGTCCGTCCATATAAAGTTTCTTCTGCTATTAACCTTTACACGACATTTTTTTTTGTATAGCCAGTCGACTGGGATGATACGAAACAAGTGATACGTTGGCTTGATCTACCTGGAGAGAGGTGAGTTGGAGTGAACTGGATTGTTATTCAGTTAAAATTATGATACGCTGAAGAAATTTTCAGTAACATTCCCATAATTAACATGAAATGTACATATATATGTATGTATACTTGTTTTACCTTGAATACTTGTTCGTCATGCATGATTCCTCTTATAGTACTTGTTATAACTGCTACTGAAGTAAATGAGTACCTTAGTCACTTTGTTCTGTCTGCGCCTGCCTAATATACCTATTTGACTGTAGTAACTTCTGATTCACTGAGCCAAGCAAATATCAAAAGACAAAGTCTGCTGGCCTGTGACTGTATATTATAATCACAACAACCGCGACAATTAGAAAAACAACACATGGTATTTATACATTTTCTTTACAACAATAAATTCAGCCTCACTGCTGTGAGAAATGAATGATAGCATTATTAATCACAAAATGCGTGGGAAATGATGATATAATACTTTATGCGGGATCCTATCACCTCCCCCCCCCCTTAAAAAGCATAAGAATGTCTTTTGGATCTGCCTGGAGAAGTTTCGAGTTTTTTTCGCCCAAAAATAATTCTTGCTGGAGATAACTTATTTGAGGCAGAAGTATTGGTTGCTGTCTGATAAGGCAACGAATATCTGTCCATGATATCTCTCACTGTCCCCTCCGCCTTCTTCTCTCCTGAAAGCATCCTCAGAGGCTCTGACAAAGCGTTCACCTTGTCCGTAGGCTTTAGGTTGATGACGAATTGGACGTATGGAGAGAAAGCTTCTCTGTCATTCGGCTTCAGAGTAGAAGATATTTGACTAGATTTACGGCAACTAAACTTTTCCCGGAGGACTGGAGGATGCTTTTCACAAGAGCGTTGCAGCAGAGATTAATGTGACGCATGGCATGAAATGAAATCGTTCGATGAAGCTGACATGTTAAAACATACCGAATTTAATGGGACATTTGAGAGATTGAACTTTTCTAACCAGTGAAGGCCGAGTAAATTTAAATCACGATGTCTTGTGAGATAGCATACACCATGGAATTTATGTTCACAAAAGTGGATATAGCAGTTGACCTCACCCATGAGTTTTAGCTCATCTCCAGAAGCCTTCTTAGTGACATGCTCTGTCGGCAGAATCTGTGGACACCCAGGTTTGCGCCACTTTTTTCGGGAAATTAAGGTGATATCTAATGCTGCGTAGCGTGTCATCACAGAATTCAACACAGATAGCCAAAACTGACCCTGGTTGGTTGTGTTCTAATAAATGCACCCGTTCCCTTGCGGGTCAGGGGATAATTGCATACATAAGCTCTAGAATTACTACACTATATATGATATAAGGAACCATAGCTGATTTAATGAACCATTCGCGGTTTCACCGTTTTAAGGTATGTACTTATAGACACTCATGGCTTAATCTCTTAGAAAGGCTTCTGTAATTGCAGAGCTTGGAGAAGAAATGACAAGTCAGCCCTCCAAGTAGGAGTGTTAGCCTACAGTTTTAAATATTGTTTGGTTGAATAATCCATTGAGAGGTTTTAGAGATATGGGAACGTCGTTTATTCACTCTAACTGGAGCAACATGCTAATTATTATTAAGGTATGGAAGAGAATATTAAATCGGTATGATTGTTAAGTTTGCTGATTGAAATGGCTTGAATATTTGCAACGCATGTCAAAACCACTGGATCTTTAGACAAGAAATGTTTGGTTATTGAATAGGCTTAAGTTGTAGAGAGAGTTTTAACATAACATAACATAACATAACATAACATAAGCTTTATTCCAAATCAGTACTTGTGATTATGGTAGATGGTAGATGGTTATTCGATCAAAATGTAGAATTAGGCCACATGAATTCAGAAACTGCTGGTGTGAACCAGGTGGTGAAGATCAGATAGCCTGGCAAATATCCTTGAGGCCATAAGAGTCAGCAGTTACAAACTTATAGTGACACAACAGTTTTGACTATGAAGATAACGCATTTTTTTCCAAACCAAACTCTGATCTTATTTGTGGTGATAAAAATGTATTTTGGGAACTGCATACATTACTTCACCTTTATGAATATGAATAGAGCTCCTTTACCATTGCAAGCATGCACTGATTTTTGTTTAAACTGGAATTCTGAGTAAAAATAATAATAATTTGCTTTATTCCAGAACAGTACTTGTGATACAGAATGGAATTCTCAGCAGTTTACTACAGTATTGCATCTAGTTTGTACCTTGTCAATAAAATAAAATTCTGCATAGATTACGAAAATCCCAGTTCATTATGACAACAACATTATTGGCATGTCGGTAGCAAAGTCGAAATTAAACAGAGTGTTTGAAGGTGTTAGGAAAGTAGATGCTTGTATATTTACTGGTGTAAGCAGAAGAAAGAAACAAAGCAGCACATAACAGAAAAAAGGAAAAGAAAGAAAGAAAACGTTGTACCTATAAATGATATGAATTGGAAAGACGAGATCCAGTTGTTCTACTGACTGTTTAATAAGTTATAGGTACCACGCTTAATGCTTTCTTTATCGCACATAACACGAGTTAAGTAGGGTATGGTTGAGTGCGTTTTTGTACTTACTAGTGCGGGCATATAGTTTCCTATATAATAGGCTTCTGGTTTTCCCTGAAGAGATACAAGGGGAGAGTTGTGAATGTAGAGGGTGTTGTGAGTCAGATAAGATGGATTTCTCCCATTTTTCACATGAGTCCATGTGCCTGTCCACCAGAATATTAACAAGCTGGCTAAGTGGCAGACTGCTTACCGTGCTGACAACCTTTAACATCCTGCGTAATAAGGTATAGTATTTCTTCAGTAGCCCTGGAAAAACTAAGGGGGAACAATAGAGAATAGTAGGCAGAATACGGTAGTTAACGAATTGTAGGAGTAAGGGTTGGGTTATTCCAAAATGTCTTAGCTTCTTGATGTAGAAGGTAAGACGGAATATATTTTTTTAGAAATCATCAAGATATGATGAGACGATCAGGAAAGATCAGAAGATAGAATGACGCCTAGGTATTTAATTTCTGACTTGGCTTCTATTTCAGTGCCATCTATGTTGCACATCTCGTCAGCGTTAACCACTTTGTTTAGGTCAGATTTGCGCCTAAAGGTGAAATTGACTGTTCGGCATTTGGAGGACTTTAAGGTGAGACCGTTTTCCTTGGACCATTGGCTGATTTCTGATAAAAAGCGATTTAGTTTGGAGTTTGACAGGCGAAGCTACAGTTAGGCCGTCAGCATATTTGACAAAATTAATGTCATTTGAAGTTGTTAGGTCATGTAGGAAGATCTAAATGTAGAATGTAGAAAGATCTATAAATGTAACTTTCTGAGCACTGTTTAATCAAGCCTCATTACATCATGTACCAGTTGCAAATATGTTAAAATTGTTCTGTACATAAACTTAACAATTTCTTTGGTCTGCAAGTCTAACTGATTAGAAATCAACGAAATAAATGAAGGTGACGTCTTATTGTGCACAAATTACTGTTTTTGCTCTGTTCAGATGTATTTTACTTTACAGAGTCAAGGCTTTCTTAGACGTTTTATCTTCACTTGTGAATCTTTTACTTCAATTAACTAGAATAGTCCTTCTGTGTTAATGCATACATTACTAACTTGTGTTAATTAATTCAAAGGATGTTTAACTATTCTTTTTGTCAACCGTAGATCATGTATAGAAGATGGAATGAAAACGTTTCATGTTACAGTAACCTATGTATCAGGCCTTAGTTATTTATCTTAAGGAAATGATTGTTATTCTTATATTTCAAATAACAAACTTTGTCTGGCATATAGAAAATAACGTAGCCTGTCTTTAGACATCAATATAACGTTTATAAAGCTTCTTCCTTCCTCTTCCGTAAACGGCTTTCGAAATCTCTCAGTACAGCATACTTAGCCCTGAATCTACGAGCGAACTTATTCAACCAAACATGAAAGATAAGCTGCTGCTCATATTGAGCCACTTCAAAATGCATACAAATTAGTTCATTTCCTAATGAGGAGCTGTGTAAACTGGCTTTGTAAAGTGTTGGAAATTTGATAGGTTAAAATTACTACTCAATGGGAAGAAAGGTAATCCCATATTACTTTGTTTATTAGATGTATCACACAATGCGTGAAACAGTATTGTTAACTGGATGACGTTTCGAACAAAATTTATTGTTCATAATCATATCAATAACAATCACACGACTTTGAAACTTGAGTTTTATAGTTTCTTTTGTCTTCTCCTATTTGTCGTAGAGGTAGTAGAATTTTGCAGATATCTAGGATAGATGCTAGGTTCATACCTATTACACTTAGTGCTATTGCTATTTCAGGGATGACATCCTCAGGTTTCAGCTTGTCCATTGCTATATTGAAATTTAGTCCCTTTTCTAATACACTTATTTCTGTAGGACTTAATATATGTGTGCTTCGGTGGCACAGCTGTTAGGACACTCGCCGACCATGTACATGGTCCGGGGTTCGATTCCCAGCCGACGCACTCCTTTACCTTGCTAAACTAGAAACAATGCTGGTAAAGACGAAAGGTTGGGCATGAGGTTAGCAACCCCATCCTGTAGAAATAAACACTGCTACAGAAACTTCAAGCCACTAGCTTGAAGCCTTGTGTTCCACTGCGGAACGTGAAGGAAAAAAAATAATATATGTGTTGAGAGATTGATAACCCCGGAAACCTTACGCAGAATTCTTAACAAGGCAGGAATAGACCAACCACAAACTCAATTAGAAACAAGCTCTGTCGATTAAAGGATCAATCCTGTGGAACCTTTAAAACAAAACAATTTAGTTTATCTATTACCCTACCTGCAATGATTGTCAGGTCAAATACATAGGTAAAAGAGGTAGAACAGGGGCAGTCAGACTAGGCGACCATAAAAACCTAGCAAAATCTAGATTGGTTGACCCGAATAAGATAAGAAATATAGAGAACAGTTCAGCTATACCACTCACTACATGCAGTTACACATAACCATACAATAAGATAATGGGATAGGATGGCAGTTTTAAAATCTAATGTCACAGGGTGAATGAAGGGAGAGATTGATAAAAGAAGCTTAGATTATCGAATCAACTGAGAGAGAGGATACGTGTAATAGGAATGAATCTAGCACCCGTAAGAGATATCTGGAAAATTCTACTACCCCTACGACAAACAGAAGACAAAAAAACTATAAAACTCACATTTCAAAGCCGTATGATTACAATTGATATGATTATGAACAATAAATTTTGTTCGAAACGACATCCAGTAAATAATACTGTTTCACTCATTGTGTGATATATCTTACAAACAAACTAATGTGGAATTACTTATCACAACAGTGCCCAAGTTTTACACATACATTAATATGAGAAGAAAGGTAGTTGAGTGTCAATTTAACAAATGTGAAGAGGGTGTGAAAATGTACAAAAGGAACATATGAGAGTGATAATAGTGAATTAATCATTAAAGTAAAAACAAAGTAATCATTAAAAATAAAAATTTACAGGGAACGACTAGTAAAGAGGTCAAAATCATGGTAGAATAAGCGATAGGACAAGCATTTTCTGTATACAGGGTTCGGGATTGTATTGACGAACTGCCAACGCCCCCATCACACACAAATGTTGAAACCTGATGCCCTTTGTACCATTGGGCCTCACCTTGTAGATAATGTCGAAAAGCGACTGTTGTAGAACTGCGTGGCTTGAGTTCACCAAGTGCTCGAGAATTGAGCTAGTAAGTGCCTTGCATTGTCCCTTTGCTAACCGTGCCGGATAATGTTCAGAGATGCGTTTGAAAAGTGTGACCTTTATGCGGCCAATATAGGTATCTCCACAGGAACAAGTGAATTTATAAGCACACATTGATGTCGCCTGAATAGGCAATTTATCCTTTACACATCCATAGATAATTTTTCGGCTGTAAAATCTGATCGATAGCTCAGCCCTAAAGAAAGGCTTTTTTCAGTGACCCACGTAAGCGGTTCTTCAGGATCTCAGCTACGGTATCATCTTTAAATTCAACATTCACAAATAACAGTTTCTTCGACACTGTCTGAATTCTTTATAACTTTCGCTTTACCTTCAAGTTTTTTCTCGATGAATCATGAAGGATATCCATTTTCCATGGGGACTCTTCTGTGTATCTTCAGTTCCCCGTTGATTATATCACTAGTGTGGTGAGAGCAGGCTGCTAGCCGATTGGTTGGCACTAATCTACGTTAAGGTCTAGGTCACTAATATGGGCCGTGAGAGAATATGAACAAGCCTGAGTCAACAACCAATCACAGCAAAGTTAACGTGGCAAAATATGATTCGCAGAGAGAACTCTATTTGTCAAGGAATCCCGAAACAACCAATCAGAAGCCTGCGTTTGTCTACCTAAACAACCAATCAGATGACTGCGCTTGTCTATAATAATGTAGTTGAAAGATGTATAAATACGTGTTGATTTTCATAATAAAACAATCTGTTGCCTGGCCCTTGTCTTCTGTTGTTACATTTGGTGTCGCTGCCTACCGACAAATGGAAAGCCTATGCCCTGCTGTTTTTGATGGAGACATATGGATCTTTGGGCAGGACTTCAAGGCTTCTGCGCAGTTGAGTGGCGTTCAAGATCTGTCAGCGATGGAGCTGCTACTTGGGACGCTGCTGGGAGGTCGGGTGAAAGCAGCATATGAAAGTGTGAGCCGAAGTATGGACGAATGTTCGACAGGGTCAGGCAAACAGTTTCCAAAGTGGGAAGGACCATATATGGTCACTTCGAGATGGGGTTACGCAGACACAGTTGCAATGGCGAACAATAAGAGGCGCGTGAACGTCAGCGAGCTCCAGAAATGGATACAGCGAGACAAGCCAACGATGACGCCTGCACCAAGTAGATCAAGCCGACTTCAGTCGCACGTATTTGACGGGGGGACGAGTGTGGTGAGAGCAGGCTGCTAGCCGATTGGTTGGCACTAATCTACGTTAAGGTCTAGGTCACTAATATGGGCCGTGAGAGAATATGAACAAGCCTGAGTCAACAACCAATCACAGCAAAGTTAACGTGGCAAAATATGATTCGCAGAGAGAACTCTATTTGTCAAGGAATCCCGAAACAACCAATCAGAAGCCTGCGTTTGTCTACCTAAACAACCAATCAGATGACTGCGCTTGTCTATAATAATGTAGTTGAAAGATGTATAAATACGTGTTGATTTTCATAATAAAACGATCTGTTGCCTGGCCCTTGTCTTCTGTTGTTACACTAGTACCTATCCTTCCTATTCTTGAGGATATGGAGTGGATCAGGTTTCTCTTTCTTCTCAAAGGGACCTTACTATGAAAATTCATGCATTGACCATTCCATGTTGGTTTCGTGTAGATTGATCTTTGAAGAGAGCCATTAGATATCCTTTTTATGAAAACATCCAAAAAATGTAATTCCGAGTTCATCTCTGATTCCGATGTGAACTGGATGGCATGATGGCAGTTGTTGGACTCCCTAGTTATCACTTTGATGCTAGTATTCTCGTCACATAGGATGAAATTATTATCCATGCATCTTGGGTACATGTGGAAACTATCGATAGTTGGTTGTAACATACCTTTCTCTAGACTTGCCGAGAAGCAGTCTGCTAGTATAGGACCTAGTAGTGACCCCACTGCCACTCCATCATTTTGTCTATAGAGCGTGTTGTTGAACTTGGACTGGATATTGAAAATGCACCTCAATAGTAGTTCCTTTAAGTAATGGGTCGGAACACCCGCGCCTACATTGTTATCCCCCAATGGATTTGCATGTAAAGTAAATAGTTTCAGTGAGAGAAAGATTAGTGAAAAAGGACGTAACATCCGTGGGTATCATTTTCTTCCCGAATACATTGGCATCACTTATTGAATCGACGAATTCAAATGACTCTGAAACACTATGCTGACAGCGAATATTTCTGATAGGTAGGAGGATGTCTGGAAGCCTCTTGGCAGTATCATGATATGGTGAATTAGTCATATCCAGGATTGGACCTAGTTGCACGCTCTCATTGTGCACTTTTGGTAGACCATATAACCGAGAAATTACAGAACCTGACAGTCGTATCCGCTCAAATAATTCAGAGCTGGTAATCGATTCGTTCTTCATCTTCTTCAGCAGTTGTGTTATCTTCCCTTCAGTTTGTCCGGTTAGGTCTTTCTGGTTACTTTCTTTTAAAAATGTGTTTTTATCCGATGTGACGCATAAATTTTTTTCAACGCAGTCACGGTGATTCACTTCTACGATACCAGCACCTTTATCGGGACGGATTAGCACCAAGTCTTTATTCCTTAAAATCTCACGTAATTGCTCTCTGCGATCAGCTGAAATCAGTCGTTTGATATTTCGTTCTGTATTGATATACTGATGACAGCTAGTCAATACTGTAGACTTGAATTGCTCATCTACTACTTTTGTTTACCGTTTATGCAACCATTAGAGGTAACGGTGTCGATTCTACAAGTCGTTCAGCTGCAACGACGACAACAACAGCGACAACAAATTCAAATAAAGTAATCAATCAACAGGCAACAGCAGCAGCCGCAACAACAGCCGCTAGTCCACATGGTTCACAAGAATTACTCGCTCAATTCAATTTAAATTATGGCTCAGCTAATGAAGTAATTCGTCGTAAACATAAAGTAATCGAGATTGAAGCTGAACCAAACTACGAAGAGATATTAGATCAACCAGATCCTAAACCACTGGAATTATTCATCTCAGGAGTAGCTGATTTCACTCAACACAAATGTGATGTCAGCAGAATTGACTTTAAAGATACGCATATCTTTGAAAAACGAATTTACAGGTTCGTGATAGGATTAAATTTATATGAAATTTAATTTTTAAAAACACATCATATTTCAGCAAAGTGATGTATATTTATGCATATATCTGTGCATCGGTGGTTCAGCGCTAGAATACTGGTCAATTACACATGTGGTCCAGCGTTCGACCCCCCGTCGACACACTCTTCAACCTGGCTAAGCCATTAGTGAGCTCAATAAAGAGGGAAGATTGGTCATGAAATCGGCAATCCTCCCCTGTAAAAACAACACTACCAATACTAAGACTTTAAACGCCAGACTTGAAGCCCCATATTCCACTGGGGATGCGAAGAAATAAAATAAGAAATCAATAATAAGGTATACATATATATGTACCTATATATTCCCCAGTGCCGAAAGTTTGTAGTTACATTGTCCTCCTGTGAATTCTGTAGTAGTCGAACACCGTTATCATATTGAAATGACCACTGTTACAAACTCTTTAATGTCTTCATAAGTAGTAATGCATGGCAATGAAACTGAGCTTAATTGGTGGAAAAAGATGTCCAGCACTATAAGAAGTAGTTTGATTGGACACTAGTCAGTAGCCAATGTAATGTGTCTAGTCCTTTCTTTGGTACAGACTGAATTTCTATCAGTCGCGTTGGCAATATAACCACCATGCTAGGTGGCTCACTACTACGGTACACTGTGAATTGTTGGCATTAGATGGCTGGAGGCAATCATTAAGAAGTCCTACCTGGTCTAGGCTTTGTGTTAATTGATACTCACCAGTCAACAAGGTGTATATGCAACCTCGAAGGAACTTATATCCCTTCAGAGATTTGAACTCGCTTCACCCAGTGCTGCAGTTAGAGACATTACCATTGAGCTATTCGCGCCCTGTTGTAACGTTTCTGACTGAGCCACTAGGTGACGCAGATTCAAATCCCAGAAGACACATGAGTTCCTTCAAGCTTTCAGATACACCTTACTGACTGGTGAGTGTCAACTGGCACAGACCCTAGGCCAAGTGGGACTCCCTGCCAATTGCCTCCAATCATCTAATATTATAAGAAGTGCACATCAGTGTTGTGTCAATTTGTTTACACAGACTGACCTACATATTTCGGTAATTTATTCTGTAGAACATAATAACAGGCGAACTGAAGATAAATATCATAAATTTCCAGGTAAAAACCAGCCATGTCAATGATAACTGATTGTGAGTGATTGGTATAAGACTGCCCTGATGATTCACACAAATAAAACATGTTAGTTAGACAGACTAACCTCTCTTGACGTTGTTGTTATTGTTTTTGAGTAGAACTAAGTTAGTCAGTATATATTTTAATACATCATGTTAGCGATTCACTAAGACTGAAATAGTTACGAGAGGAATCGAACTCGCAAACCATTGTCTGAAAACTGAATACCTAAGAAATATTCACTACTTAATCTCTGTGGTATGCCAGATATCGAGATTTAGTGAATTCCAATTGGTGTCACAGTAAATTTATATTTAATTTATGAAAGATTCTCATTCGAATATCACGAAAAACAAGACAAGTAGTTCAGCGAGGAGGTTCTTTTCGGTTAATTCGTCATCCTCTTAAGCTGTTCAGTCACATTTATACACAATTCTTTCATGAAAGAGTGCTGAATTATCACAAACGTAACTGTCAGTGTCAGTTAACGCATAAAAGAAAGTTGAATAAGTGTATTAGGGTTACATATTATGATGAATAATCTAATGAGTGAGTTGCGATCAGCATGTACAAATAAACGAAGGAAAATATGGAGTTGGTTGGGGGATTTCATCATGACTACTGACATCAGTTAGAGAACCCCTGGAAGACCTTGGAGTACTGTACAGCTGTTTCGTCCTAGTTTGGCACTCTTCATCATTGAGCACCCACCAAGTGGAGTTTGGACTCAAGGCCTTCTGGTTGCAAGACGAGAGAGCTCGTAGACCATTCAGCCACTGGAACCTGATCCAATCGCCCATGAATTCTAATGGTTCTCTAACTGATGTTAGCTTATGATGAAATCCTCCAACTAATCAGACAAAATTCCCTACAAAAACTAATATTTGAAGAATTATGGAATTATGTAAGAGTTCTAAAGAAGTACAAGAGTTATAAGAAGTTAGAAAAGGAAGTATACAAAAATTAAGTGAAGAGAAATTGAAAAGTTTGGTGCCATGGTTATAGAATTGTTTGAATGCATAGCTCCACCGTATCTGACTGAATGACTAAAGCCTCAGTAGCGTAAAGTGGATTAACAGTCACCATCCACCAAACCGCCTAAGGTTTCAACTAATTTAGTGATGTATGAAAAGGGTAAAGGCTAGAAGAGGGTAAGAGGTCTTAATAACAGATTTGTACATTAATTTTACTTAGGCCAAGGGAGAAACAATCGTAGACTCAAGAAATAGAGTGCTTATTCTGAATGCCCATAGTTCCGGTTAGGCATAAAACACTGAATCGGATTCCTTTCAGAAGGTTGGATGAAGTATTAACCATCAAAGAGAACAATGAAGTTAGTTAAATTCCAATTTTTTTCATCTTCACGTTTGATTTATCAAACTATGGGTAACTCTTGTTGCGTAAAGAGTGACGATGCTAACCAGTTGTTTAAATATGATGTATTTCTACCAATGAGTGGGTGTTACCAGTGGGTGTGCACTGATGAAGAGTCCCAAAGTAGGACGAAATATCTATCCAGTACTCCCTGATGGTTTTCCAATGATTCTGTCCTCGATTTCAACTCATGATGAAATCGTTTAACCAATCAAGCCTGCAAACCTGCAAGCTAACACTTGAATATCAGTTTATAAATGCTGATTGCCTATTTAGTTTAATTCTTCCTATCCCTGCGTAACTTTCTTACAACTAGTAAAATGTTTTTTGGCTAATTTATTACACTTTATTTTACTTCGTTACAGGTTTGAGTTTATCAATTCAGGATTGATAACACTTCATTTCAATTGGTCCATTCAAATGACAAGTTCAACACCTGACGAAAATAGTAATAATAATAATAATAACACTAGTAATGAAGGCTGTAACGAACATTGGGATATTTCATTGGTTCCATTTACAGTTGATCCGATTCAGGGTGATATACTACCTGGAAAATCAAAATTTATTCAGGTAAAAATTAATGAATAATTAATTTCCTGTAAACTTTAAGTAACCATTCTTATAGATGAAAAGAAGTTTTAGCAAATACAAAAATATTAGCAACTTCCAGTGTTGATCACGGATTGATACCAGTTAGAGAACCATTGTACACTAGATTATGGGACAAAGGTTGTTGACCATTCCATCCATTTGGCCTGGAATGTATTGGCTGAATGATTGTGACTTCTGAGAATGTGTAAGTAAAGCGCGACTGCCAGCTAATGGCATCCATGAGTATTTTTCCTCACAGTCGATTAGTCGACCCCACTGTTAATGGCTTCTCACTAGAATCCCAGGCAGATTCTTGACCATACTTGGAACAGATCAAACAAATTGAAAATTATATTAGTAAAATCTCAGCGATATTGAACTGAATAATTCCAGCACTTCGTTCAGCAATCTGGTCCGAACTTCTTCAGGGAAATTAATCGAAATTAACATAACAGAAGTTTTTATATATAAAAGGAACATCTCTTGTTTTTAAAAAATTTGTCCAATCATGAGCCATAAAACAAATATTAACAAGTATAATAAACAAAAATTGTATGAGCTATGATCAAAATTTGACCTTGGACTTACAAATATCGGTTTGCTTTTGTTAAACACTTTAAACAGTGTGTACTTTTGCATCAGAATTTTAGTGATTACGTTCGACTAAAAGTTCATGGTCCTAGATAAGTGAATATGAGAATATTTGTGTATATGTGGTATACAATGGTGTGTTTGTGTGGGTAGGTAAACAGTTGTAAAACAATTTCTTAACGTCTCCATACGAAGATATAGACAACTGGGAATTTTGACCAAGTATTATTAGTGTTGCGTATCCATTTTTTATTCATTAATCAGGATTTGCTATGCATCAGCTAACATCACACCTTCATGTCTGTTCAAACTGTTGGCATCTAGAATTTTATGAGTACAGGTATTCTCAAAATTATGGTGTTTAGGATTACAGTTTAGTTAAAGCACTCTGTCAAACTTATTGCTTTGTCTTCTTTCCGAAGATGGAGTTGCTTTATTCGACCTACTGGAGTTGTCACGTGACTCGACAGCTACAGATTTAGGATATGCATTTTGTTGCTGACAACGGAGAGTGAAAACACAATGATTGTGCCAATTACATAGTTTCTTTGTTAATTTAATTCGATTGCAAAATAATTCATATGAATTGTCGTCAAGATTTGACAGAATAGTTGTAAAAATTATATTTGTAAAATCTCAGGGAGATTGAAATGAGTAATTCCAACGTTTTGTTCGGCAATCGTTTGCAATGGCTGGTGCAGATGTATCCACTCCTTGTGATTTATAATATCCAATAAAATTCTATTGTTCTTCCGTATTACTATTCTTTTCGCCTCATATCTCTGCCTATTCTCCTCCTTTGAATCTCTCCTTTCTATCTTCTCTTGCTTTTTGTCTTACATGGAGTGTGGCAAATCGAACTGCTGCACATCTGTGCAAAGTTCTATGTTGTAACTAGTCAATCAGTCAGGCAGTCAGTTGGTATCCTAACTTACTTTGTGCTTCTCGGTAACTGCATCTCTTAACAGTTTACAGATAAGAAGTAGGGTGGCTGAATGTGTCAAGTACTTCACTTGGAAAATTGTACCAGATTTTGCAGTGTAAAAGTGATGGATGGTGAGGCTGAATATGACATCACTTCATAAAGGCATTCCCTATTTGTCTTAGTCATGCAATGAGACGCAGATTACTTAACTATGAACCTTGAGCTGCTCAGAATCAGCCAGTGGATACTGGCTCAAAATAGTTAACACTGGTGAATCTGTCCACTGTTTTTCATTTCTTTCTTATTGTCAAATGTTCATTCAGCTTCATTTTATTATCCTTCACTTCGTACTTATGGTAACAATTAGTGTTTGCTTCTATGAAGTTTCTCAGTTTGAATTATTACACTTTAATGTGAAGATACATCCTACTGTGTCAGTAAGGTCAGTGGTTTTCAGGATTTTAAAGTTTCTCTTTTGAATTTTCATCTTAGGGTGATATTTTGCCTTATAGTTTTAGCGGTTTTATCAAACTTAGTGGTGGTGAAGCTACATTCACCTGAGGGTAGGATGCTGAGAAAGGATTGGCAATATGGGACTCTGACAGTACATAGAACCAACCAAGGACTTATTTCCCAGAAGAAGTATGCAGAAGGAAAGCGAGATGGGCTAGGCACACGCTAAGGAGATAGTTGAGTGATATCTTTCACCACGTCATCGAACAGAACGCGAATGGGAAAAATAAGTTTAAATAAGTTCGAAGAGTGACGGGGAGAAGATAGTGTGGGGAAGAATTGAAAGCCTATGTTCACTTGTGGGGCCAGCCTATGAAAAAGACTGAGAAGAACAGGGGTGAAGTATAGATGTGCCTTTGAACCTCTGTATTCCACTGGAAGCTGAGTAGACAATAATATAATAATATATAATAATAAGGATATATATAGATATATAAGTGTATATATGTATTGAACATGGCTTGGAATAGCAGTCAGCTCTCCATCTCAACTTCATCGACTTTGAAAAGGACTTCGACAGCGTCGATCGAAAGGTAATTTGGCAACTACTTCGTTACTATGGGGTGCCGCCAACAATTATACTTTTCATCTAACAGTTGTACGACAACGCTGCATGCCAAGTGATGAACAATAGAAAACTCACGGAATCTTACGAAGTGAAGACAAGGGTATTAAAAAGTTACCTACTATCTGCAATGATTTTCCTGATTGCGGTAGACTGGATAGTGTGACAGACAGCGGACAGCGAGGAAACTGGCATAAAATGAACTCACACAAAAACTTGGAGGATCTGGACTTCGTCGATGATATATGTCTGATTTACCACAAACTGGAAGATATGCAAGTGAAAAACGCCAAGTTGGCAGAAGAAGCATCCACAGAAGATAGAAAGACAGGTGAACATAGATAAAACAGAGGTGATGAAGATTCCTGGTCAACACCAACATCAATAAAAACAACAGACAACAATCAGCCAGCATAAATGAGATGAACTTGAAAGAAACAACCTCCTTTATCTACCTACCTACCTACACACCTACCTACTTACCTACCTAATTGTGACGTATCGTTTCATCCGCAGAAGGAAGGAACTGAAATATATATCAAAGCGAGGATCGGTAAGTAAAGCATGCTTTCATTACTCTCAAGTCTGTGTGGAGATCAACATCACTCAGTATGAAAAAAGAAATAACATCCGGATTTTTAACTCCAATTTGAAGTCGGTGCGCTACTAACCGTACGGATCAGAGACTTGGTGCGTCACGAAGGCTACTTCGAACAAACTACATACCTCCATAAAGATCTATCTTTGCTCAGCACTATTCAAGATTAGATGGCTGACCAGGATTAACCAGAAACAGGGATCTCTGGAAGTGAACCAACCCATCAGGAACCAATTGTGCAACAAATCTGCAGGAAGAAATGGAAGTGGATTGGCCATACTTTGAGAAAAGAAACCATCAAGTGAGTAATATCACACACCAGGCCATCGTTCGAGTGGAACCGTAATAGGAAGAGGCAAGTTGGCCATCCGAGGGTGACATGGAGGGGGTAGTGATGTGAAAAGGAGACGGAAGCACGTGAGTAGGCGTGGAGCCAGATGATGAAAACGTTTACAGAGAACCGAACTCGATGGAAACGTGTGGCTGAAGCCCTGTTTTCCTCTAGGAACCATAAGGAAATAATACTAATTATAATAATGTATATTTACGCGAAGAGATAACGACTTTAGTCTGTGTTTACATAACTGTAAATTTTACAAGTAGCCTAAAAATATGAAAACACTTATCTATAATAATAAACAATTTTTAATTCATTCATTTATTACACTTATGATCGTAAATACATCAGAATAATGTGATCAGAGACTTTGATCAAGTTATCATACGATACACCAAGCTGTGTGTTTTATTAATTACTGAATCTTCAGAAAACCTAAATGAAAAACAAAATTTGTATTTTACAGTGTTCTGATATGACAATGTACTCAGCTTTTATGTAACGTTGGAGTCCTGATCTCGACCGATCCAAAAAGGGGATAGATATACTCTACTGCGTTGTCATAAATTTCTTGTCTCTCAATAATTTTTGCAGATGAGGGTGCTTCGTGATTAGCTTCAGTGTCTATGCATTCAGAATTCGATTACTTTTCTTCACATAGACTGATCAGTTTAGCATACCTGAAAGTGGAGCTATTACTTCCTGGTTATGTTGTACTAGTATGAATGCCTTTTGGCTTTATCCAAACCTATTTTATTTATTAAATGTTCATTTGCAGTGATTCAACTGGTTACAGGATTGTTCACAAGTTGACGGCAGTTAGAGAAGCACTTGAAACCAGGGAGTACTACAGAGCTGTTTCGTCCTAGTTTTGAACTCCTCATAAGTACACACCCACCACTAGGGTTGGAACCCAGGACTTTCAGATTACAAGGTGAGCTTGTAGACCATTCAATCACTATGATCCGATCCAACAGTCCATGAACTCCAACTTCGACCAATTCGTGATGCATATTTGATGCAACCGCCAGCCAGTGTCATGGGGGATCAAATGTCATTTTGCCTGAGTTGATGAACTCCACTAGTTAAAACGTTTCACTAGAGAACCTCAGGTAACTTCCTGTATACAGCCAGCTGCTAGTCAGCATCATATAAGTTATCAAGTGTTCTTTTGGTTCAGACCCAGGTTGGGTAATACTGGTGAAGAGTCCCAAACTGGGATGAAACAAATGTCCAGTCCTCTCAGGTTTTCCAATAGCTCTCCAAATGATGTCGGCTCATGATTAGTTCCACTTTAATTCACTATTATTACGATGATTACAATATGGATAAATGTTGTATGTATTGTATTACTTTACCCTACTCAAAATATGAGGTTCACAATGATGAGTGATAACAAGAAAGAGGGATTGAATAAGGTCATTCTTCAACAGTATATATATATGTCATCTTGATGATGACACATAATAATGAAATAAAGGATGAGCCTCTTGTGCTTTTTGACGACTCGTTAGCTATATGTGTAACAACAGAAGACAAGGGCCGAAAACAGATCGTTTTATTACGGAAATCAGCACGTATTTATATCTATTTCATGTTCATTTATATAGCTTATTCAAGCAGACAAACACAGTCTTCTGAATGATTGTTTCTGGTTTCTCGGAAAGTTAAGCCGTATATCTGCGAATCGTATTCGCCCACGCTAAGTTTGCTGTGATTGGTTGTTGAATCAGCCTTGTTCATATTTTCTCACGGCCAATATTAGTGACCTAGATATTGACGTAAATTAATGTCTACCAATTGGCTAGCAGCCTGCTCTCACCACATATGTACTTGCATCTCCAGTGATTGATAGTGTCCCCGCTGAGATTCAAACCTATAACCTATTACATCAGACGTCAAAGCGCTATCCATAAGGTTGCTGGATCAAAAGAACCGTAGCTTGTGCAAAGGCTAATAGATGCTAATTGTTGAAATCACTGCTTCGAATGTCTTAGTAACTAATTTAATCAAAACAAAATGCTGCATCTTTCGCTACATTTAACTTTTTATACATTAATGAGAATGGAATTATGCCAACTTAAAGTTATCTTTCAATCGTCCGCACCGTGGTGAGAAACTTACGGCAGTAATTTCAGTATATATATATATATATATATATATATATATATATACAGGGGTTTGATAGCAATTAACCGTTCTTCAGTTCTAAATTTTTCAAGACGTGGGAACGCAACTATGATTTAAAGACAGCAGTGGCTAGTTAGTATTGAAGTGCAAACCATAGTTGCGTACTGAGTATACTGAATCCCCTCTTCAGATATGAATGGTTAAGTTGTATTCATTTGCTCCAAGAATAAATTTGTGTTCGTAAATCCTTGCTATCCGTTGACTACTCTTTATTAATAGTAATAATTATTTTTACCAGTTGATCACGGATTGATATCAGTAAGGGATCCACTAAAAACCAGCAATGGAGTACTGGACAGCTGTTTCATCCTAGTTTGGGAATCATCGGCAGTAAGCACCCACCATAGGGGCTATAACCCAGGACCTTGCGCTTACAAGGCAAGCTGGTATACCATTCAGCCACTGGGACCCGATTCAGTGGCTCATGACCAGTGAGGTCCATCCTGTTGTCATGTGTGAGGATGGATGTCCCACCGACGACATTGGTTGGAGTAGCGCTAAATCACGAATTGGTAGAAATTAGAATTCATGGGCTAGCCACTGAATTGGGTCCCAGTGGCTGAATGTTATACGAGATTGCCTAGCAATCGGAAGGTCCTGGGTTCGATCCCTGTCAGTGAGTGCATACTGCAGGTGATTTCCAAACTAGGATGAAACAGAAGCTGTCCAGTACTCCATTGCTGGTTTTCAATGGTTCTCTAACTAATATCAATCCGTGATCAACTCGTAAAAACACAACTAACCCTTACAAACCAAACTATAGAAAATTATAATTTTGATAATAATTTGCTATGTTTCAAAACAGTACTCAGCACAGTATGCATTGCATCTAATTTACTTGACAACAACAAAAAATAAAAACACAGAAATAATATTATAGGGTGTACGTAACCACGATTGGTACTAGCAGCTTTGAGGTATTTGCAGTGACAATAAAGTACAAAAAGTGTAGAATAATGCTAACTGTGTTAAAGTACCTAAAATTATAAGTTAATCGAAATAGTGTCGCCTTAGATTACAAATAGAAGACGATAAGGGAGCAAGTTATTTAGCTAATAACATAGTGAGTCAGAGGCTCTACTCTCAACACTCTCCTTATCACATAGAACGCGGTCGGGACAAACAGGATATGTCTGAGTTGTTGTACCTGCTTGTACGAGTGAGCAAATAATCTCATATAATGACTTGTGGTCACACCTGATAGGATAGAAGGCGGCGAGATTTGTGAACAGAGAGGATGTTGGGGGTCAGAAAGTATGGATTTCGACCAGTTCTCGCAAGAGTTCAGGTATCTGTCCACTACCACAGTAACTACCTGAGTGAGAAGCATACCACCCATCCTAATGAGAGCCTTGAAAACCCTTCGAAAAATGACACAGTCCTTTCTGAGTAGTTCAGGAAAAACTAAGAAGGAGCAGTGGAATACAATAGATACGATGCAAGAGTTAACAAATTGCAAAATTAGAGGTTGAGTGGTACTTGATTGTCTTAACTTCTGAAAGCAGTAGGTTATGCAGAACATTTTCTTAGAAATCGACATGATATGACATGGCCAAGAGAGGTCAGAGGATAGGACTATTCCAAGACACTGGCAGCCTTATGTCCAACAACAAGCTATTAAATTTGGAACAGTCAGATTCAGATGTAACTGGCAGTGAGACAGCCAGTTCTTCAGTGTATTTAGGGAAGTTGATTCCATTCGAAAGAGTTAAATCATGTAGGAAGAAAGAAACAAGAAGAGGAGAGAGAGAGAACAGCACCTTGAGGGACCCCGGCTCCAGTAAACAAGTCAGAGGAAGGTGTGCTACTGTACACAGTATACTGCATACTGTCAGAGTAATAAGAATGCAAACAGTTAACAGTCCAGGATTGCGTTTCATCACGTTTAGCTAACTCAACAAAACGCATCTGGCATTGTTAAATAGATGTTAATTGATTCTCTACAAACCAGACAATAATAATATATTTTTATGATCAATTATAAACAGAACTTGCATAGACTTTAAATGATTTTTAGTGACATTCAAGTGTATCTCTTCGGTCTTCATTTTTAATTTTAGGTTACATTTAGTCCACTTTTACTTGGTGAATTTGAAGCACAACTTACTGGTAGAATCGATAACCTGCTTCAACAATCAACTACGTCAAATCGTAATCGACCAATTCTTAGTCAACCAGTGATTACAATAACAGGGAAATCAGAAAATTCTATTCTACACTTTGATTTATATGATTCAGATTATTTATCTGGTGGCCGAAGAAATCCTGAATTACAAGAGTTAACTGGAACACCACTTGGAGCCAGTTTAGATCCATCTACAAGAGTTATCGAATACAGCATAGTTGGTTTAGGTGTGAGAAAAACTAGGTAAGGATAATTATATATCTCAATTGAATGTGAATACCTGATATTTTCGGTCAACATCCTACTTCATTTCTCTATAAAATGGAATCGGTTTATTTGTCTTAACTGTCTTTATTGTGATTAGGATGGTTATCAGGTGTCTGGGCATTTTTAATTACAGAATGAGTGACACATCAGTACACGAGTTCCCGTCGGCAGGATCTTCAACGTGTCTACTCTCGTTCTTAGATTTCCATTGAAATGAACTATATCATAATACCAGATGGTTATCAACTCATACCAGCGTTTGACATGAACAATCAAAAATAAGGAAGCCATTACGATAATAGATTATCAGTGTGGTGTATAAAGCATCATAATTACTGAGTAGCACAGTGACATTCTCAGTGAGATAAACATCATTACTCCGCACTTGTCGCTAAGAGAAATGGCGACACAACAGTACGACTACCGTAGGATTGATTTTTGTGAGGATTAAATTTTCTTCTTTAGCGTTCCGTGCCAAACTTTAATCTTTTGAAGTTTCAATAGTGCGTGTGCTTTTGTGACAAGATTAGGGTTGTTGTCCTAGCGTCTGATCTTCCCTCTTTACTGCCGTTATTAGTGGCCAGGAAAGGTTTAGGAGTTTACCGGGTGGTATTTAAAGCCGGACCACAAACGTGATCGGCGGCTAGCCAATCACGCAGATGATTCAAGGTCAGATCACCGGTTGATTGACTTCTTCACCTCGCTAAACTAGTAATAAGACTAGTAAACAGGAAAGGTTGATCATGCAGGACATTGCTTGAGTGAAATCCCAATGGAAAGCGATGAGTGAGTCGTCGGTGCGAGGGTGATATGGAGCATATTGTGTGAGAAGGAGATGACAGATTACTGGCGGTAGTGGACTCAGAAGAAGAAGAAGCCGATGGAGAAAAGAAGAATATGGAGATATATTTTTGAAGACCTATGTTCTATTTGAAACCCAAGGGAACAATAATAAAAATAATAACTCTTATTCTTGCGTTGATGGCACAGCGGTTAGGACTCTCACCGACCATGCACATGGTTTTTTGGCGTTCGATCCCCTGCCGATGCATACCCAATATCAATGGTTGGCATGCAAAATTTGGGCTACCGATATCACATGCTAAAAATTCCATAATTGTATCAAAAATACGGTGTGGAATCACACTATAATTAAAATAGATAAAACAAGCCTAATGTACACACATATACAAAAAATAATCATATATTATTGCAGTTGTACAGCTAAGTGAATGAATTCGTCGCTGAAAAGAGACTCTTCTCTGAATTGCGATTTTGCTTTAAAGACTGATATAAAACAAGAGTGTACCATGAAATAAAAATAAGTTACAAAATAAACAAGAATTAAAGAACCACACAGGGGGGGTTTAACACGCAACAGAACAAGAAAATAAAATCGACATTAAGATCATGGTAGCAACAGAGGTTAAATCAAACGTTTATGAACATAAATTTCAGATTTTTCCTTGTAGGTTGCCAGAGCTTCGATTCCATGAAGGTGACGTGAGCTAAATCTTTCCGAACGGCTTAATCGCTCTCTCTATATATATTATAACTGTAAATGAAATTTCTGCTGATTCTGTGTGATGAAAACTAAAAGCGTGCTTCCCAAATGATCTGTCGACTGTTTTGCGTTCTCCTGTCAACAACCATTCTAGTAGGTGTTATTGCAGGTACCACCTGTTATACTTGACTCTAAGGAAACAATGATCAGTGCTATATCCCAAATAAATAACGCTTCAAGATCAGTGACAGATAGGCAACTTGTTCATCTCAGTCTAGAAGTTTTCATTTTGACCTCCGTTAGCCTAGTCACTGCTCGCTGTCTCAGGACTTGCATAGTGAGATGATAAACATGTCCAACAATTTGACATTTTCAATACTTCTATAACTCAAGTCGACTTGTGATGCCATTCCACGTAAGTGGAAACTAAGTTGCCATCAATGATTGTAAGTGATTTAACCTTACATTGAACTGAGTCTTTTACAGTTAAAAACTTTCCTTAAATTTGTATTCTATACACTTCAACCTCTTCCTCATAATTAATTTCACCTTGCCTCTTCACAGATATTTTTCTGTTATAAATACAACAAAAGAGAATTTTGAATTTACAATTGAAAATGCTGACTCAATTAGCATGAAAGAGCCACAATCAGTAAAATGTCTAGTAGATAAAGGTACAATTGAAGCTGGTAAAAAAATTAATGTAAGTTGACTTTTACTACTGTTTTTGCTAATTGTTGTATTGAAAATTGAGTTTAAGTAAGAATTCGTGACCAGTGAGGTCCATCCAGTTGGGAGTGAGGATGAATGTCCCACCGACGATATTAGTTGGTAGTCACACAAAAATCACGAATTAGTCGAAGTTAGAATTCATTGGCTGGGGCAATTGAATCGGCTCCCAGTGGCTGAATGATATACAGATTGCCTTGAAACTGGAAGGTCCTGGGTTCGAACCCTGGCAGTGGGTGAGCACTGCCGATGATTCCCGAGCTCGGATGAAACACCTCTCCAATACTCACTGTTGGTTTTCAATGGTTCTCTAACTGGTATCAGTCCGTGACTAACTCATAAAAACAAAACTAATCCTTACAAACCAACTATAGAAAATCGATAGGAGATAGAATCCAGCCAGTCTCCTTGAAGTTGTAGTGCACCCTGAATGTTTGAATTTTGGTTTTAACGCATTCATGTAATATGGCGGCACACCTTCACTGTTCTTCCGGCGTGAATGCTCCCACGTGACTTGCTCCCTCTTTGTTGTATCATTAAGCGCAGTCTTGAGCTTGCTACCCCATCCAGTTGACAGATAAGTTGTACAGTATTCTGATTTATTAAATTTTTGACATTTAATCTGTGGTAAAAATATAATCCTAATCTGAGCACACTACCTAGTTACAAGCCTTTTTACTTCGAACTCGTTTATCGGTAATTACACGTTAGGTAGAGTACTGACCAGGGCTACTCAAAGATAGCAAGTTTAGTAGGTGATGACGTTAAGGACTATCTAGAGGGTGACATCGGTACTTAGAACTGGTAAGCCCGACGTGAGCAGTCACGCTGAAAGAACAGTAAAGACTTGGCACTATATTACATTACATGAATGCATTAAAACAAATGTTCAAACATTCAAGATGCACTACAAAGTCATGGGGCGCACTCTTGAAAAGTTCAAATTAAGCACTGAAGAAATTCTATGAAATAGTTTAGCAGGTCCTTTTTTAAAACAGAATTTAAAATAAGTTTATCACTAATCATTATGGAATATTGCATTATTCCTGTTAAAGCAATAGATCAGTCATTGATACTATGCACTAAAGAGTTTGGAATTTTCGCAGTAATATCAGTTTACGGAAAGTTACTGACTTCTGAGGACCAACAGATACGGAATCTGAGTTAAGGATGACTTGTTAATGAAACATTTCACTGAAATTAATCGCTAGATAGTGACTAGCAGTGGAATCCAGAATGCGCACTTCGTCCTATTCGGGACTCGTCATCTGGATGTACCTGCATTTCTCAGTGAGTGATGATGTTCCCAGTGAGGCTCAAACCCAGTGACCACAGTTTCAAATTCCAAAGAGTTATCCACTAGACCACTTGGGCCACGAGAGCCACCTCTTGTGCAACAGGTCATATTACTTTAATTGAACTTAAGATTTTCACGTCGATTGATTGGACCGAAGTGCTCGGTCTCAGGTTGATATGTCAGCTCCATATGCAGATGCTTCAACGTTGTCTGGGCAGGTAAGAAGAAGTTAATTGGTGGATGGTGGATGGATCCCACTGCTAGTCACCAGCCACAAATTAAATTATAATTAAATGCCCAGACATTGTCGAAGCATCTGCACATGGAACTGACATGTCAACCTGAGACCGAGCACTTATGTTCAATTAATCGACAAGAAATTCTAAAACTGAATTAAATATTTCACTGAAGTGATCCAAAGTCTATCGTATAACTTCTCCATCTTGTCAGTATACAAATGTCAAGCCTTAGAACCTGTCAAATAAAGTCCATTGAAGCTATAGAATTAATTCTTTAAAAAAAACTTTTTTGTTTGAGTTCAATTATTAATATGCTTTACTTGGTTTTTAACCAACAGATTGGATTCGAGTTTATCGCTTATCAACTTGGCTTAATTGAATCATTTTGGCGTTTTAATGTGGAAAAGTTTGGTTATAGTGTACCAATGTTGATTGTAGGCGAAACAAGAGAGCCAAATATTATGTTTGATCAATCCCATATCAACTTCAATGCTGTTCTTATTGGTCATAAAGTTAGCAAAAATGTCCTGCTAATTAATCAAGAAGTTCCACCACCATCATCATCATTATCAACATCAGATTATGCTATCATGAATGTGGAAGAGCATTCTTCAGATATCCTAGAATTCGAATTTCTAAAATCTAGTCTGTACAGTGCTGGAAAACAAGATTCAGTTACCGTGGAACCAATGTCTGGTCACATTTCACCTGGTGAAAAGTAAGTGCTTAACGTTAGCCCCATATTATTTTTATTATTCCCCTGAGTTCCGGGTGGAACATAGGGCTTCTACTTTTTCCTATCTTCTGCTGTCCTCTTCAACTTGAACCACGATTGCTCACAGTCTCCTATCTACTCCCCACACGATCTCTTCTATGTAACCCTCGCACGGACGACCCACTCATAGCTTCCCATTTGCATTCCAATTGACCGATGGCCTGCATTGTACGCGATGCCATTCTACGACCTCCTCGATATATGCCCGATCCACCTGCATTACCCCTTCATATTTGTTGAACAATCGGCTCTTGCTTGTTGGCTTTTTGCCAGACCTTCTTGTTACTACTTTTTTGGCCAAATCTTCTTCAGTAAGGAGCCAGCGAGGGAGCTGCTGATGAAAGTCTGCAGTAGCCTGTTGGAAATCGATTTCGTGACATACAGTACAAGTTCCTAACCTGCATGGAAACACTGACCAACTTGACATTGGTGGTGAAAACGTTAGCTCTATTAAAGTCTCACTGTCATGATCTGTTTCCCTTAGTTATTTGAAGAAATGAGACTGTTATTAACATGTTATGTAACATTTTATATTAGCCTACTTATCGTATAATTATGCATTCCTTTCCAACATCTATACACCCTAGGAATTATTTCTATATATGACATTAATTATTTTGCCACTTGACATTTGACTATGATTATAATCACAAATATTTTAATTGTATTTCATACTATTAATATTTCATGTATTCACATCTTTGACCTAATTCCCTCACCGGATATAATTTCTTTAAGAAAGCCCATATATATACGATAGTATAACTTGATAATAAATTCGTTGTTGAAAAGAGTCTCTTCGCTGAATATTGTGTTCTTAATTTACAAGTTAAACAACTCAGGGTGACAAATCACCACAGTTTATCTCAGTAACTGAAAGTATTTAGCTCAGAACATGTTTTATGCTTGATAATGTATATAGAGATCACGAAGTTGATGAAATCTTGTGATGGTATGTACTACTGGTTGACATGGCTTAAAAGAAACCATTCACACCAAACCTTAGGGCTTACTAGCCATATCGAAGCCAATATATAAGCACCGGACAGTGTAGCCTCAATTGCTTGGAGCTGACCTCACTTAATGTGACTCAGTTGATAAGAGAATGAATAATTTCAAACTACCCAAGGTGAGTTATTCCGGGTAAAAATCACTGATCATTTCAGCCACAGATAATGTGGACCCCCATCCGATATTTAGATAAATTTGATCAGAGGTTCAAACACTGCTGTGTTGTTTTTTCTGCACTAGTATATGCCCTCAGTAGCTTCGAAAATTGCCTACTAGTGGGTGGAGAGTCTCAAGCTTCTCATTTTCTACTGAGATCTGAACAGACATTACATATTATGTATGTAATTGAGTGCATAAACACGAGTTCGTCGTGATGGCGTGTCACCTAGAATGGTGGTCAAATTTAAAATTTGACTGATAGAATTAGTATAGCAAAAATATTCATTTTAGACATCCATAAAACACAAAATGATTGGGCAAAGAATATCCTTTTCGATAATCTCCTCCTCTTCTGGCTCTACAATTACCTATGTGTGTTTATATACATAGAATATTCCAGAATAGTAGTCAGTAACAATATTGGTGTTTTTTAAATAATATCGATTTATTAAGACCAATGAATTTACAGTTCAAGAAATTACAACAAGTATAAAATGTAACCACACACGGTTAAGCAAAGGACAAACAAAATCTATTCGCAGAGGTATTCTATCTCATCTTGTGGATACAGAACACATGATTGACGTTAACCAGGCGGCTTTCAGGGTCATTCATTTACCGCATACCTACGAATCTCAATTATGCCTTAAGAGTTCGACTACTAAATATTGCTGAGGCTGACTGTTGGGATCCACATTAAGAAGCCTAATTTGTGCGTTTAAAAGAAGTTAGTTCAGACACTGTGTTTACCCCACTGGTCATCTAGGTTTGAATGGTCCTCAATTTTTATGGAAATTTCCTTGATTTATTTGATATTCTATTTGCTATTATACTTGTATGCTTATATTATAATTTATACATCTTTAGTGAACTGTAATTCCATTGTGATCTCACTTAACAAATCGATATAATTCCGACAAAAAACACCAATATTGTTTGTTAATGACTAATATTCTAGAAATGTAAGTTACGAGGTGTGAATATAGATTACAAGAGGCATAGAAACAAAAAATTACACAGGATTAAAATATAATTGTAGAATGGTTATTCTAAACAGGGATTACAAGTGTGATCAGGAGGAGCATGGAAACAAACTTAAAATAGGTGATTTTATAACTGAAAATTAGGATGAATTGAATGAAGGCAAAGAGAGAGGAAATTACACACACAGATAACAAAACAAAAAACTGAAGGGAACATACCGAACTAGGTCCATGGTAGTTGCAAAGGCTAGACTAGTTTCTTTTGAACACACATAGTTCCAGCTTTTTGATGCATATGGCGAGAGCTTCTGCAGTACAAAGAAGCCGGAAACATACTGCCTTTAGTAGATTTTTGTTTACTTTATAAGTGACTCTAAATGATGAATCGGTCGAGATTCTGTGACAGGTATTGAGGAGATGTTCAGTTATTGCGCTTCTAGAATAACCATTTTACAATTATATTCTAATCCTGTGTAATTTTTTGTTTCTATATAATATATATAATTTTCTATAGTTTGGTTTGTAAGGGTTTGTTATGTTTTTACGAGTTGATCACGGATTGATATCAGTTAGAGAACCATTGAAAACCAGCAATGGAGTACTGGACAGCTTCTGTTTCATCCTAGTTTGGGAATCATCAGCAGTAGGCACCCACTGGGATTCGAACCCAGGACCTTCTGGTTACAAGGCAAGCTCAGCCACTGGGACCCGATTCAATGACCAACGGATGAATTCTAACTTCTACCAATTCGTGATTTAGCCCGACCCCAACCATTGATATCAATCCGTGATCAACTCGTAAAAACATAACAAACCCTTACAAACCAAACTATAGAAAATTAATCTGATGCTCGCTAGTAACTTACTACAGGTTAGAGTTTCCTGACTTCTAGTGAGAAGTCGTGACCAGTGAGGTCCAATTAGATGTCACGTGTGTGGATGGATGTCCCACCAACGACAATGGTTGGGGTCGCGCTAAATCACGAATTAGTAGAAGTTAGAATTCATGCGTTGGTCATTGAATCGGGTCCCAGTGGCTTAGCTTGCCTTGTAACCAGAAGGTCCTGGGTTCGAATCCCAGTGGATGCGTACTGTGGATGATTTCCAAACTAGGATGAAACAGCAGCTGTCCAGTACTCCATTGCTGGTTTTCAATGGTTCTCTAACTGATATCAATCCGTGATATACATAATTGTTGAGCCAGAAGAGACAATTATCGAAAAGGATGTTCTTTGCTCAACCATTTTGTATTTGATAGAATTAAGTCTGCACCAAAAAAGAAGACTAAACAACACGTGATATTAATTCCTAACTAGTGTCGAATCAAAAATATTTAATACAGTCCTACAGGAGATCTACCGTGCACCCTAAAAGCTGATTGATAACGTCGCTGACTGCAGAACTGAGTGAAGCTGATTTAAATCTCAGAAGAGACAAGGGTCACTTCAGCAGTTGTAGACACACCTACCTTGCTAACTGGTGAATGTCACCTAGCACGCAACCTAGGTGGAAGACTTCCTGCAGACTGCCTCTTACCATCTAATAATAACAATTCCTCTAACAGTAGCTGTGAGTCCGTAAAGCCTACAAACGCATAGAAGCATTATGCACAATAGTCATATAGATATTTATTGTTATTAGGTAGAATGCCTCAAATTTTTTAATAACCTTCTATTTATCTTTATTTTCCATTTTTATTACAGATTACCAATTCAAATCACATTTCAAGCACTTGGTGAACGTGAAGTCAATATCAATTTACAATGTCGAATTAAACATCGAAATTTACCACTCACATTAAATATAAAAGCACAAGGTTATACAATTCACTCATCCATATGGATAGATTACAGTACAAATGATTCGATAACAAATCTACCCACAACAATAGAACAAGTTGAAATTCAACCGTTATGGTCACCATGTCTAGGTGTTGATATAACAGATCTTATGAACACCTGCCTAGATCGTATTAAAAGAGATAGGCATATAGGCAGTAAATTAGCTGAATTAAAATTCGGTGAATTAATACCCGGAGAATGTATCACTCGAAAGTTAACAATCCATAATAGTGGAAAGTTTAAAATAGACTTTTTATGTCAATTTATGCCGATCCCTGTGGATTCTGATAATAAAGGTGAAATAACCAGTAGCAACAAAAAGATGAATCTAATCAATAGCATGATCAATGGTCTAAGTACCGACAATGGCTTTCAGTCACCATCACTGAAAATCACACCGAATTCAGGCTCGTTACCACCCAATGGAAAATTTACATGCACTATCATGTTTCAACCTCCAAAACGATTAAGTCTGTTAGGCATACAACGCTTAAAACTGAACAATCTACTCGGTCTATGCTTAGTTGTACGTGATGGTCCAGTGTATGGGATAAAATTATCTGGTTCAACTAAACGACAAACTGTTCAATTTTCAACAACCTGTATTAATTTCGGTTCACAGTTGTTAATGCAACCGGGTCTTAAGCCTTCAACACGTTATTTATACATTGGTAATTCAGATACGAATCAAGAAATGAGTATTGAATGTATATCACAATCGTCGAAGATATTCACCTATACACTGGCGCCAACAATTCTACCTAAGAAACAACAAGAAGACACAAATGAACAAAGTCGAAGTGTTCTATGCATGCCAATAGAATTTTATCCATATGAGGATAAATTATACACAGAAACAATGATATTTGAAATTAATGGCTGTAGTCAATATTCAATAGAATTATCAGGTAAAGGATGTAAATTGAACATTGAACCAATTGTTCATCCATTGTTGTTAATTAATAAAAACAAAAATGGAATCCTAAAGATTACTCAAATAAGTGAATCAGATCATTTAACTGATAATAAAAGGTGTGTTAATCTGGGTCATTTAAAAAGTGGTCAAATGTCAAGAAGATATATAAGTTTAGTTAATAAAAGTAACGCATCAGTCTGCATACATAAAATACATTTGAATCAACCTACAGTGGTTGTTACTGGTAACAACGATGAAAAGAAATCGATAAATATTCAGCTGTGTAATTCAATACCAGTAGAACGACAGTGTAGTTACACTGGACCAATTACAGAAGTTGCTACTCCCTTGATTATTCCACCGAATGGAGGCGAGATTATGGCAATGCTGAGTCTGACATCAGATAAACGAATACCTGAATTCAATGAAGAGGTTCTATGTGAGATATCACGAGTTGATCAAGATAATGCTGTTGTGTTACCTAAAACGGAAATGCTTACCACAATGAGTGAAGCCAGTGTAGGCGCAGAAACAAATACGAATATGTTTTTATCTATATTTTCTGTACATGGGGCTGTAAATACCTATGACATTGACTTTAATATTGATTCAATCAGTTTTGGTTCTGTTGTCCGTGGAAGTCAGTTGGCCAAGCGAATAGTGTTAATTAATTCTGGTGACTACGGCGCGAAGTAAGTTATTCATCTGTTGTAACTCTTTTTGACATAAAATATCAAGTAAATCTTTGTAGTAAGGCAAAATATTGAAAGTTCCAGTGGACAGTTGATAGTTGACGGCTTTTTGATGATACCTGTTACCTGAAAAAACATTTTCCTTTGTAAAGCTTCCCAGTGTCTTATTATTCGTGTGTGTCGTCGCACAAAATCGAAGATCTACGAGCGAAAACCAACAGATTTTCAACCAGAGGCAGACAGTAAAGACAAGACTTCAAGTGAACATAGTGGATACAGAGGAGATGAAGAGACCTAACCAACGATAACGAACACAAATCATCGTCAATGGGAGAAATTTGAAGGAAGTCATCTCTTACACCTATCTAGAGAGCATCAAGTCAGCTACTGGCGGCATGGATGATTATGTTAAAGGGAGAATAGAAAAGGCGAGAAATGGTTACGTTGCTGTGAAGTCAGTGTGGAAATCTGCTATGATCAGCATCAAGATCAAGATTCAGATCTTCAACACTAATGTAAAGTTTGTCAGAGCTTCTGTATGGTTCAGAAACTGAGCTGCTATTTCGTGGAGAGCATTTCCAACAGGTTACTTTAATCAACAGGTGTCTCCGCTGGATACTGAATATCAGATGGCCAAGAAGGAAATGAAAGAGCCACCAGCCTGTCACCAAAAATTATGTCGAAGGAAATGGAGATGGATGGAACACACTCTGATGAGATCGCTGAATAACATCATGCTCAAGGCAAGCCCTCCAGTGAAACTGGAATGGGAAAAGAACATGTTGGAAGTCCAAGGGTGACATACAGGCGATCCTGTTAGGGGGAAATGAAAGATTATCGCCAATGGTACAGCCAGATGAGGATGAAAACGGAGAACAGGATAAAATTGCAATATGCTACAGAATCCCAGTGTTCCACCTAGAACCCTGGAGAACAATAATAATATTATAACTACTACTCAGTCCATTGATTTCTTTTTACTTTACCCACTCCTGTAACTACACAACAAATAAGGTATAGGTGATGCAAGTTACTTATCTTCACAGAAAAATGTCAGTTGGATGTATATTATGCTTGTTAGGCAACCCCTTACTTCTATGCATAGCACTAAATAGAACAGTATTCGAAATGAATACTGCTAGTTCATAACTAACTATTCATAAGTTGATTTAATGTCTCTATTGCGTTTCATAGAAGGCTTAGGATAGTCCGCATTGGAGACTGATGAACAACATATTCTGCAACTCAGGAGCTCTTTAGTAAGCACGTAAGTAATCTTTTGGAATTAACTAAGTAGCCTGTAAGCGTTACTAATTATTTACGGCTCACAAAGGAAGAGTTTCATTAAATTTAGAGTAGGTAGTTGGTATTGCCATTTAGAATGAAGATATTAACATCTCAAGCGGGAACATAAGCATGTGTCCAGACATTTTGCCCCTGTCAAATGTACGATCATGCTATAGGACTGGTCTGCGCCAAAGCCTAATTCATGTACTACTATTATTATTCCCTTGAGCTCCAAGTGGAACATAGCTCTGGCTTCAACAACATATCTCCACTTTGTTCTACTTTCTACCGTCTTCTTTATCTGGCTCTACAACTGCTCACAATCTCTCATCTCTTTCAACTCACATGATCTTCACCATGTCATACTCGGATTAACGTCCCACTCGTAGCTGTTCATTGGGATTCCAATCGAGCAATGTCCTGCGTTGCATGGGATGTCATTCCAGGGCCTCCTCAGTGGCGTATGCCCGATCCATCTCCATTTTTTCTCCTAAATATTTAATTCATGAATAATTCCCATTCGAACATTAGTAGACAGAAGACAAGTAGTTCAGCGAAGAGTCTCTTTTCGGCGAATTCATTTTCATAGCTGTACAATCGCAAATATATATGGTTATTTTGTGTGTGTGTGTGTGTGTATACATTAAATTTGTCAAACGAAAATACAATTAGTAGGTTCAGATGAATTGGATGTTGATAAGAGGATAGCAACAAAAGTGATGAGTTGTCATAAATGATTGTTAAATAAGAGTTACGTAATGGCATGAATAGTTTGATGAATGAGTTGTGCTCAAAGGGTGTACATGGAAACAAAATAATATACAGAATTACACAAGGGTTTTAAGTTAGAAAAATAAGCATACAAACAGAAGTAAGGTCAAATCAAACAAACAAAGAAAAGTTAGGTCAAATCAAAGGAGTAGTTACCATGCGAGTAAAAGTGGTTGGATAATTTTCTTTTGTATGCATAGTTCTGGTTCCTCCAACTGGATGGCTAGGGCTTCTGCGATGCAAAGAAGACGGAATCGTACTGTCTTTGCAAGGTTGTTCTTCACTTTGTAGATTACTTTGAAGGAGGCGTTCGTTGAGATGGAATGACCAGTATTGACGAGATGTTCGATTATTGCACTCCTTATATGGCCATTATTTCCTTTCTGTAGCCACGCTGGATAGTGTTCTTTTAAGGAAATAATGGCCATATAAGGAGTGCAATAATCGAACATCTCGTCAATACTGGTCATTCCATCTCAACGAACGCCTCCTTCAAAGTAATCTACAAAGTGAAGAACAACCTTGCAAAGACAGTACGATTCCGTCTTCTTTGCATCGCAGAAGCCCTAGCCATCCAGTTGGAGGAACCAGAACTATGCATACAAAAGAAAATTATCCAACCACTTTTACTCGCATGGTAACTACTCCTTTGATTTGACCTAACTTTTCTTTGTTTGTTTGATTTGACCTTACTTCTGTTTGTATGCTTATTTTTCTAACTTAAAACCCTTGTGTAATTCTGTATATTATTTTGTTTCCATGTACACCCTTTGAGCACAACTCATTCATCAAACTATTCATGCCATTACGTAACTCTTATTTAACAATCATTTATGACAACTCATCACTTTTGTTGCTATCCTCTTATCAACATCCAATTCATCTGAACCTACTAATTGTATTTTCGTTTGACAAATTTAATGTATACACACACACACACACACACACAAAATAACCATATATATTTGCGATTGTACAGCTATGAAAATGAATTCGCCGAAAAGAGACTCTTCGCTGAACTACTTGTCTTCTGTCTCCTAAATATTTGTTGAGCGATCGGTTGTTTCTTGTTGGTTTATTCCCCAGTCAGAGTTTCCAGTTAATAATCCTTTCTGGCCAAATTATATTCACCATGGAGCTAGCTAGCGAAGGCAGTAACCTGTTGGAAATCCTCTTCGTGACACGCAGTGCAAGTTTCTGACCCAAATAGAAGAAATGACCAATTTCACATTGGTGTTGAAAATCTAAAAACTTGTTCTTTACTCTGAGCGAGTGCAGAAGATTTCCAAACTGGTTTCGGATTGATGAAGGTGGATCTATCTATCTATCTTTCCGATTCTGACCTTGACATCTTCATCCTCTTCGACTGTAGTTGAAATGATGCTTCCTAGATAAGTGAAGAAGTGACCGCTGTCAAATCTCCCCTGTTGATGGTGATTGGTGCTGGCTGTTGCTGACTGTTGCTGTTGGAGAATGGGCATCTTCATCACCCCTGTCTTCTCTATGTCCACCTGCAGTCCTGTCTTCATAGCCTTCCTTTTCTGCTAGTTTGTTTGTTTTTCGCCTGCAGGTCTTTGAGTTTGTGTTGAAGGAGTAGAATAAATTTATTGACTCACTTATTTTGGGGCGTTACAATAGTCCTAATAAGCTGATTGCCGATGAAGTCTGACCACAAATAAAAAAGGTTCTTTTGACACAATTTATCTTTCTATAGTTTGATTTGTAAGGACTAGTTATGTTTTACGGGTTGATCACGGATTGATATCAGTTAGAGAACCATTGAAAACCAGGGAGTACTGGACAGCTGCTGTTTCATCCTAGTTTGGGAATCATCGGCAGTACGCACCCACTGGGATTCGAACCCAGGACCTTCCGGTTACAAGGCAAGATCGTATACCATTCAGCCACTGGGACCCGATTCAATGGCTCGTGAATTCTAACTTCTACTAATTCGTGATTTAGCGCGACCCCAACCATTGCCGTTGGTGGGACATCCATCCACACACGTGACATCTAATTGGACCTCACTGGTCACGACTTCTAACTAGAACTCAGGAAACTCCAACCTGTAGCAAGTCACAATTTATCTGGAAATTTGTATGTGTAGTCACGCGTGCATAGGGAGGACCCATTGATCTCTACAGGTCGGAACTATGGAACACATTCTTAAAATGGCTGTTAGAACAATTAAAATCACCTGATTTACTTAACCCCGAAAATAGATGTCCAACATCCTCTCTCGTTAAGCCCACATAATACAGACAGGCGCTAAACTTGATTTCAGTAGTGCTTTTATACCCACAAATTAAAAGCTTGTTTCCATCATATACTTAAATTTGTTGTAGCCTCAAGGGATAGAAAGGCTTAAATCTGTTCTAGGTGTTCAAAACTTATTTCTTATTGTTTTGAATCTGCCTTGGTAAGCCAAAATTCAATGAACGAAATATTCCCATATTGAGTCATAAGAAAAGGTACAAACAGCGAAGAAAATTTTCCCTTTTCGACGATTCATTTTCATGAGCTGTACAATCGTAAGTATAATTAAACACATAAGTTTTTTGACCAATCAGATACTGGTACACTTTGTCCTTGAAAATTCTACTACATAGTGTGAGGTGTAAGAAGGGATGACTAATTGTAAGTTAGAAAGGAGACAGAAGTTGGCATGACCTAATTAATAAGTGTGCGATAATGACTAATCAATAAGCTAGTGCAGAATGGACAGGAACTAAGGGAAAGGCTATAAGGTAGTTTTGCATAAGATCTGTGTGAAAAAGCAATGTTATTAATAAACAGTCATAGAGTAGTAATAAAATGTGGATGGTGGGATTAGTGATAATAATAAAAGTATTAAGAACAGTAATAATAATAATAATAATAATAATAATAATAATAATAATAATAATAATAATAATAATAGTGAACTTACACATTAAAAGAGA